GAGTCAAATTCAGTTTATATCAATTATTAAAGAGCTAATCACTTAAATGGTAGCTGCTATACAATAATTGCCAATTATTTCAAACTAGATGAACGAGGATACGGACAGATAAATTAATTTATGTTTTTTATCCTTCTGTATTAATCACTTTTATTTTGATTTAACGTTCTGCTATGTATTATGTTTTGAAATATAAATAAAATTATGTGAATAGATATTAAATAAATTATTTTCAATATGTGCTTTAATACCAAAAAACAAGCTTTAGTTAACTGAATCAAGTATTAAAACTTATTTGTACACAATAAACATCAGTTGAGTTTTTATTCATAGAGGTTGGCTTTATGAAACTTTATTCATATTCTTCTTGTGTTCTAGATAATAAACATGTCGAAATCAATCAGGCTTTTATGTAAACAGTGCACGCCACTTCAATAGGACAGCCTTAGAAGCTGCTTTCTATTGCCCGCCTCTGCCAAACCAATTTGTGTTATCGATAAGCACAGCATATAAAAATAAAAAAAAGTTATTAGCAATAAATTTCAATGAAATTCCATGTTGCTAATTTTAAGACACTTCTATAGACAATGCTTATTAAATGTAATATATATATTTTTTAAGAAATTAATTTTTTTTAACAGAAAGTTTTGAAATTTGAGTTATAAGCAAAAGCTTTAGCCCATGGAAAATATGGAAATTGGGTTATAATGGATTGGTAATATAATGTCCTACAGGCAGAAGCAGGTGTGGTCGATTTTATAAAGTATACATAATCGTTGTCGACAAGACGACTGGAGTCAATCTAAAATTATTCGTAGTCCGCCTGAATCAATTGGCATGTCCGTGCGTCTGTCTGCGATCTCGTTAGCTAGAGACGTGAAACTTTAAATGTACACTGCTGTATAACATGCACAGTACGAGTTTTTATATATTTCTCGATAACTCTTTCCATTGGCTTTTTATCGATATCAATTTTGAATACCCCTCCTCTCTATTTCACATATATACAAAAAAAATGTATTTAAAATAGTTGAAATTTTTGGGTGTGTATTGTTGTTTCTTATATATGTTGAAAAGAAGTATAGAATAATTATAATATTAATTCATATCAGAATTCGGGGTATCTCCTAGTCAGGCACTCAAATTCTATTGGTTCTAGAAATACTTAGTAAAAATTTTAAATTAAATATAATAAATATATTTCATATTCAAAATAAAATTTAACTTAAAAAAATAAGTAAATTTAACAATAATTAAAAGGGTTTTCTGCTTTTCGGTCTTATTTAAATGTTCTATTGAAGTATTAACTCTTTGTCATACCCTTTACTGTTTGCTCATAACTCTTTGAATTATTTCGAATAGACGTATTCACATGCTTTTGTTCCAGCGACACCTGGGCGATTGTTTCATACATCACTTATCATAACTGGCAGCTGAAGTTGTTATCGCTGAATAGAGCAACGTCTTCAGAGCCTCCTCTTGACCACCCTTTGCTTTGGTTATTGATCACTCGTCATCACTGTGATATATTTGGGTCCATTGTCTGGGCATAAAGCCCGGTCTGCTGTCGACTGCTCACCTGGCCACCTAGCGAATTGCTTTGTCTTATGCTCAATTGTTGGGCTGCTTTTTTTCTTCTTTTGCTCCTTTTGGTGAACGGCTGCCATTGCATTATTTATGTGTTCCGCAACTATGTGGACAGGGCGTTTTCATTGTTTTTACCACTAAACACGAGGGGATTTATCTTTTAGTCCATTTTTTTCATTCTCTTCTCTCACTTTTCGTCCTCCAAATGTATTTTATCTCTGCGCCTGGTCCGTCGTCCATAGCGGGAGGCCGTGCGAGTTTTTCTTATGCAAAATGTTCACACGCGTGGCGGATTGAGATTAAGGGTAGTCCATTTAGTTAAATGAAGCATGTGCAAGCGCTTTGTAAGCGATTCATTTTTAATCAGTTAATGCATTATTTATTACACTCATGGTAAAGGATTTAAATAACTCTATTATTTTATATTATTCAAAGTTATTTGTATACAAAATTTTAATTTTTTTCAAATGTACGATATAATTTAAAAAACTAATAAGTTAATTCATAATATTAATAAAATAAATATGAACAGAAAAAATAAATAATAATAATATATAATTAAAATAAAAAATATAAGAAATATAAATGAAAATGTTAATTACTACAATTATAAATTTTTTTTATTATTTTAATAATTATTTATTATGAGAAAATAAATAATATTTATAAAAATGACCACCAATAATAATTACTATTATTATTTTTTATTTTAAATATTTATTATTATTTATTTTATTTTTGATTATTATATATTTTTATATTTTATAATATTTTATAATATGAGTTTTATTATTTATTCCTTCAAATTTAAAAAGAATTTATATTAATATTTCTAATGATGTACTTACAAATTTAAAAAATTATATGATTAAAAGAATATATTTATATCACATTAAGTTAATTAAATTGAAATAATAATTAATTAATTATTAGCTGAGTCTTTTTGATTAAAAACCAATTGTGTTAAATATTAAAATTTGGTATACATTTTCTTAGCCCAATGCAATTGTTTCTTAGCCAACACACACGACCAAAATAAGCAACGTTGAAGCTAGGCCCAAGCTATAAGTTTACCAATGAAGCATGCAACTGTACACAGCTCGTGGACAGCACAAGCACATACAACCACTATGCACACACACACACCCACTCGGAGCCACATATACCTTTTCAGTCGAATGTGCGCGTGCACAATTTGGCCATTGGGCCGGTTCGTCTATTCGGTCCGACAATAATATCAAAGCGAAAGTGCGTAAACAATGCAAACAACATGAAAACGACTCGACTCGACTCCACAAATTTGGCTTGACTCTGGACAAGGAAATGGATGCTTAGCCGAGCTTTGCTTTGCTCTGCTCTTGTGTTCCAGCTGCAACACACTGCAATTCCAACAATAACAACATCGACAGACAGGCAGACAGACAGACGTACAGCAACAACAAGCATATAGACTAGTTAGTGCAAACTACATTGATGACGAATAACATGCTTCAATACCTACCAAATTTAATCCTGCCAATGCTCAAACACACACACACATGTAAACATCGACTTGACCAATGCATGTGTGTGTGTGTGTGTGTGTGTGTGCTTTGGCTGGGAAACCAAACTGGCGTTGACCTCATCAAAAGGATTTGCCAGCGTCTTTTTGGTCTTTTTGTTTACCAAGCCTTGCACGGCCTTTGACTTTGTTCCGTGTAGTTTACAGCTGTGTGTGTCTGCGTGTGTGTGTGATTGTGTGCGTGTAGGGCAAGCGCAAGCGGTTTGGAAATTGTGCAAATGAACTTTAGGCCTTTGGCTTATTTTGTTTGCATTTCGGTTTTCGTTTTCCAAAGAGCTCTGCATATGCCACTATCCCTCCCACTCTCTATCTCTCTTCTATCTCTCTGCATCAATCTATCTCCCTCTCTTCAGTTGCCAGTGTTTGCGCCTAAAAACATGCTTTATTTTATTTTTGACAATATAATTTTGTGACTTTACAGGCAGTGTTGAAAATCTAATGAAAATAGCCAAGCTCCATGCTACTGCTTGCCAAATTCTAGGACACACACACACGCACACGCACACCCCCACAACTATTGACTACTGAGTATTGAGTATCCTGCTTGCACTGTGTGCCTTGTATTTTGTTTGCTTTTGTATTTTGCTTGTTATTGCAAATTGTTTTTTGTTTTCATCTGTCACAGTTTTACAATTCTCTGCGAATCTCTGACCCCCTTTTCCGAACAATCTCTTTGATTTTGACCCCTATTGTGACACTGCACTCACTTATCGTATTGGTTTACGAAATTGGTTAAGCTCTGCTGACGCAATTGTTTAAATTGACTTTTGAAATGTCAGACGATAATGTTTGCCAGAAATAGCAGTGAGAACAAGACGGAGATAGAGGGATGAAATTATGTTTTTGAAATGGTCTTAGTTATAGAATGTTTGTTGCAATATAAACGAGTTTGTTTCGAAAAAAGATAAGAATAAACTATGATTTTTAAGTAAGCAAAAACGATAATTTAAAAGAGAAAAGAATAGAGAAAGAGATGAAAAGAAATAGTAGAGAAAAATAGTGAAGAGAAAATTGGCAAGGCAATCAAACAAATGCAAGCTGAATAGTTTAGAAAAAGTAGAAAAGGGCTTGAAAGCTTAAACTATATATCTTGTTTTTAAATAAGCGAAGAGCCGTCAATGCTTGTACTGAAAATAATAAAAGATAGCAGACTGGAAGAAACTAGAAAAGAGGAAAAATAAGAGATATGTGATCAGGACAGAACAGTGCTTGAGTTTAGAAAAGAAAGCAGAACTGAAGAGAAAAGATGAATATTTGAGAAAAGAGAAATGCATAGAGCAAAAATAGTTTGGCCAATAAATACAAATATATTAATGCATTACCTAGAAGGAAGGCAGTCTAAGTATAGTAGTCTATTAGTATACAATTTGTTAGGTTTTATCTGAAGACATTGGGCCTTCCTAGAAATTTCTTTTTGAAAACGTAAAAGTAAAAATTTCGTTATTTCTTTACGTAAACCTAACTAAGTAGTTTTAAACTATATTTACGAAATTTTAAAGGCTTAAAGGCTTTAATATAGTCAGCATCTTTATCTATTATCTTATCTCTATCTATCAATATACCAATTGACAATTATATGAGTAACTGCTGTATTAATGCAAATTTGTAAAACGAGCCATTGTCATTTAGTTCGATTCAAACATCTGCCGTCTATATTTAAAATGTTTTCTGACCCAAATTAAAAATAGAAAATTAATTCACTTTTTTTTTAAGTATTTCGCTTTGGTTTTAATGTGAAGTTATAGTGCCTTTCTATTCGTGGCTAAATTCTTAATGAAACTAGAAATCACAACTGTTCACTATTTAATACATTCACGTATATATATATATCTATATAAATATATATTTATATATATATTAACAATATTCACTTATGATATTTAAGCTCATCCTGTACCTTTTTGAGCGGCTGCCAAGGCAAAGGATTAACATACATTGCAGACACACTACCGCGCAGAGAGTCCATGCCCTGATTCATGGGCACCGGTTTCGGCTTTCCATAGACATTGGTCATCCATTTCTGCCAGGCCTTCTCGGCCAGCTGCTTGCGCCGCTGCTCCTCCCGTTTCTTTTTCAATTGATGACGCTGCATCTCTAAGCGCTGACGCTTCTGTTGCTCTTGCTTTTTTATCCACCAACTCTGCACCACTTGCCGGATCTCAGCCTGTGGTACATTACGCACTGTCTTGTTCTGGTTCGCCATAGAATTGGCTGCCTGCAACGCTGCCTGCTGCAAATGCTCATCCATGCGCCGCTGCTCCGCCTGCTGCGACTTATTGCGCAACCATTGCTCGTAGCAGAGCTTGGACAGTTGCTTGCGCAGCTCATGCTTTTCCATTTCCATTTCGCGCTCCTCTTTCTGGCGCTGTAGCTCCTGTTGACGCAGCATCTGCTTGGAAGCATACCACGTCTCATAGGCTAGTTGTGGTTCGCGATCTATCTTTAAGCCACCTATCTCACGCATATAGTCTAAGGTGCTGGCCTTAGACGTAAGGCCAAGCGATGGGACACGATTGCTTTGTGTCTCCATGTGCTTGAGCGAACCGTACATACCGGTAAAGCTATACAGTGAATTGGTATTAGCTTTACTGTGGGTATATGTGATACCCTCTGCAGGCGGTAACGAAAGCGGTGCTGACGACGATGATGATGATGCACCATGACTCTTGTATAATAAATTCGAAGGATGCTGCATTAGGGAAGGCTCCCAATGATGATCCGAAGGATCTGAACGTAGCGAATGCTCTCCAAGAGAGAGCTCTGACTGTTCGGAAGGCGTTGAAATGCTGCTAATACGCGTACGTCCCGAGAAAATTTCATCATTCAAAACGATTTCCCCATCGGAATCAACGTGTCCACTAAATGCCATTGCTATTCTTGTAGTCGTCCTTGTATGCTTGTATGTGTAACTGCAAGTACGAGAAAGTTATTGTATTTGTAGTACAACAAATTTAAAATGTGCTCTATTCTACCTATTTGACGTGACATTCGAAGTAATTATTTATATGAACACTCTCGACATTTGAGCGATCGCTCAAGGTCAAAGTGGATCAAGTAGAGTTCTAAAATAATCGTATGCATTAAGAAACAGCATATGGTAGAAGTGATCTATGAGAAACTCTTTCAACGTGTCATAATCCATGAATTTCGTTAATCAAACAACTTTTTGAATGATTGCCAGCTTGAATAAAGACGTCAGCTCCAGCCTTACAGCAATTTCGGCTAAAATCCTTAATAGAAACACGTCACGTATAGCAATGACTAAGTTGTATTATAGTATATATATTGTAGTAATAGTAGTTTTTAATTACAATCATAGTATTAGTAGAGCATTGGAGAAGTGGAAGAGCATATCAATTAGGAGGGGTAGAGAAAGTAGTAGAAGTAGCAGTAATATTAGAAGTAGTAGCAGGAGTACAGTAGTAGTAATAGTGTTACTAAATAGTACAATTTTCAGTTAACTTTGCTTAAATAGTAGTAAAAGTTGAATTAGTGAAAACATTTGTAGAAGTAATCCATTCATAAATAGTAGTAAAAAATGTATTAAGTAACATATGCATAAGTAATGTTCGCATAAATAGTAGTAGAAACTGTATTGGTAGTAACATTTGCAGCGGTAAACTTTGCATAAATAGTAGTAGTAATTGTATAATATATTTTAAGGCAATAATTCAAATTTCGGCATTTATCTTATTTTTTACACAATAGCAAATATCAATTCTCTGCTCAATCTGTTGCAATCCAATGCCAGTTTAAGACCCAGCTTTCCTACAGTTGTTAAGTGTAGTCAGGCATAAATTAATTTCAACTGCCTTCCTTGTATTTTCCACTTCATTGCGGAGCTGTCAATGCATCAGCTACTCATATTAACCGCCTATCAATGCTGCACCATAAAATATTTGTCATCATACGACACAGGGACACACACACAGGCGCACACACCTGACACACCCACAGACACACGCACACACCAGCACACACAGTATGCAATTAAACCTGCACGGCTGCCAATCGCTCCTGCATATGCAACGAAAAATGTTTAATTACAATGCAGAAAACAACAACAGTTGCAACGACGACAACAATAACAAGTGGATTGTCGTGGCAGGGGTGAGCCAGGGAGGTACAAGTGGCAGGGTTGCAGGGGCAAAATATACTTTGTTATTGCTGGTGCGAGTGTAAACCTCAGCCGCCGACACATCAGCAAATGGCGGCGGCTCATTGACATTTCCGCTGATTACTTTATGGTCCCACACTCACACATACACACACGCACACACACACACATGCAGCGACGCCTGTCGCGACATGACATGACATTTCAGCGCCCAACTTGAAGCCCCACCCAATTGTGAAACTGTATAAAGTATCAAATAGACCTTCTACAGTTACTCTTTCCATAGTCAGTTAGATAATGAAAGTAAATAATAACGTTTCTTTATAAAATAAAATAAAAGTTGTTGAAAGTTACAAATCCAAGTGGTTTTTGACATTTATAAAACTAATTTTAAATTGCATAAAAATATCTAAAATGTTCGAACTCAAATCTATTTTAAAATATTTTTTAATTGATTTTAATCTCGTTTAATCTTGTTTTATTTTTCTAAGGATTCAAAATGTTTCTCAATTGTTTCTTTTCTCTATATTTCATTTATACCATTTAGTTTTTAATAAAAATATTGAAGCTTAATATTATCTTTCAGATTATTATAATTACGTTGTTTTATATAAAATTTAATCCAATTATATTACGACCACGGAAGTTCTGTATTGAGTATATGAAGTTCTCTAGCAGCGAAAGTGATTAGATCGGGAAGCAAAACTATTTTGCATAAAATCTATCCATTGGCATTGGCTTAGCGTAGTATATGAGAGAAAGATGCAAGGAGGAGAAAGTTGTTTTGCATATTATTTTCTCCTTTACCATATATAAGAAAAGCTTGCGTAGTACATATGTATTATTTCAGTTATATACTATAATATGATTCGGAATTGTTTTTAGTATTAGAAACTAATTTTAAAGCTCAAAGCTTAATTGTAATACAAACACGTGGCCATAACGACTACATAAAGGTACAAATACTATAAGCTAGCAATGAAGTCATCTCCAAGTCATGAGTGAGCCAGTCATTACACAATTCATCACCAATTAATAATAGCCTCGGCTAGAGTATAAATCGTATTTAAGTAACGAGAGTATACGCATTTCGATAGAGACACGAGACTGAACTCGCTTTGTCACACATGCCGAAAATCTCAAAATTTAATGACAGTCTAATTATGCGTGCAAATGGTTTATAAATATTTTACAACCAGCCAGCCAGCCAGTCAGCCTCATGACCGTGACTTGGAGCTGAAAGCTGTGGCCACAATTCCACATTCCCATTCTGCCTTTGACCTTATCGCTCTGTACATGCTCTTTCTTTATTCAGTTTGCATTCTGGCTTTTTGACTGTCCACACTTACTGTGTGTGTGTGTGTGTGAGAGTGTGAAATTTGTGTGTTTTGCGCATCGCTGATTGCATTGTGGTTTTACGACTTCATTATTGTTAATTATACGCCGCGTTGCCGTTGACCCACCTTTGGCATATAAAGGCCAACGCCGCGCTGTCTGTCATGCAGCAACAAAAAACATAACATGACTAATTTATATCCAGAGGAACCGCAACGGACAACACTGTCATACTGCAGTTATTGTGGGTAAAAGAGATTGCCCAAAATGGAAAAGACCATAGTGGACTGAACTCAGCATTAGATATTTGAAAACAACTTTTTAGAAATTAACTTATTTGTATTATTAGTAAACCTCTCAGGTTTGTATGAACGTCCCCTAAGATCCAAATGGTTTCCAAAGTTAACTATTAGCTATTTTCTAGGCCTATTTTAATACTTATTTTATCCTTAAGGATAAACAACGTATTAAGACTTTTTAGATATTTCTCCTACTTTCCACAAAACAGGACAAAAAATTAAATTAAATATTCTTTGGAAAAGGTGTCGAGCCATTCTTAAATCATTTTTCTAATCCTAACAAATAAACTATAAAAATTGGATAAAATGTGTAGATTAGCCATACTTTATCAGAATTTTCCGAATTAGTTTTAAAATATGCCCGAGGACATGTAGTGTAAATTTTATGTTTTTTTTCTGTGTGAATTTATTTGCACTTTGCTGATGACAGAACATAGCAAAAAATATTTTTATAAGCATAACAAAATCAAAACAAAAGTCAAGACGGCTCTATACCTTTGAGGGTAGGCGATTTTTCAATCATGACGCTTACTGCGCTGTTAACGCATTGTTGAATAACTTGTGGTTAGATTTTTAAATTGAATAATAATTATGGCATCTATGTGCTGGTATTTGCAAACGCACAAATCTCTAGGGGAGAAGAGAAAATATACAAAATTTCTATATTCATTACAGAAACCTAAACAGTTTTCAAAAGTCTCTAACATTTAGATTATTCGATTTATATCGATCATAAGGAAATGGGATGAAATATCGAAAATGAAGATAATCTTGTAATGCTTATGGTATGAACGAACATACGCTTCATATTTTAGACTCTTACTCCTGTGGCTTATAAGATCGCTGCGTTCTTACGGACGGACAGAATGTATACTTCTCATTAAAGGATTTATTATGTGAAATCAAGACAGAGTGATATGGCTAGATCGACTCAGTGCGTCATCCTGATAAATATATACTTTACTAGCTCTGCCAACCCTCTTTTTGCTCACTTTGTCTTTGTGATGTATTAAACTCTTTCTCGTCTCTTTCAACACTTGCTAACAGCAAAAAGATATTATAAAATTCTAAACAAGGTTTCGGAGAGAAGTTTTATCTGCTAATACAGTAACAGTTTTTTTAGCAATAGCAAAATTCGCAGTGCCAAAGTATCGAATAACGTTGTGTTTTCAAAGGCTAAGAGGTTTAGCCTAGTTTATTTCGAAAATCTGACGTTTTAGAAATATTTTGATTGAAGATTCGTAAGTGAATTCTGTAGACTTTGCCGATTAATGCTTCAAAATGCCATCTGTGTCGTTATGTATATCGTTACTCTCCCAACTGTTTACAATTAGTACTTACTCGGAAATTTAACAATGAAGCTGAGAACTTGATAATTTCAAAATCGAAAGATAGTCTTACGCATCCACTGCCTGAATGATACAAAAGTTAACAATTTTCGGTAATTTAACACTCTTACACGTTCCTATATTTTTTGCACAACACTAAAATTCTATAAATATATATATATATATATGTATAAATGTTACCTCTGCCTACTGGATCATGTCGATACTCGACAGAAATCCTAATGCTATATCTACATAAATTTGTGCATTTCTATTGCAGATGCTTTGCGTTTTCTATCAATTATGATAAGTTCATATAAAATTTAAAAAGCATAGCTTAAGTGTTTTGAACAAGGTTACTGAAACTGTTTGATCAAGAAGAGTTAACAATGTTTGTTTCGTATTAGACTGAAATTTGTTGTTAAGAAATCTTTGGCAATCAAATAATTGCAGCTTGCTGCTCTCTTCAGCTTCAGCAAAGGCTTTCAATTTTAATTGGCAACATTTGTAATTTGCACAATTGGAAACAAGTCAAAGCCAGTTGACAGGCTGTTGCCTAATTTTCTATTTGATTTATTTTGATGGAAAATCATTTGAGTTTTAACACAATTATGAGGGCGAAGCTAAAGAAAATTGCCTGGCATTTGGATAATGTTGCATATAAACTTATATGGCTTGTTTTCGCTTGGCTTTGAATGTCTTAAGGCTCAAATTATAATGTGGGCATGTTAACAAATTTAATAGAATGCCACACGCACACACACATAAACACACGCACGCACACAGGCAGACGACTGCTGCTTGAACTTCACACACATTAAATTCATTTCACATGCATAGCAAAACGTCAGACAATAGAAATTGCCACGCCTACACACACACACACACACACACCGCACTTAACTGTATGTGCAAGATTTTGATTTGGAATTTGTAAATATGGTCACGTATGTTATTATACCAAATATCTCTCATGGTTATGTTTATGTGCCGTTGGAATGTGCAGCTCAGCGTCTTACAGTAAATTGACTTTTGTATTCTCTCTCATTGGAAATTGTGGCACACACAATCTATGTACATATATTTATGAAGGTGTGTCTGTCTGTGTGTGTGAATTGAGAAATTTGAATTTATATCGAATATTTTTCCCATACTTTGGTATTTTAATTAAATCAGTTTATGGCAATTGCTTTGGCTACTGTAAGAGGCTAGCTGCAGATTAAAGATACTTTGCTGCAAGCTGCTTAAAATTAGCTGGACGGAATATGTTGAAGTTAAGACTTATCTCTAATAATTATATCACATATAAAGTATGAGCATTCATTAAACTGATTTTTACAAAATGATTACCTGCTTGACTTAATGGAAAATTTTGAAAACATTTTAAAGTCATCTTAACTTGGCCTCCAACTGACGATGATGTCAGTGGAAAGTAGCAAATCATTGCGTCATGTGTGCATGTTGTTGAAATGTATCTTTCACGCTCAATTTATTTGTAATGATGTCGACAGCATGTCAGAAGCAGCAGTAGCAGCAGTAGCAGCAGCCGCAACATCAGGTTCAGCAACTTAGAGGCCTCTAGTGGCAGCTAGGCATTACTAGGCACAAAAAAAAAACGAAAAATAAAAATGAAAACGTGTGGCAGGCAACGGCACATTAGTGCCCGCAAATCCCAATCATAAAGATGGAGCATGAACGTAGGCTGCCAACTTTTCGCGAACGCATTTTTCATGTCGAACGCGTGGCAATCGGCATGGCAAATGATGTCCTCGGGGAGTACCCAAAACATTTCCTTCTATCTTTTTTTTGCTCCTTGCTTTTTTCCGTGTTACATTCGAAATGTCCGCGCTAATGAAATAAACATGTTTATTAGATACAAACGCTGCCCCAGCAGGGCTTTGCTGATTTCGTTTTTTATATTTTTGCACGCTGCGTATGATTAATATTAAGCGTTAGCCTGCTTGCACCTGTCGTCTTTGTAATTAATTGAATTATATTTCTCAGGACGTGCCGCCAAGCAGCGCTCACATTATAAATTCAAAGGGCATCAAAAACAGCGGAAATGCAATTAAAATGTGCAGCATCTCCAGCTCTTTCCAGCTCTCCATCTCTCGCCGTTAGCCACGGCGTGTCGGTCTGTAAGTGTGGCTAAGCGCAAATTACCAACAGCTACTTACAGCTAGCAGTTAAAAAAGAGGCAAGAAAAGTGAGAATTGTAAAACGAAGCGAAGAAAATTCTGTTGCACTCTGTGCGAGGAGTTCTATTATGCTTAATTAAGTTTTTCTGCCAGTTGGCAGTTAGTTCTCTTGGAAGCGGCAAGCGGCCCAGTTGGCCAAGTGGCGCAAAGTGCCCTCAATAGATTGTGTGCACTGGCCAAGTGAGGGCACAGTAAAGCAAACTTATTAGCTGGCCATTGTACTGTGGAGATAGGGAAGGGAGAGGGAAAAGAGAAGAGAGTGAATGAAGTATGGAAATTAGATAGCTAGTTGTTAGGCTTATTTCATGCTCAAATTAACTTTGAACGGGTTTACACTTGGCAAGCAAAGATGCTTGATTCTACTGCCTGCAATGGCTAATGTTTTTTTGATTTGTACATGCATTTTACATTTAGTATTTTGCTATTTAAAATTAATATTAATTTAAAATAATATTAATTTAAATATTAATATTTATTATAAAAACTTAATTAACTTAATCCTATTGAATTTGAATATGAATAAAAAATTTTAAATACTGTAATATGTGTGTGCAAATGTCTGTAACATAATAGTCTGACTAACTATATTAAGTATATTATTTCTTGAACAGAAAGATGAATCGATTTAGCTTTGATTTGAAGTATTTAAGAAATTAATTAATATAATTTGTTAAGGCTGTGGATGGTAACGAACACAGCCTTATTTGCTAAAAGGCAAGGTGTAACTACAAGAAAGTTTTAAGGCGATATTTTAAATATGTTAAGGCAAGAGTTAGTCAGTCAAGTCTTGAGCATGGTGTCTGAGCCTTATATTAAATATAATGTTAAACATTTCAAATATATATTTTAAAAAAAACGTACATAATAATACAGATTTGTGCTTTGGCTAATGCACCCAAGTGTGTCATTATCATGGCAACCTTAGTCCAGGCTGAGGGCATTTCCTAGCCATGCACTCCCGTCTATTGCATTCTTACGCAAGAATGTGACTCTATGGCCTAATTGGCTTGTCTTCAACAGCCAAGCTTATATTTCTTTGTTGCTCGTAATATATAAATAAACATATCTGAAAGTAGTTCTACTTCTCATCTCAAAGGTCTTCCTTTTGAATTGGTATATGAACTTAGCTTAGATGAGGAGTTGCTCTGCCTAAGCTTGTTCTTTCCAATGCTAATTGCCATTAGCTATTAAAACTACTTTGACACTTCAAAGCCAATTATTATTTCTAGATTTGCTTAAAGCTTATTGTGTTGGTTTGATCTCTAGTAAGTTATTAATTTAATAAGAAGCTTATCAAATCAATGGGAATCTCATTTGAAATATGAAACTCAATTGAAAATAAATAAAGTTTGCCTTGGGCTATTAAATTTAATTCATTTGATGCAGTTGTTGACGTTTGGCGTACTTAAATAAATCCGCATTTAAGTGAATGTACTAAATATATATAAGTTTGAGCTCCATTCATAGCTGCATGCTAATGAGGTTAATGCTTGCATTGAACCCAAAACAGCGCAGGCCAAAAGATGGCCAACCCCTCAACCAACCCCTGCCGCCCCTTGCCCACCGTTGCCGCCTTTTGCTGTCATAAGCGCTGTGGCGGATTTTCAGATGTGCTGCAAAAAGCGAGGCAAACAAACTGACAGAGAGACAGGCCGACAGACCAACAGGCAGACTTATGCACACACAGAGCCACTCGGGGCAGACTTGAAGAGACCAACTAATCAAGGTAATGAAATCAGTTTTATTTCAGCAAATTTTTTTTTAAAGCTGCAGCATCCGTTTTTTACTTACGGACACGCTGCACGGATTGCGGATACATTCGAGGGCATGCAAATAGAATCCAGCATGTTTGTCAGCAGCTTGTTCAAAGTGTTTGCCAAATGGTGGCGTGGGTGGCCATCCAGAACTCGTTGTTGTCTGGCCTTTGGCCTGTGTGTCTGCAACCACAGGGGAGACGGCGAGTCTAATGAGAAGCTCTTTAGATATTATAAATTAAATGTATTAAAAATGCATAAAATGAGCCTGAGCTGAGTGTGAACAGACATTAAAGGCAACGTATATGAGAAGAGAGTGGCCAACTGTCGACGAAGTCCAATCAAGTATTTTTTATTTAACTTAAATTTAATTTGTAAATATTATTAAATAATATATATTATTTTTAAGGATCAGCCTGGCTTTAAGTTCCTGTAATAATTATAAAGAAAAAAAATAATAAATCTTGATGAAGTCTACAATAACTTGACTCTAAAAATATAGCTGAGCAGGGATGTATTTATTATAAAAAGTGTGTTCATGGGTTATCCAGACGAGCATAAATTCCTAATCCAGAATCCCTATAGAACCTAAATCCTAATGGATCGTAAGGGTTAAGGGCAGCAAAGAGTATATTTTGAAAATTTCACGTCTCTAGACAGACACACGGAGAGATGGACGGACTACAAGGCGGACATTGCACGGCGTCAATACACTTTTTCAGTTTTGGAAATATCAGTAAAAAAGTCTTTTACTCAAATAATTGCTATTCTTACTAGCTGACTAATCAAATCAATCTTTGCTTTATGATCCACGTCTGTAGCTTATTGAAATTAGCCAAAATGTTATTCACGATTTCGAATATCTAGGAATTACCTTAGGAACTTAGCTTTCATGCATTGGGCTTAGCTGAAGCTAAATTTTGAATATACATTTCAGCTACACTAAAAAGCTTCAATGTCGCCTTCAACACCCGAGCGATGTTTCTGCTTCTTAGCAACAAGTTTTAGCGTGCTCCCTCGCCCTCACTCTCTCTCTTTGTGTCTTCCACTGTGCATATCAGAAGCAGCGTTAACTTGGCAAATTCAATTAGTTGGCCAAAAATCTGAGCTTGCTAATCTGTCATATTTAATTAAGAAACTTTTGCAAAAACAATCGCTGATGAAATATTGCCGTCACCAGCGCGTCTCAATGACGGCGACGCCATAAAGTATGCAACGTAAAGTCAATCAGACCAGCTGCAGAGGCGCAAACGAGACAGCAAACAAACGCCCACAGATACGCGTGTGAAATGCCAGAAGCCAGAAACAGCATTGTACACGTGTGTGGGTGGTTGCGTGTGTGGATGTGTGTGGGTGTGTATTTTCATTGCCGTGTCTTTTGGGCGCATCGCATAAATTCCATTTGACATAGTTTTTGAGCAGCGTTAAACCAAAAATAGGTTTAGATGCAGACGAAAATGGAAGCAGCGTAAGCTACCCAATGATACACACACGCACATACACACACATGCACATACACACATATATATACATATATATATATATATATATATATGTATATATACGTATAGATAGCGGACGAGACGGTTGCAGTTACAGTTTGCCCCCAAGCCATAATTGGTTGCGTCAGTGCATAAGTCACGAGTTCATTCAAGTCCTACGAGTCCTTCGAGTCCTGCTCGAGTCGTTGCCATGACGACAACCTAACTGCGTGAGTGTGTGTGCGAAAGTATGCAGCATTAAAATGGGATAAATGCAAGTAGCCCACTAATTGAATTGCCGACTAGATCTGTCTCTCATCTGTCTCTCTCATCTCTCTCGTCTCTCTGTCCCTCTCTTGTTTAGGCTATGAAATTTTGGTAATTAATATATTCACGTAAGCGGAAATGTGCAACAAACATGTGAGCGACATTGGCTCAAAAGCAAGTTTATTTAACAAGCTGTGCAAAGTTGTTGCCGTTGTTCTCGTCGTTGTCGTTGACTATGTTGCCTCTATTCAGCATGTTGCCGCTTTAAAGTTTTAGTGGCAAGTTTGTTGAACCATTAAAAGTTCATAACGCTTTTGACAACAATTCTATTATATGTATTTAGTCATACTCCACATCCACGAACAGCAACCCAAACAACATTATGATTAAGCTATATGGCTGAGCACGGCGTGCCGGGCATAATAATCTAATTTAAATTATCTCGGTTGTGATGGATAATTTTGATTTTAATGTTGATGGCAAAGGAGCTTCACCTTTGTTTGGTATATAATGGTTGTGAATTTTTTTTAATTATTATGACTTTTATGAGATTGCGAATGTGGTATTCAGCAGAAGTTTCAGGCTTTCTACATAGGCCTCTAAAATTGTTTGTTCTTTGAGACTTGTTGATTGTATTTTCTACTTAAAAAAGTAAAATATTTTATTATCTAGCACCAAATTGTAGAATCATAGGGAAAAAATTCTTTGCCAATATGTCTATATTATTTTTTATTAGATAAGTATTTATTAATTTTAATTCTTATAACACGAGAAGAAAAGCGAAAAATCGAGAAAAAGAATAAGAAAAGAGAGGAAAACAAAATAAAATACAAATGAGGAAAATTAAAAAACGAAAGAAATAGAAAAGAAAGAAAATTAAAAGAAATGAAATAAATAAGGACAAAGAAGAAATATCGCAGAAAAGATAATCTAGTGTGAAAAACTAATATAAAAAATTTCCAAGTTGTCAAATTTTAATGTTTATTCATTAAAAAATTATGATAAAAATTCTGATTAAATATTCTTTTGGTTTGATTGAAATTTTGTTTAATATGACTTTAATATTTCTATATAAAATAAATAAATAAAGACATGTAAATTGAAGAAAATATATATTCAATTTAGAGTATTTAAACTATAAATAATAAGTAACAAAACACGAACTACAAGCGGCTTAGAGCGGTTAAGCAATGATCTCATTAGAGAGAACACGGAGCAAATCACCTCAATCTCGTTAAAATTATAAATCTCTTACAAATTTAAATCCTTTGAGCTTAGCGAACGTTGCTGAGCCAAACAGTACAACTTTGGACAAGGAACTTTTTGTAGTTTGACAAGGTTTACATTTTTCTATGAATCAGTATTATTTAGCTGCTAGAATAATTTGCCATTAAAGTAAATAGAAGACAGCTTAACACAAAGCGAATGTCTTATGTATGACAGCCATATATAAATGCAAAAAAAATTCTTAAAAAAGTCAAGGTTCTTTTTTTTTAAGATACGACTGGACATAGTTTCATGGCTTAGTAGCCAAATAATTTGAAATATATTAATTTATTTTGCATTGAGGTTTTATTATGTAATTAGCTAAGAAATTTAAATTATTTGTGTATCTATTTCTATTAATTTAATAATATAATAAATATCTTAATTCAAGAAACTATTATGTTACATGTATATTGTTTCGAGAAAGTCAAATACTTGTATTTAAATTGGGAATGAACAAGAAATTAACTTAATATTTCGCTTGAAAGAATTGTATCAGCAGCTATATCTATGTCTGTATCTATGGCTGAGTCAGCAGCTGTGTCTGTTATCCAACTAATTTTATTATCTCTGTCCGTTCGCACGGCAGCACCTGCAGCCAAATTGAGATCTTCACGCAGAAACAAGCTGCAACTGTCAGAGTTGCTGCTTGGCCATAAGTCAATTAGGTAAATTGACTTACCTTACTTCATGACGTGCTTTGGCCAAAGTTGTCGCGTCTTCATCTTCTTTTTTTGGAAAAGGGCACTTAACTGATTTGTTTGTGGTCTGGCTGAAGTGAAGTCGTCTTCAATTCGCTTTTAGCTGAGGTGCCAATGCGCAGAGATTTTTGTGTGCGGTCTGTGCAGATGAAGCACGCTGATTGAAAGGCTCTTAAAGAACTTTGCCGCGACTTGTGTCCTTGAAGTTTGTTTGCTTAATTAACTAAAGTTAACTGAAAGCTTAAAAATCTTTAATCCAATTGACAATGCATCGATGAAGCATGGGAATGTTTGTTGGAGTTATACGTATAAGGAAGACATCACTCTAAAATTGTAACATATACAAATCGGAGTTATTGTAAATAGTAATAAATTACTTGGCTAACCAAGTAGCCCACATTGCTTATTCAGCTGACATTATTCACACGTTTTGCTTACATTTTCATTTCCAACAAATATATATTTATATATATAAAACGCTAACGTCTGACACAACCGTTGCGCAACTGCCACAGGAGATTTTTCGCAATCAACACAATTTTCGGTGAGTCTAACATAAAGTGAATAATACTTATATATAACTGATGTGTCATATATATCCAAGATAAATTAGCTAAGTATTGCTGGTGGGTGGGTTTAGATTGGATCTCATTGAATGCATTCAGATTTACATTCGCTAAGAATTGGAAGTTTCTCTTCTTTCGGTATTTCGTACCTTTCTCCATTTCTTTTAAGCAGTGTAAAATGCCTTGTTGACTGGCTCCAAGTGCTTTTAAGAGCTGCTCTTGCTTTTGTGCTGGATTTTCATCGAGTCTTGCCTGCAAATTCTGATTCTCTTCGGGTCGTTCTTTGCCTTGCAAACCTCTCTTAAGTTATGCAAAGCACTTTTAACATGTTCTTTCAGCTAAGGCATCATCAGCAGAAGCTTCTAGTGAAATACAATGACTTTCAACTGCTTGCCTCATAGACAGGAAGTAAACCACATTAATCAGACAAATCTTGTCATTTTTGAGTCGTTATGTTAAGACTTAAGCGAAATGAGAAATGAGTTAGGAATGCATTCTACTGCAAAAGATGTGGGACGATTGCGAATTGGGTAAATCTGTGAAGATCTGCTAAATTTGTTGTCCTCTACTGATCGATTCATATTCAAATTTTATAGCCAAGATTATTAACGGCGGGAATTACTGATAGTCTCTCTAGTACAAATCATATATGTTCAGCTTTATTTCAGAGACTTGAAATATTTATATAGAACAATATCATACACTTCTGCAATGTAATAGCTGAGATAAACAAGTTCTGCAGTTCAGAAGATTCATATTTGATGAAACTGCTAATTGTCACTCTTTCACTTGGTGCAACGTTTTCCAATTACCAAGATGGGTAACAGCATAGCATTTAATTGTTTAATTCGCCATGATATGAGAGTCGTGTCCATTTCATTAGATAATCCTTGCTGTAATGGCATTCGAGGCCAACAGTTCATTGATTTAAAATGATTGAGCTGAATCGTATGAAAAGTTAATTAAATAGGCAGGTAGCGCAGGTGAATTGTAATGCAAACGAGATGCGCATATTGTAAACAGGCTTTGAATTATTTAAAAATTAAAAAATACAAAAAAAATAGCGAGGCAACCGCAGGACCGACGCACATGGCGGATGCGTGATGAAATATGTATTGCATTGGCCACAGGTGAAATTGTCACGTTTTTAATTAAACGCAACGCACAGCATATCGGTAATAACAATCAATGGCTATGGCAATAGCAAAAACAACAAGAAATGGTTAAATGAAATTATAATTAAAAAAAAATCGAATATGAAAATGAAAATGAGAATAAAAATGAAAAGTGATTTGAGTGCGTGCGTAAACTATGTAATCGAAGCCAAAACTAACAACCTGTTGGCCTCAGCTGGTTGTTTGCTTTACTTGATTTTTAATGGCTTATTGTATTTGCTTTATAGGCCAACCACACCATGCCATTGCCATTCCCATAGCCTTTACATTAAATTGATCACATTTAATTTTGAGTCTTTCGCTTTAATTTCCTTTTCTGTTCCATATTGATTTAGTTTCCTACCTTTTTTCGACTGCTTTCAAGTCATAGCATGTCATAGTCGTTGTTGCTTCAATAATTAATTTTAGCCTGCATTCAGCTCTTGTTGCTGCTTTTAAATTTATAACTCACTCTCCTTTGCCATGGAGCTCGAACAGCAGCTGCGCACGTTCCCACAACTTGCAGCAATGTGTTCGATTCGGTTTAGAATTGCTTAAAGCAGGTGTAATGCGAAGTATTTAACTTTTAATTTCAGTTTTAATTAAATTAATATTTATATAACTGTAGTTAAAAATTGCAACTAAAGTTTAGCCTTCACTGTATTTTATTTTAATTATTTGAAGTGGTTTTCTATTAAAAACCTGTTGATGCAGTTTTCCATCAGAAAGGATTTCTGTTAAAATTTTAATTAATTTATATTTTATTTACAATTAACAATTATTTGTTGTTTATAAAATATGTTTAGTCTCTAGTAACAGCGAACGATTATTATCTGCTTCGTTGCCAGTAAATATTGTAAAGCGAATGCTTTTAGAACAATTTATCAGATTTTTAACGTATAACGTATAAATTCATAATTACACACAAATTTTTTGGCTTAAATATGCATTTTATGCGTAACAAACATTTTGTTTTAATCATAATTTTGGCACATCATTTTCAGCAATTTGGTTGAGTTCAAACTCAAATAACTAAAATTTTGCTGAGAGCAATTATAACTATTGGTAAAATAATAGAACAATACTTATTTATTTATTTATAATTTAACATTCGTGTATGTAATTATATTATATATAGCTGTAATATTAGCATGGAAATTTCACGATAATTTGTGTAAAAGTCAATTTTAATTTCATAGGAATACCCCAAACGTATAATAAAATGCAAAGGATGCTGTGGGCTTTGCTTTTATATGAAAGACTGATCTGCGCGTAAGTCTTTCAGGTGTTTCTTTAATTTCAAAATTTCTCAGACTTGTTGGTCAATCTAGCTATAAATCTCAGAAGTGAAATAGAGTTAGTCATACACAGAGAAAATTGTTTCGGTTATTTTACTACATTAAATCGTCATAATTCAAATGGAGCGCAATTTTAAAGTTATTCTCTAACTCACATTCACATTGGTTAGACAATAATCAACGAAGAAGCACGCAGAGAGTGTGCGTGCTTATATATATATATACAATTTTGTTCATCAAAATAGTAGTTATGCACTTCACTAAATCGAATGAAAAGGCACTTTTGCCCACTTGTTGTTTAAAATGGAATACAAAGAGAATTCGTTTATATTTAAAACCCAGAAGTTCATAGAAATAATAGTGCTGAACGTTGTCCAACATTTAATGCTCTATCGCACTACTATTTTTATGAACACAGCTGAACATTTTAAATTTTAACTACTAAGTTGATTAGTAATAGTATTTTCTATTGTCGTTTTTAGCTATCTTTTTTAGTATTTGTTTATTTCCTTTCGATTTCTTTTGTTATTCTTATTGCAAGTGTTCAATTGCTTTTGAAAGTCATGTGAGGTGTCTTTCCAACACTAGAGGTTGGTTAACTTAGAGAAAATATGTTGGTGGTTATTTAAATATGTTTCATATATGTTAAGGGAAACCCATTCCATTTTTAAATGATTCTCATTCTTAAAGTATAATATCGCTGAAAATAAAATATATTTTACACATATCAAATCCAGCTCTCTTCAAGCAGCTTTTGCTATTTGGCAGCCCAACCCAGTTCCAGTGACCTGTCTGTTATACATGACATGTATGTTATCGTTATCATGAATCCGGAAAATCCGAAGCCTTCGCCTGTCGCTCATTTGACAAGTCATTTGCAGGTCGTAGAAAAGGGCCACTTAATTGTTTTTTGTTTAATAAGGCCGATGTCGGCACAAGATACAACAATTAAGCACATAAAAAATCATTTAATTATGTCTATCAAACGTCGCACACGGGCGCCTAAAAGAGCGCAGCGATAAGCTTTTTATTACACCTTACTCGGCTGGTATGTGTGGGTGTGTGTATATGCAGCTGATATGTGGGTGTTGGTAGGTGAGTCTCATTAAAAATGAAAACGCTACTCATTAACTGTGCCAGGTAACAGACAACCTGCAAACAACAACAGACATTCGCACACGACAAACGATTTTTGAGTCGGCAACTTTTCGCTTGAACACCCACACAAGCTTCGTGTGTGTGGGTGTGTATGGTGTATCCGTGTGTAGTGTAGTTTTAATTACCTTTCGCTGTCGTCGTGTGCTGCGCCACTCGTTCGACTCGTTGTTTAAGTAATTGTTTGTCATTAGTTAAAATGTTTTCATTTTGCTTCATAGAGCGAATTGGGCCACGTTTTGTGTAGACTGGTGTAACAAATACACTGATAAAAATATTTGAATTCTTGTATGTGTTTTCTTTAAAAATATGTATTTTTAATTGGCTTTAATTATTTAAATATACTTTTTTAAATCATTCAATAGGTGAATGTCCGATTTCCTTGCTCTTTATTAGATTTAAATGTAAGTTTTAAAAAAATGTCGCTTAAATTATTATTAGTATTATATTAACTTATCCCAAAAGGTATTATGTATTTTCATATTTAAGAAAAAATTAAAATATTCGAAGGTGCATTCGGCTTAATTAATTTATTACTTATTTAAAATTTCATAAAAAGCATTTGATCTATTTTCATATGAAGGTTTGTTTAAATAAATTTTTAATTTGGAATATTAAACAAAGTGTTAATATATTTTTATATGTAAGAACTAAATAGATATATTTAACTATGAAATTGGTTTGGTGGTATATTTTATAGATTTTAAATATAATTTTTTTTTATATTTCAATATGGAAAAAATAAAAAAATTTCATTCAAAAAATGAATCCCACAGTTTGTAATTTTTAAATAATTTTAGGAATGTCTTGATTTTTTAAACCATTATTTAATCTAAAAAAATTGCTTCTAGTTATAAATATCACAATTAAAATGAATTAAAAACTGAATATTAAATTATTAAATAAATATTAAACTTTCAATTTTTAATTCGAAATATTCGACATTTTAATGAAACAATTCTTTTTCTATTTTTCTTTGCTAATCCTAAAACGTATTTTCGTATCGTAATGTTTTAGTGAAGGATTTGTTGTATACAGCAACCGATGTATATTTATCGTTCTCGATTGCTAGCAGGCGTTGATCATTTGTTCAGTCCAGTCCAGAGTTGTGGGGGCTAACACAAATGACTGGAAACAATCAACAAACATAGACATAAACATAAAGAACATAAAAAAATCATATTACTAACCCTCAATCCTTCAGCTCTTCCACAGAACACTTTGTTGATATTGAAGAATGGCATTTGTAGCGCGTCGCAATACTGAGGGCAAATTGGTGGATTGTCAGGTGATTTCTGGGCATGGGAATAGCTCAATGGCCATGTCCGATTTGAGTGATGAAGAGACCGATTCAGGCACATTGCAAGGCTATAGTAATCGCTCCTATGTCTCGCCCACTGTGCGCTATGTTTCGTCGAAGGATGACGACGATGACCTTGACAGCTGCTTCACTTTTGATGGCATAAATGGCCGTGGTGCCAACAGCGTGGAAGCCGATCTTGACTCTATAGTAACTTTTAACGATCAGTATGAAAGCCCCCCCGTCAAGGCCAATCCCACTGGCTCTGAGACTGATACTGGCACAGAGAGTGATTATAACGCTGCCAGTGATGAGGAGGCAATGACGGTCAAATGCAAGACATCATCGGGCGTCAGCAAGCCGACTGCTGATACCATGACCCGTAATGCTATGGAATCGAGCAAGGATGATCTCGATTCTATTGATGGCGAGACTGTTTGCTGTGCAACTGATTTTGATAAAGATCGTTCGGATGCGCTAAGTTTGGAGTCCTTCGATATCCCAATGGGACAGCCGGAGGATGATGCTCGTAGTGTTTGTTCATATGAGAGCAGCATGGTTGGTTGCAGAACAGTCTGTCCACAGGTTGCCCTGGCAGAGGATTCATTTAGCCTGGGCTCTATTGACAGCAGCTCAGTTTCTAACCTTACGAATACCGACAACGCGCCGGATGATGCTGATAATCAGAGTCAGGTGACTAATCGCACATTCAATTTGAAACCTTCCGCCGTGCGTCGCGATGATTGCTCGTCGGCATCCACTTGCAGCTGGACCGATATGTATGGAGGGGCGCTGAAGCCCTCGGAGAGTCGCAGCAACATAGTACCATCACTTAGTCTTAACTTATCGGCCAATTCGTCTTCCGGTTCGTCCACATACTTTCGCAATCTGGACGAGGAAAAGGAGCGTCATGGCCAAGAGGCCTATCAGGAGTGGGTGAAGCGCAAGGAACGTCAAAAGCAACAGAAGCAACAGGCGGCCAAACAGGAGCGCGAGAAGCGCGATGCTGAGACTGCAATGCGTCAGCGTCTGGCCAAGGAGAGGTATCAGGAATGGGTACGACAGAAGGAATTACAGCAGAAGAAGCAGACTACTGGCAGCATTAAGAGCACCGTCAGCTACGGAAGCTATTCGAGCACCTCGAGCTGCACTGGTTTGACGTCCAGCAGCGCCAGCAAGCCGCAGCGCAAAGAGACACCAGAGGCAACCAAGAAGCGTTTGGCGGAGTGGGATCGCGTCAAGACCCAGCAGCAGCAGCGTGAGCGAGAGCGCGAACGTCAGAAGCAGCAGAGCAAGGACCAGTTGGAGATGCAGCGTAAGCAGAAATCTGAAGGCGCCTGGCAGAATTGGATGAAGTCGGTGGGCAAGCGACCCAAGCCGGTGCCACTCAATCAGGGCTTCGAAACACTGCGCGGCACCATATCAAATATATATGTGAATCCCGTGCAGTGGGTCTCCAATATCGATCCCAATGACTCACGTGGCAATTGAGCATGGTGCTCATTTCGCGAACCCTAGTCGTTTTCATCGGCATTTCAAGAAATCCCCAAAAAAAAAGTATAAAAACTGATCGCTGATCGCATGTTGAATAGGTCCAATTATCTGCCAAGCGAAACAACAAACACATGCATTTGCTCTTTCTTTGGTGATGTTGGACCCAGCGCAGAGAGAAAAACAAAAAAAAAATTGAAAATATGCGTCTATATATATGTCTATATATATTTGTTTACTGCTATATTGGATGGCTTACTGCAATTTGAGCGCCGATGTTTCAATAAACAGTCAATTGCAAACACAATTTCTTCTGTGTTTTTCGTCTTCAATGGGTTTGATATAGAAACAAGTAGCATTGGCATTTTATATCATATCTTAAGTGAAGCCCGTTTTTAGTTTTTGAATATTTCGAGTATCCACAGACAATGATTGGTGCGCTGTATGAGCTCTCGGAGTAATTGGTTCAGATATCCTTAATAAAGGTGTTTCTGAAAATTGGTGTTCCAGAACTCATATTTAAACGTTGTCATTTAATTCTTATCGAAAGTATCTTTTCTTGATGCTAAAATTATATATGAAAACATAACACATTGTTTTAAACTTTAGTTATCAAAATATCAAAATTAAATGAAAATCATAATGATTTATTGCTTGAATTCTATTTTGTATTATTTTTAACTTTGTCCAAAAATAAAAACTCAAAAGTAGAGTTCCACAAGTAAAATGAAATGGGCTTAAAAATTAAAAATGTAGCAAGTCCTATAAAGCACAAGTTTTGTGTTGGAAATATGCATATTTTTATTCATTTATATTCTTATCGGCTTATCAACTTCCTTTTCCACATATAAAAGTATGCATTATATATGATAATATAACAATCTGCTTGTAAATTATATTTTATTGCTAACTAAATTTTTAATTTATAATTTTTCAGATATAAATATTGGTAATATATTTCAGTTTAGAAAACAGAGCTCATATGTATAAATTCACATGATCTATGAGGTATATATATCATTTATAATATAACTTTATATTATTTTACTGTATTATATATAAGTAATATATGATTTATTAATGGTATTATTATTTATTATTAATTAAAATCATCAATTTTTGTTTTCCATTTATAACATAATCAAGTCGTATGTATTTAATTAGAGGATATGTGGAAATCAAAGTTCATGAACCGAACATCAATGCAGGAAATGCCTTGCCCCGAAAACTCTGTCAATAATATTTGTATTGTTTGCACAGAACTTTTGCACAGTGTACATATCCCAGCAATAGCAATTATAATCATTTTAATTACAAACCACGGACATTTTATATAAGTGGATATTTTCAACTGTGCCTTCCTGCTGTGCAGATTATTAATAGAAGCCTGCGTTTGTGAGCCTCAAGAGGAGAATGGGCACACACACACGCACATATACACACACACACACATGAGTATGTCCAAACCCAAGTTGTGGCACTCTGACAATACGATAACCTTTAGCCTTGCGTTCTAATGGCTTTTTCCCACAACATTTTGTGTCTGTGCGGCGTTTGTGTCCGAATTAGTTGCACTTCCTTGTTTACTAGTCTCTGCCTGTCCATTGTGAACTTTTTCTATATTTACCCATTTTACCAGTGCCCATTTGTGTGTCAATTTGTGCTTTTATTATTTATTTGTCAGTTCCATGGGGAGTTCAACTGGTTGGACTGGGCTTACAGCTGGGCAACGGCCTAATTAAGCTTTCGTATTTTTTTTTGTTTCTACCCTCACACGCCAGAGTTTTATTTATGCAATTAAGCAAAGCTCCGTGTAATAAAGTTCAGGTCGCAAGTAAAATCTTTGATTAATTGTAGTTTTGTTTACATGATGAGAGACCGAAGTCTACGCCTGATTATATGGGCTCAAAGCTAATTTATGGCAAGTGTATCGCCCAAGCTGCTTCTGCTTGAACAGGTGATTAGTGTATCGTCCTTGTTTGTGCTCTGTTCAGTTTTGGAAATTTGTTTACACATGCCGTGTTTTGTTAATCGCTTTCCAGGCCCAATCATTATCATTATTATGCTCTTATATATAACGATTCCATTGAGTAAGGGTAAACAGGGCATCAAACCTTAGTTGATATGTGTTGTAGGTGGGAGAAATAATCTCGTGCTTAAAGACGATTGTTCAATAATGATTATTGTAATGATGATGATAACAATTATGATTAGAATGATGATGATAATGGTGTTAACTGTAAATGAAAATACTGTCACGAATGTACTGTCAGTCTGGCCGACTAGTCGCACTGCATTTGCTGCTTGCCTACTTAGGAGCTACTACTTTGGTCTGCCGCCCACTTTGGAATCAGGCGTTACACCGCACTAATCTTTAAAGTGGAGCCCTTCTATGTATTCCATCTGTGCACTCTTCTCAGTATTCCAGCTTGCAGCACTGACTCTTTCCGCCGCAAAACCGTTTCGGCGCAATTATAGACTCTTTTCTGATTTGTTCTCCTATAGTCAATACTTTTTCATTGATAGCTTCTGCCAGGTCGGCTGTTTGTTCTACCCAACTTTATACCTTTCGTCCATCGCGGTAAATGAGAACTCAGCAACAGTAGACTGTAGCCTCCTGAAAGACAAAATGTTCAGGACGAAAATGTGGTTGAAGATAAAGCTCATATTATTTGCTGCGTGTAGAGCAACTTCAAAAGTCTTTGTCTATTGGTGGTCTATTATGAGTCAGCTTTAATAAACAGTTATTTGTTAATGTTCCTAACATAATAATTTATCGAAAATGATATTAATTTTGTATAGTTGGTTTTACTGTCCCAGGGAAAATATTTTTAATTTGTTGCCAACTTTGTAATGTAAAATCCTTTTTATGCATATTTTTAGCTTAAATATATATTATATAATATCGGATTGGGAGGATTGCAATGTCTGAACTCCCACTTGCTTGTCTATTGAAATCCAATTTGAGCTGTTTGCTCTTGGCTAGCAAATCATTTGCCCACTCTGCCCGGGCAATTGCGATTTATTTACATTTTAGCATTTTGTTGTGTCGTGTTCCTGTTGGCATTTGCCTTTTTCCTGGGCTGTAAACTTTAATGTGCTATCGTAAAACGTAAGCACGACTGGGAGACCCGAGCATAATACCTAATGGGCGGCTTGGGGGCAGGCATAGTGATGGAGCAAGCCCTCGTATGATGCCATAATCACAGCAATGACAATGACAAAATGTTAATGTGTCTCGGCACAGATTTTTTTATGGCCAGCCATAAATTAAAAAACAATTTGCGAAATTCGGCCGCAAACTAATGAAGGACTCAAGAAGGCAACCATTTAAAACAATTTGCAAACATTTAAATATCAATTAGGGCGATGTATCCAGCATTTTTGCCAAATAAAAAACAATTATTGGGCAGCAAAAGGGGCAGAAAAAATTGCATGAGAATTAACGCGAATTTGCGCATTTTAAATGCAAATCAGAAACAATAGCAACAACAGCAAAAATTATAATAAATAACCACGAAAAATTCGAAATGATTCGCTTGGTGCGGAGCCGCTCGGGCCGCCGCACAAAGAAAATTAATAATAAATCTCAAAATGCTCATTAACTTAATTACTGTGTTTATTTTCATTGCCCTTCCGCAAACGTCGCAACGCGTCATCGCCGTCGTCGTCGCCGTTGTCGCCGCTTTTCGATTCGTTTCCAAGTTTTAGCAGTTTTCACTTTGTATTATTTTTTTTAGATATATACTCTTGCTGAGGGTAGTATAAATTAGTCAGTAATAGCGAAATGAAATGCCTTTTAAAATATATAAATATTTATATGTATTTTCTTTTTTGAGTAGCCTGGAGTCATCCATTCATATAAAAAGGTTATTTTATATTATGCATATACATCTAGTATATAGTTATGTAGTATATATAGTCAACTAAAAATGGAATTTTCTAATCGAAAATATTTATTTCATTGCAAAATTCTGGCTTATATAAAAAAAAATATATAAAAACAAAATAAAATAAAAATAAAATTAAATTAAGTTCGGTGTAAATATCTATGGGAATACAGTAAAAACCATAATATTAAAGTAAAAAGTAATATGAAAATAAAATAAGCTTTGTTATAAAAGTTTAAGTGATTTAGTGATTGATCCTCTATTGCTTGCTGAAGCATATGTATATACTAGTGCATTTCTAAAATTTGATATATGTTGAATATAATACTTTAATAATCTTATCTTATCTCATCACTCTGAACGAAGTATTCTGTGTAAAAGAGTATTCACTCTTCGGCAAGCCGGAGAACAAAGAAGTTTGTTCTCTCTTTCCTCGTATATTGTGTTCAAATGTTTTTGTTTGCCGCGTCACGCAATTTTTATAGCTCTCCCCTTCGGATATTGCTGGACGAGAATTCGGATAAACAAACTCAGTGAAGAAACACAGAAAAAACAGCCCCAGAACATGAAAAAATTGTGCGTCTTTAACCTTAATGTGTATTTAAGTAATGTTAATTGTGTGTGTAGAGAGCTGGCAGCTGTCGCCAGGTGGTTGCCATTCCACAATTTCGCATTTCCTTTGCATTGTTGTTTTTTCTTTTTGGCACATTCTTTTTTTGTAATTATGTTAATTTTGCCTTCGCTCCTACCTGGCAGCGTATCTAAAACCTGTGTTCTGTTCACTAAATTTTGTTATATAATTGCTGGCTAGCTGTTAATTGAATTTCGAGTGCGAAGCGCACAAGCTAACGATTAGCCCAAGGCTATTTTGTTTATTATTAATTGAATGTGGTTGCTGCTGACGCTTAATTATATTTTATTTAAATAATATATTTGTGATATTGAAGCACAGAAAATGACAACAATATACACTATTTCTAAGGATATACTGGGGAAAAAAAAAGAATAAATAAATGTAATATTGTCGCAAAAGATTTTTAACTTTATTTATACTATTGTTATCTTTTATTTGTATCAATATTAAATTATTAGTATTTATTATTTTGAAAAATGAAAATAATATAATACTTATATAAGTTTTGTAATAATTACTAATTAATACTAAAATTATTATTTCTCTTTTAATATTAAATATAAATAAAATATAATACAAATAAGCGTAATAATATATTTATTTTTAGTTACAAAAAAATACATGACATTTATTCGATAAAAAATGTGATTTTATAATTAACATCATATTTATGACATTAAAAATAAATAAATAAATAAATTATATAATTAATAAAAAGGAAAGAAAAGGAAATTTAAAATTTTATATTTTGCATTTTAATTTTTGATCATTTTTAATTTTTTTTTAAGTTTTTTTTTTTAAATTATTTTACTTATGATTGATCCTTTTAACTTGTATTACAATTTAAATTTTCTTAATTTTCTCGCTTTAAATTTCTTTTATTATTTATGTATTTTTTTATTATTTTATTTTTTTTATAAAAATAGTTTTATTTTATTAGAAATAGCCGTCACAATTACTGTCATTGAAAAACATAAAAAATTGCATCTGTATGATAGCTTTTTGAGCTGACTTAAACAGTTTTAATTCTTTTGCCTCAGTTCACGCTTAGACGCTTAGGAAAAGTAGCATTTTTACTCTTTATTGCACAATTTATACGAGCTGAAATTTAATGCACAAATTTTACTGCAAATAAAAGAGAGAATTGCGCCCAAACGAAAGGCCCGCTCGTAATTACATATCAGAACTCAATTTGTTCTTTTTCACCTTTTAAATCGCTTGATACCTCAACTGTTCATCAAGCAACATAAAAAATCGATCTCTTTGAGTATTTTGTTGTTGTTGTTGCTGCTGAACTCTGCAATCAGGAAGCAAGGCTTAATGCCCACAGTAGTTTGACATTATTAAAATGTACATTATATGCGAGTCAGCCGGGTCCAGTGTGTACGGGCTATACGCTGTGCTGGAAAATCGCTTTAGTAAGCCATGCATGCGTCTATGATGCATATTTACAACATTTTAACCTTGAGATTTATATGTATTACATGTATGCATACACTCCCATATATAAATATATATATATATATATATATGTATATATATATATAAATGTGTGTATGTATGTAGAGACTAAAAAAAACAGCTGACAGATATTTGCACACAATATACATGGTTCATGATACTCTGCACACATACACACTCCATGAAAATGCAGTAAAAACGCGTTGGCTTCGCAGGGTAAACAAAAACATTGCACGTAACCCGCTCAGTTGGTTAAGGTGGGTTGTGGTTGCAGCTGTTTTGGCATGTTTGAAAATTCCTGGAAACAAATGTAATAAAAACTACTCGTAATACACACACACCCACGCACACACACTGCTAAAGTGCTCGAGTTTTTATTAGCTGCGAGCCTGAAGAGCTTTTTTTTTCCATTTTTTTTTTTGGCTATGTTTTGTTTTTGCGTGCTGGGCTGCACTTAAAGCGTTCTTAATGAAAGAATTTTGGTTTTATTTCGCATTTGTTGTTTTGTTTTAATTTGATTTTTTAGCACTAGTGCTAGACTATGGATATATTTCAAATTTATGCGCCCCGTTGGCATTTTGATGGACTGCGAAAGCCAATCAAGCCACCTGCCGTCCGTTTTGTAAGTAGTTCAAAATAACTAAGTATTTTGGGTTAATATAAAAACGCAAACGCATTCCATTTAACTGTCGAGTACAAATAAAACAAAAAACCAATTTTCACTTAACTCTTTAAAGTTTATTTCATTTTTGTTTATTTTATAAATATTCCTGTCGATTTGCCATTTACATGTGTTGCTTAAATTTACATATACATTGGAGTAGCTTTACTATATATAGATATATATATATATATACTTTTTTATATATTTGTTCAACTCAGTTTACTTCTTTTTATATAACAATTTTTTTTGTAATAAATAAATATTGTTATATTTATTAATTGGTTAAATACTCGCACTAAATTTTAATTTATTTAAGCTGTAATGCAATTTTTCGTTTAAAGATATTTTCGCTTGTGCTTTTAATACACTACGTATTTTACAATATTAACTGAGTGTATTTATAATTGAAATTTTTTATTATTTGCCAAACAAATAATTAACACTTTATATATATTTTATTAACTATAAATGATATGTATGGAGTATTTTTGTTTATTATTTATAATTTTAATTCTTAAATTGGAACGAATGTTGAGCCGGGAAGCTGAAGAGTAGAACTTAATGCAATTAACAGAATGTTGATTAAATATTACCTCAATTAGCTATATTTTGGAGTGTTTATTTTAGAGTTATTGAAGTTTCAATTGTAATGACAGAAATAAATATATTTTAGGTATCAATTAAATAAACTTTTCTGTAATTAGAAGTTGACATTAATGCTTAAATATATGAAGATATCCGCCAGCTCAATCCAAATACGATAATTCAGCATGAAAAGTTTAATGAATAGAACTATTAATTTGATACAAAGTTCGTAATAATCCGTAACAAAATGTCAAGCCGAACTCAACAAAGGGCAGCTGTCAGCTATTAAATGAGTTGTCCCATAAAGCATTGTTGCCAAAGCAAAGTTATAGAACTCTAAAATAAACACCCTTTATTAATACATGTAATATATTGTTTCTTTTTTAAAGATATTTCAGACACGCGCACAGCCAGCTGCTGGGTTTATGCTGTGTGAACTGTTGCTATGTTTTGTTGATTATTGTTATTTTTGTTCAATTGCATATGGTATTCAGCTCAGTCCGCTCCGCGTGTTGCCTTAAAAGTTGGCTAATTTGAATACTTCGAATTTCGCATTCACTTTAGCCGCAACTAAATGTTACTTTGCACACATACAGTCTCTTTTAAGTGATGTCCACATGGCCTATAGAAATGTACAATATCAACGAACTCTTAACGCGACAATCTGTTTGCTGTACGTTTATGTACATGTGCCATAGGTATTTAATATTTTATCATATATGTATTTCTTGTGTATATTACATTCTGCTGAATTTAGGCTAAACTTACGCTAAGATTTAACAGCTTAAACATGCACGCGTAGGGGAGTTAGGAAGCCTGGTTGACTTATTATTCTATATATAGTAGCTACGACTCTTATTCTTTTACGATATATGTTTATATTGTTCAACTTTAACTAAGCCGCGTGCCATAAATCAGCACCGGCTTTTGGCCAATTGACAAACTCAATCAAGCCAAACACCGCATCATCGCAACTGCAACTCTAGTTCCAGCTCCAGCTTCAACTCCTTCTGCTGTTGCCTAATCTCTGTTAGCGATTCGCGTCTATGTCAAACATGTGTCAGTGTTTGTGGCAACAATGCCAGTTGAGTTTTTCGCTGTTGCCTCGTCAATGTCATCGCCATCGTTTGCCGCCACATCAAGAGCAGCAGCAGCAGCAAGGGGCAGAGACAGCTCAGCGCCTGTCCAGTGTGGTGTCTGGGATGCTGGGACACAGCTGCCGATGCTCCATACATGTTGTCAATACCCTCCGCACTGAGACTCAAATCAGCTAAGGAACGGGGGCATGGAAGAGTGGAAAACGTTAATGGGCTTGGCGGGTTAACAGCGGAAATTGGCTAAGCTCTTGCGAGTGATGTTCTGTGGGGTGGCTTCGTTCAAGTGATTAGCTGGGCGTTGATTTTGTGATTTCATGATTTCGTTAACTGACATATGCCAACACTTTGCTGCGGCTAAGCGGAACAGCCAGTACATTTATCAGCGCGTCTGACAGCATAAGCTGAGTTACTCAACAGCAATGCTATCTAGTTTATGTTTTTACTTTACAAACCAGAAATTTACTCAAATTAGCCTTTACTTTTTTCTAAAAATATCGAGGAACGAAAACGAATTCACATTTAATTTAACTTCTCAACTTTTTCATTCAAACTCACGGCTCAATTAGGCTATAAAAATAGAAAAAGAAGAAACTTGGGGCACTTAAGCTACATTTTACTGCCTTCGCTTGGCCCACAATAGAGTTTATTTGATTGTGGCCAAGTATTTACAAATCATTAAATTGCCCGAAAGCCAAGCCGAGCGTGTTTATTGATATACAATTATGCAGGGCAAAACTTTTACCTGTGCCCCCGAAAAGTATGCAACGTTTTATTTCCTATTTTCTTATTTCTACTTATTTGCACAACCTTTTTTCTACCTTAAATTTTGTGGCATGGTTCGTTTTTTATTGGTCTTGCGGCTTGCAAATTAGTGTGAAAATCTGTTAAACAGCTCGCAATGTCCCTCAGTTACTTTTTTATGGCATTTTGTCCCGTCTCAAGTGGCCTGTTAAGCCGTCGCTGGCTGTGGCCAGGGCAGGGGCAGGGGCAGGGACAGGGGCTGGAGATTGTTTGCCAGCGTGGGCGTGGCCAGTCGACCATAAATGCTTGAAATATGGCCCGTAACCCTAATCGGTGCGATGCACACACACAAGCCCAAGAGATGAGCACATTGACTTGGCTTACCTTTTCGCTTACCGGGATTCTCAGTGTCCTCGCCGCTGTGCTCCTGCGCCCTGGACGAATGATGCATTTCGGAGCTTTTCGTGCGCTTTTTTCCTAGTATTTTTAGGTAAAATATTGGAATTGCGTTTTAGTTTTATTTTTAACAGCTCTCAAAAGTATCTGTAGTTAATGCATATTTATAAAAGACTTGGCGCAAAGTTTGTTGCCTTTCCATTCCCAATTTCCATTTGCATTTCTTGCTGCCCCAAACCCAGTTGCGGATTCGCTTCACCTGTTTCTGTGGCGTTGACGATTTGAAACGGATTTGCATGCCAAATGAATTATTTATGCTTTTTGCTCCCAGCTCCCAGCTCCCAGCTTTGTTTCTATTTTCCTTTCGTTTCGTTCTTTTTTTATGATTCCAGCCTGGCAAAGTGAAATATTTGCCGCTCATCTTAAATTTATGCCGAGTGGCTATTAAATCTCGCTTTTCTCGCGCCATCTCCCTGGAACTCTCTCTTGAGCTCGCCTATACTGTGGCCTTTACACGACCACACAGGTTGGCTCTGATAAGTTCAGCTGAGGTTAAACCTAGATCGGCGACAAGCATAGTGACATGGCAGGCAGAAAGCTTGGGAACCGAGAAGCTGGTGCTTCATGAAATCAGTAACTAAAACTGCCCAAAGCTCGAATGTATTTGTCTTCTATGACCGAGAATTGAATCTGAGATCTTTTATGATATTTTGCGAAATTGCGTGAGGAGAAAACTTCACTCTGCCTGCCTAAAGTCAACTTTCAAGCTTATCACTCACCTTTATGTCTCGCCTCGAAGTTCTCCACATAGTTGACGGCATTTGGTGGAATTCCTGTGGAATGCGTTTTCCATTGTAACCGAATTAAAGATAAACAAAATATCCGGTTGCTACTCACTGTAAAGCTTGATGGTGCCGTCTGTGTCGCCCAGTGAGTTTTTGGCCACACAACGATATGCTCCGAACTCGGCCTGCGAAAGGGGATTGATGTGGAGCTTCATGGAGCTGCGATAGGCAGCGATTTCTGTAACGTTTGCCGAATATTTGCCGCCTGAAAAAATGGTTGGCATAATTCATAAAATTAATCAACTAATTATTATATAATTGAAATTTTGCGTTATTAAATATTAAACGCATGTCACGCGTGCTGCCCGAAAGTAGGTAAAGAGTACGAAATGTCGTCGACAGGCTGGGCTGGAAAATTAATGCATGAACTTCAGGCCTGTGAATGGCGCAACAGAGAGTGCGGTGTGACGGGTCCTGGCAGTTAAGAGATAGCCCACAACAAAGTGCAAATGAAATTTATTAATTTACATTAATGGCTAAATGTTAAATGAATGATCTCGAGAGGGAGTGACCGACTGGAAAACACCTGGCGAAATGCATATATCGGAGTTTTGTATATTCCGTAGTGCTTCACTTCTTAAATATATATGAAAAATTATTTTATAAATCGGTATAAAATAATTGCTTAATCCGGCGTAACATATTCAATAATATATATATCAAATTTCATTCTAAATATATTCATATTTTTCGAGATTGAAGTTTTTACTGAGATGGACAAATTTAAAGAATATATATAGTTGTATAGCCTTATTTTACCCTTTCCACACATTGCCACAAACCCGTATAGCCATTTAAAATGTATTCTGTGTACAACAAGTCATAAATCGCTCTGCTCTATACTGCACTTGTCGACGCTCAGCTTCTGGGGAGCGACGCACATGTCCCAGACAGAGAAACCGCTGAAGTGTGGCTGAAAGCCGTCATTAGGTTTGGCTGGGAGTTCTCTATCTGTGTGTTGGGTTGGTTTCAAATGTAATTCGCACTCGTATTACTAAACCAGCTAATTAAAAAGTTTTTTCGCGCGAACTCTGCACTCAACGGTCATCAGCTGGTAATTCTGTTTGGGTTAGCTTCGGCCTGCTAGAGGTCGCTATCCATTGGGACTCCGAAGCAGACACATACATATCCATATACGGGCTGTCGCCTGGTAATGCGTTTGTCGCGGATTATGAATTGCTTAATGATAATTTTCATTAGCATATTTGACAGTAAAATGTCGACGCGTTGCTCGCCAGTTTGAAAACTAGTCGCATCGCGAAAACTTTTATGCCATTTGGAAAAACGTCATTTGGTTGAATTTTATTCTATGAAAGCTTGTCAAAGTATATATTCACGAGGTGATATTTTGAAAATATATTTGGCTGTGTAATTTGTAATTTGTGATGCCTCTAATAGAAAGAGTTTATTTTTTGGTTATATCTTAGGTAATTTATTTACCTGGTGGCACGATTTCCCCACGCTCACGTGTCCAATAGTTAATTGACTTGGGATATGCTTCTGATTGGCATTCCAGTGTAACGCCCTTGCCCTCCACGGCGCCAATTAACTGATTCTGCACACTGATCATTGGAGGAACTGAAATGAAATGATATATGGGTTTGAAGTTGAACTATTTATAATTTTTTCATTAGATTTTTAGCCTAGTATGAAGTTGATATACTTACAATGCACCACAAGTGTTATCCTCTTGCTCACTGAGGGCGGTACTCCATTCGATGCTATGCATAGATAGGCGCCCATATGTTGACGTTTTACTTGAGGTATGATCAGATCAGTGCCTTCAATGCTGGCCACTATGAGAAATTGATGGTACTATAATTAATATAATATATATATATACATATATGACGAAGAAAGAGGTGACTTGATGCATTCTCATCTGGCTTCTTGGACTCTATTCTATTTTCTTATAGTTAATTATGCTGACTTTTAGGTCTCTCATGTTCGGTTCGATCTAACAGCAATTGCTGTCGAACCGACTCACTCTCTCTCAAATCTCGCTCTTTGCACGAATGCCACAATATTAAAAAATTAGCATTTCCCGTTGTCATTGTTTCATTCCTGAGAGCCTCTGCTTTTTTTCACTCTCATTTCATACTTAAGAGTTCCTCAATCTAATGTTATGCTAACATTTAATATTAGTAAAATAAATCTCTGTGCATATCAGAAAACTATAAAAATGTTGCTGAGCTGTTATAAAATAATAAATATTATATATAATTGATTATAAAGAAAATAATTAACTTTTTTTACTAACAGAATAAGAGTATGAAAATAAACTATATTACTTCTTTTAAAATATATTTTTTACATATAGAAAAAATATATAAAATATAATTTAATAAAAAAGAAAATATAAAGTAATACACTGCTTATTATCATAAATACAAAAAATTAGGTTTACTTAATTTTATTAAAATGAAGTTAAGCTAATTTTATTAAAATGAAGTTAAACTAATTTAAATATATTTATATAAATATTTGGTACATAATTTGAAAATATGAGTTGGGCTTTTTACCCTGATACCATTGAAAGTGGAAAATTAATTTTATTTTCAATTTTTATTTTCAATCAGTCTAAGATTTTTCACTTTGAGATTTTTTTCGATTGATTTAATTTTTATACATTTATTTAAAAATGCTGTGATTTTTCTTAATAATTGTTTAAATTTATATATTTTATATTTTTAAAATTAAAAAAAAATTAAGAAATTATATTATAATATAATATTGCCTAGATTCGAGCATTTTGTAATTTCGAATTTAGTCAATTCGTTCATTATCCCTATTATTATTATGTAGTTTTGTCATCATCATAATATTAATCATTACAATATAAATAAAAATCGTAATTGATTGCAGCTAACACGGCAAATAGCTGTTTAGCCACTTATCTGACAAACTCTGTTCACAAATAATCCTTTCCATGCAATCACAACAGCTGTAACTGGAAATGTGTCTACAGAATGTAGCTACACAAAATGTTTAGCCATGTAATGATAGTTATTACGTTTTGCTAAGCTCTTTGGGTCCATCCAACTAGTTGGCAGTTGGGTTTATTTTGCACAACAAAAGTTGCATACAAAAGCGAAAACTTTTAGCGACTTTTATGATGTTGTGCACCCCATGCGAAGGACGACGACGAGCATGGGCGAAGTAGATGGGTGGCTAGAATGGTTTACGCAAATATCCTGTTTTGATAGTCGAACTCGGTTTTTATTATATAAATTGCATAGTAGTTGGTTGGCTAAGCCGGTAGCAACACAGACTGCAAGTGCATCATGATCATGATATGGCTATGTCCGCTATCTATTTGCTCTGTGTGTATCTGTGTGTTGGTGGGTGTGAGTGTCTGTGTTAGGATGCAGCGGAAACGGAAGTGCTGGCTAGTTTGCGCTTGATATAGCTATGTATGCAGCGGGCTCTACTGCTGCGTCTAATAAGCTGATATTTCATTTATTGATTTCGCCCAGGTCACAGGTCGCCGGTCGCAGTTCGGATTTCTGAGTTCGGCTTTAATGCCAGCATAGAGCCGCCGTATTGCTTATTAGCCACACTTTTTGTGCGGTCATTAAACGTAATAGCCACGAAAAAACGTGTAATTTTGTTGAAATGAACAGCAAGTCGCGCCACGCTAAAATAGCATAAAACAAGCAAAAAAAAACTTTAGTCGGGCGCCACGATTTCATTTGAACAGCCAAACCAAATAATCAAATTTCAAATGAAAAACGAAACTTTTACCCCACTAACGATGCAGGTAATTTGAAAACAAAAATAGCTTAATGAATGCTTAAAACCGAACTCGAAACACGCTTATAATTTGGGATATTTTTCGTAACATCTAATAATATAACTTATCTTTAAATAAATTTACAGCATATTCTTTTAAAATATATAAATAAATAATACATTTTCAAAGTTCTCTTTTAAAAAAATCCTAATATAAAATTTTATCATTTACTTTAATATATTTTAAAAATTGAATCTGGTTTAATTGTTATGAATTTGTGTTTTACGACTTACTAAAATATATTAAAACTATTTTTAGACTTTATTAAAATTTTGCTAGCTAAACAATAAATACACTTTGCTGTTCCTTAATTCCATAATCGTTTAGTTCTACAGATATGGACTCACAATTGACAGCCCAGTAAAGGCAATAATCAGAAGCTAACTAGTTATAATAAAATCAAAATTTTCTTAATTTTTAAAACATTTTCAGAATTATATATATTATTTTAATATTTTTTATTTTGAATATTAAAACAATTTTTCTTTAAGCCAGGCAAACTCATTAGACTCATATTTACATAATGGGTAAACAGTAACACACAAACATATATCGCAGATTATAAAAAGCACTGCGGTCACTTCAATGGCACAACTGGACAAGCCTCTATAAGGTAGCAGACATTTAAGCTCCGGTGAAAAGGTCATTTTGCAAACTTTTGTTCTATTAATGCTGATTTTTTTGACCGTTTCTCTGTTTTTTTTTTTGGTTTTTACATTCCGTGGCTCTACATTTTTTTATTTTGTGCTAGGCAACCTTTGATATCGGCCTTTCGTGTGGGACTTTGATGGGTCTCGACCTGTTTATGTAGCATAGCTCATGCAATGGGCTACACTGAGCGAAATTAATAATCCCAAATTATATGGTTGCCGTAATGAGTTAGCAGCTTAAGAGCTTAGTTAATGTTTGCCAGTCAATTGAAGCAGAAATGCATTCAAAGCGCGACAGCAGAGAACACAAAGATGCAGCGATAAGCGTGTTTATTCAAGTCTGATAGTATATGAATAATAAGAGACACACGTATGAGTTTTGCGAATATCCCAAGAATTATTAGAGAAGCATTTAAATGAGACTGTCTGTCTTCGAAATTATATTTAGATCTGAAAGTATTTATTTAGGTATTCATTGTGTTCATGAATAAATATAATCATGATGATATATCAGAGTGTTTATGAGTACTGAGTATTTTGTAGTATTGAAGAATAAATTAATGAATGCTTCAAAAACGAAAAAAGACTTGAATATACTCATGAATATATTAATAAATATATTTATGAATGTATTTATCAAAGTATTACTGAATGCAACGAAAACGGATTGTAAATATGAGTATATTCATGAATATATTCATAAATTTATTCATGAGTGCATTCAGTAATGAATTACTGAGTGCAACGGCAACAGATATGAGTATACTCATAAATGTATTTATGAGTGTATTTTAATGAATTCATGAGTGCCTTTACGAATGCATTCATACATTTTGATCTGAATATAAAAAATATGTTATTGATTTTAATTCATTTATGAGTAAATGCCAAATGCTATTCAAATTTTTTACTTGCACCATTTTGACTAATTTAGATTTAGTTAAGCATTTATCATACAGCTAGCTTGGCTATATAACAACTAAATTGCACTGAATCAAAGCCTCAACAAACCATTTAAAAATTCGAGACCCATTCAAGGTCAATTAGAATAGCAATGGCTGGAGCGTAGGTTCGGCCCGCTGGCCACTCGCTAATTCTGTCAGTGCAGCCATCAAACGACATCATCGGCATAAGCTAGGGGCAGGGTATGCGTCGACACCAACACATCGACACTCGCGAAAATATGCTGGTTTGAAAACTGGCTGGAACAGGTGCTCAGGTGCTTTGGCCACGTAGCCGCCTGTGCCTGCCTGCTGTGCACTTGTCTGCTGGGCCATAACCCAGCCGTTGGCTACCTTTTTGTGTAAAAGTACTCCAAAATGTTGGCTGGCGAACCTCATGCAGCAGTCGGCGGCAGCACAACAGCAGAAAGTACTTACCACTCACATACACAGAGCGAGACTGGTTTATACACCCACACACACATAGAATTATATATGTGTGTGTGCAGAGAGACAGAGAGAGAGAGAGAGTCATGCATGCATATGACCATGGCGATACTCCAAACCCAAAAACTTTGTCCCAATGCTGACTTACCCTCCTCGCCGTTGGCCAACTCAATGGCCACTCCACTTTCACGTCGCCATGTAATTGTCGGCTCTGGTGAACCGGTAGCAGCGCATTTGAGCGTCACGTTACTGCCCTCCCGTACGACCATGTCCGTGCTTGTAGGATAATCTAGGATATCCGGCGGTACTGCAGCAGCAGCAGCAGCAGTAGCAGCAGAAGCAGTAGCAATAGCAGTTTCAGTGGCAGTTGCAGCAATCGGGTTTGGCATTCCAATCGAGGCCGCCAGACGGTCGTCGTTGCCAGATAATGTTTATAACAAATATTTTAAAAAAAGAATACCATGCAGAGCACATGAAATGATAGAGAGAGAGAGGGAGAGAGAAACATATATAATATGAGTTGCATTCGCTTGTATTTAAAATTGTGTTCTTTATATTGCATTTAAATAATTTGCGCTCATTTTTCACTCAGCTGGCAATCTGATTCATATTCATGCCTCCCAAAAGATATCCTTGCGTTCTTGTCTGCGCCTTTGTTGAAAAGGACAAACTTTTCACACAAAAAAGAAAAAAAAGAAACAGCAAAAAATTATTTATCCACGTAATATGACCACGACCACAGCGGGCAATGTTTGCGACCTCAGCGGAAAACCTATGAACCAGGAAAACGTAATAATGCCGTTGAAATATCAAGGGGGAACAGCTGAAATGAACAATAAAGCGCTGGACAGGGCTGCGGTGGGTGCACGGGGCAATAGGCGCCTGTTGTATAGGGATATAATATGCCGCAATTATGTGGTCAGTAAATGACCAAAAAATGTGCTGGTGTTGACAAACAGCTTGTTATATGAGGACAGAGAGAGAGAGAAAGGCCAAAACTCTGACGTATCCAACTGTGCGCTCTGAACTGCGCTAACCACTGAACGGTCATTAAGTGGCCAAGGTTAGGGTAGCGGCAAGGGGTAAGGCTTGAATGACAAGGGATAAAAATTCAATAGGACTTGCTTTGAGAACGTAACAGTCGAATATAAATATAACGTAACAGTCGGATAAACAACAGCAGTAAATATATAAGGACTCACACAGGCTGAGAGTTGAACTTGAAGTAATATGCAATGATTGAAGTAACAGAAAATTGAAAAAATATATTTTAAATATTAATTAATGTAAATACTACACTTATTAAAAACATAAGAATAGAGATTCAAAATGTGTTAATTCAATAATTTTTTGTATGTATTTGAATAGAGGACGTTTAGCACAGCAACCAGGACAAAAATGAATGGTTTGATTCAACAGAGGCTTAGGTTGTTGCTTAGAGATTAGTAGCGGTTGTCTTTCCTCAGCGGAGTGGATTTGGTTTTTAGCTGGCTTCTGTTCATATTCGTGTTAATAAATATATTCGGCTTATGTGATTTGGAAACGATAAGCAATTAATAGAAACATTTCATCACGAAAGCATCGGCTTGCATATTCTATTAAGAAGATTTTGTACTATTTCGATGCATATTCCATTTCAAAGAACCTAACAGATCTTCCTGTCTTGGGCATAATGGGTTTGAGTGGGAGAAATGTAGTATATAATTATGTATAATTAAGTGGCGTGTGTGCGTGTGTATTGACATATACTTGATCAGTTGAGTTGTGGCATGACAGAGTCAGACTCAAACTGGAGCTTTTGGAGTCAAGTTGAAAATGGCATATCAAAGAAATGGCAACCGCAGAAAATATAAAATGCCTTTCAGAGAGAGCATATCGGACACTAAAGAGAGGCAGAATATGTCAAACAGCATCACGTATACATTATAAAGTATATATAGCGTAGCTTTATCTGTAAATTTATCAACATATACGCCAACTCTGTTTGCACTTATGTTTCGTTGTAAGACTCTATTGGGAACAATAGTGCAATATTTAGTTTTTTATTAACTAGAAATCGTATAGAAAAAATTAAATTCAATTTCTTTGAAAATTTAATTTTAAATTTTTTTTAATTTTTTTCTTTTCTACTTTTAGACAGATCAAAATAAACTATGAAATATATTTCGAAAAAAAGCAGCAAATGGAAGGCGTAAGCTCTATTCATTTATTTTGGTGTTTTATTAATATAAGAGAGTTTTTTTAATTTTTAATTATGATTAACTGCTACGCATTCAATTAAATCCGGGTGAATTTTGATTTTATTTGTTAATTTTTATATTTATTTTTGAATTTTTGTTTCCTACCAAAAATATCAGAACAATTCAGTTTATTTAATTTATCAGATTTTATGTATGTTTATTTCCCTCTTTTTATACTCGTTCACAAAAGGAAAAGAGTACATATGTTATATACTTATGCGAAATATTGGTCATTGAGACGTAGCAGTTTGTGGTGAACTGATGATCGCGTAAGGAATATTCATCTGTTCATGATTGGTAGTTTCAGAATGTTTATGCATAGCCCCTTAGCCACAATTAGAGCTACAGTACTTTATGTAAAACTCAGATGATTGAGATGCAAGAATTTGTGCTGAGCTGATGGTGGCATTAGGCATTGTGTATTGAGAATGATCATAAATTATTTAAATAGTCTATCTGAGAGTAAATAATAAATTTGGAAATTATAGCCGTACCTTGTGTGTTCTTTGTTTTACACTTTTTAAGAGATTTTGAAATAATTTTTTGAAACATTACTGATATTATTTAAGGCGCTAATAAAGCTAAAGGCTTGGTATTTAGAGAATGTTTTCGTGTAGACAATCCTTACTAATATTAATGTAGATACTCAAAATGTAACAGTCAAGTTATTGTAGATCCCTAAAGATAGCTAGATCTTGCTCGAATTCCGAGCTTAAATCGATTGCCTTTGCAGGCTGATCACTTTTAACTTCCGCCACCTCAAAATATATTTAACTTTAAATAAATTTAAGTGTTCTGAGTTATGAACAAGTATTGTGCAGTCAGGGGTAGCCGTTTGGAACGTTGCTACTTGTTTTTCAATTGTCATATTTAATGTTTGTTTAATAAGCAGAAATCGCTGTGTGGAAAAATTTGCGAGCTGCAGTGCTCAGCTCAGCTTAAATGCCGGCCAGAGAGTCGAAGAGCTTTTGTATGACTGCGCGTATGGGTGTGTGTGCGAGTGTGTGCGTGTGTGTTTGTGTGTGTGGGAAATGGCGTTCAAACGGACGTAGCTGCCAAGCTGTGCGGCCGCTGCCGTCCGTTTGTCGTCGGCTGTTTAACTGCACTTGGTCACGAAAATCATCAGCGCCAACTGTGGCCCCGCCTGCGCTGACCCCTATCGAACGGCGCTCGTTCCTTTCCTGTTGCTGTGGTGCGACGGTGCGCTGATTATCCACTGCAAATACACACAGTTGATTATAGTTTTTCGTGTTTGGCCGAAAGCCCAAGTCCCGGCTGCATGGTGGCTAAAATATTTAGCGCGTTGATTTAGATTTGCCAGCGAAAGGTATTTAGCCAGCTCGACTAGTGTTCGATAGGCTCGGGTGGGTCGAGGGGTCAATTGGAAGACCACAAATGGACAACCAGTTCGCAGTCGCTGTTGCAGCTGCCATTTCGTAGGCCGGACGCGTTTCTTGGCTCTGCTTTTGGACCGGGCGCCGTTTTAATTCAAAATCAACAATTTGTGCGGTTCAGTGGACGGTTAAACATGTTTAAGCAGCGAGCTGGGGCAGAAACAGAGGGAGTGGGAAGGGGAGGGGCGTTTTCGGTGTTGGCATTAGCCAGCGAAATTTCATAAACCATGCAGCGAACTCCGTTGCGTTCTCGCGGAAACGTTTTGTTGCCGCCGTTGCTGCACTCGCATATTTATAAATATTTTCATTTATTTTTCAGTTTTTTTCTTAGTTTTTATTCGTGGAAAACCGAGTGCGAAAAGCAGTTCGAACAATGGCGAGCCGCCCTGGCAACGAGGCGTATGATTGTTTGCCAAACGAAATGGAAATAGCAAAAGTATTTTTGTTTTTCATTTGCTGCAATGTCTTCTTCCACTCACTTACCCACAACGTCCAGGTAACCCATTTGGCTTTTCATGGGATCCGTATTTATTTGGCACATATACCTATAAGTATCGCATAGAGGTTATTAGGCTGCTCCATTGGGTCTTAGATTGGACACCTACCAGCCCCTGTCGGACTCCTTGATATCCCTGATGCGCATTGTCCAGGTCTTGTGCTCCGAGTTAGCGATCCCGATGCGTTGATTTTTTGTTATAACATGATTCTGTATGGTCAAAATCGTTTGCGTATCGACACGCAGCCACGCGACCTGTGTGGGAGGCACAACAAAATTGGATTGTATCAGTGGGCGTTTAATTACCAGTTACTTATAACTTAAATGGACTAGCTGCGCGTGGGCTCATGTCGTGTTAAGTTGTGTCTATATAGGATATTCTTTGGCAGCCAACAGCTGCTGGTCGTATGGGCTGCTTACGAAATAAAATCACAATAAACTATGTGTATTGATTTTCTATTTATCCACATTGTAAAAATAAAATAAATTATTTAAATTTAATTAAAATATGAGTGTTTTTTAATTTAGTTGTTATAGAAAACATTTTATTTATTTATATAGAAATGTTTTCCTTGAAGATTTAATAAAAATATTATTTATATTTTTTTAATTCTTATTCGTTTTTAATTTCATAAGCAAGCTTTTATTAACGATAAATTTAGCATAATAAATATTTTCTGTATTCAGACTCCAGCTGAATCTCGCAAAACTTACACCAAAATAGAGTTAAATATATTATAAGCTTTCTTAAACTTATCTTCTCTGTTTATGCGTCGCTACTATTCTTTTGCCTGTGTCTACTAATCCAAAATTTGTAATATTTTTTCTCGATAAATCACTTCTTTAATTAAATCAATTTATCAATAATTAATAATCAAATTATAGCAATTAAACAACAGCTTTCATTTCAACATGCGTAAATGACTGGAGTCAGAGTTGCCAAAAAGCTTCCAACCAATAAGCCGATTTCCTGACTCAAGTATTTAATGCAGCCTAAGGGCAGCACATAAAGCCTGTCATTGACACCTAGGCTTTTGCTCAAACACGCTTTAAATTAAATTTTTAAATAATAATAATTAACATCTGTTTATGAGAGATGTGAGATTTTTTAAATTGCGAGCTATTATGTATTGTCAGATATTTTTCAAGATAATATCTTCTAAGATAATATCTTCTGTGTTATAAAATAAATGAGGTTTTAAGTACATAAAACGCTTAAAGATGATTTTAATGCCTAGTCTTCTTTAATACTATATATTATTAAAATATATTTGAACATATTAAATATATATTTCTTACATATCTTTATATGTACATACATCTTTATTATTATGTACACTCTAAGCAAATAACTGAGCGTGGATCTGACTCTGAGACTACTATGTGGCCTTAATTCCCAGACAGCACAAAAAAATAAAGTTTTTCTCTAATAACAAAATCGTTCATATTTGCTTTAAAGCTGCTGCCTCTTGCATAAAAGTTTTGTATTTAAAATCAAATTTTAAACACATCTACAAATTTGCTTATAGCGGTATTTTAAAGTTATAAACAAAATAAAAAGCTTGATTATGAATATTTAATCCAAAAACAAGTAAATGTGTTCTAGTCGAGGCGGCTCGAATAGGAGATACCCTTAACTCTGCAAACGGTAGATATTTCAATCATTCTAGGATTCTTTCATACGTTCACTATAAACAATAAATACTCACATACACACACTAGCACACAGACTGCCACACATATGCACACACACTTATGGATTCATACACAAGCACGAGCTTACTGCGCAGTTTACCCAACTGCACTTGGGCTTCAGACTGCAGTTTAGGTTGTACTATGAGAACTTCATTGGTAAATAACTTTTGTTCTAGACGGAAACAATTGATGAATTCATCTCTAAGCATTTGTGTATTCATCACAGTAAATCTGCAGCAACCAATACTTAAAACTACACTGAAAAACGAAAGTCCAATTATAGATTTTTAGCCATAATAAGGAAATGGGATGAGTTATCGAAAGAAAAATATAAGCACCTACTGCGTATGGTATACATGGGTGGACGGACGGACACATAGACGTGGCCAGATTGACTCAGCTCGCCTATAGTAAATATACTTGATGGGGTTTGCCACGCCTCCTTCTGCCTGTTACATACTTTTCACAAAGCCATTATACCCTGAGTGGGTAAATAAATATTATATTATCCATAAACGTGTGTGTGATTTTTTATTTGATTACAAATTATAGTTTATTGAATTTTACTTTAATTTGTAGTCGATAGTTTTTTAAGTTTCTTTTTAAAAGCTATTTCACTCCATTTACTATCATCATTATATCTAGTTTATTAAATTGTAATTTTAGAGTTTTAATATATCATGTTAGATAGCTTTATAATCAATTCAGCTTTATAATTAATTGTAATCGAAATCCTGTATTTCGTTTTGTTAACTTTTTTGAAAGACTGAGATATTCAAGGAATTACATAGATTTTATTAAATTGTAATTTTAAAGCCTTCATACTTTTCAAATCGTTTCGTATTCCCTTAAGTAATTGTCTAATTTACATTCCTCGAGCACTATTTAATCATGGGCATGCACTGCAGCAGAATTATTTAAAAATCTATTCCAAGAACTATATCAAAATATTTAAGAGTCACATTAAGTAGCTGGCTGAGTTAGTCACGCACACACATTCACACACGCACACACACTCGCACACTCGCATACAAACGCTTGTAATTGTACAATTACGCGGGTAAATTATTATGCGATAAAGCACGCAGCATGCAATCTGAGCCTAGCTATATATATATATATATATATATATACATTGGACATTTAATAGGCAGTCCCACAGGTTCCCAGGAATTCCATAACCCTTTCAGACAAACACATACACACACACACAACGCTTTGCATGTGTAAATGTGTCGGAAGTCGGAAAACAATTTGAGGGCTCAGCTGAGCGAACATGTTAACACGTCAAGTAATTTTAGTTGGTTTCGATTTCCATTTCAATTTCAGCTAACAAAGCTATACGTATATATATCGATGGCTAATACATTATTTTGGGTCTAGAAAATAACCGGAATACTGTCAGCATAAAATAAGTAATTATACCCAAGTGCCTGCTCAATTATCTTTAAGCAGCATAACGCTTAATTGTGCAGGTGGTGGAGGGGCTGGCGTTGCTTTAGGGGAGTTCTTGCTCTTGTTGTTGTTGTTGACAGAACAAAGCTTTGCGCTTCACTGCTGCTTTACCTTTGGCTTTGTAGCAGTGGCTTTTGAGACGTCACACAATTCCCTGCCATACAGATAGAGAGAGAGAGAGGGAGACAGAGAACGAGAGACAGCTGGAATGATGAAGCATGATTCGAACCCCTAAACAACCATCATCACCTTAAACCTCCCAAAGCTCTACGCCCTTTCTACTGCTTCGCACATTCGCATTCATATTTCAATTACTTTTTATGTGATTTTCGCTTTTGTTATTGCTAAGCTCTGCATATTTCTATTTATGTTTTGTTTTCTTTTTGCTTTCTGTTTTCACTTTCATTTCCATTCCCTTCAATTGGGTTGCCCGTGTCGGGGTCCGGGTGTCGAGATTTGGTCTTTGAGATTATATGGTCCTATGACCGTCTGGCTGTAGCTAAAATGCTAATGAATATTAATGCGAACGGTTGGGTTTTTGTGGCTGCTTATTGAGTGTGTAATTGAGCTGAGGGCAGATGCCGAGGGCGCCGTGCATTGGTATATATACATATTGGGGGTTATCTCTGATTTGATGGAGCTGTTTCGTACCTTATACGGTCCCAGGTCCTGCACGACGCATGTGAGAAACGCGTCACGTCCCACCGGCGCTGTCACATTGGCAATTGGATAGCTGAATTTGGGATCAACTGTAATAGAGCAGAGGATTCATTTTGTCATATTAATAATCTCAACGAATCAATGTTAATTGGTATATAATGAACAGGGGAAATGTGGTTGGCAATTGGGCGTGCCTCATACAGCCTATTATAGTAGGCATGATTTTATTTTCATTTGGATTTATATATGTATAATAAGTGTGTGTTAATCGGCAATTGAAAGAGAGTGCATTTCAGATATTTATTATGGCATTAATTGTTGCATTTTATTGTAGGATTATATTCGCTTGTTTTAGTCGAAATGGCCTGTTCTTAAAAATAGAATGAAATTAATTATAATTTATATATATATTAATTAAATAAAGTTTTATTCAGGCTATTCACAATGCTAAATAGTTTTATTATGTAATTTATATATTTGTATTTTTTTTAAAGAAAAAATTATATCGTTTTTTTATATATGTTAAAGTATGTATTTTTATATATTTGTACACGCATTTACAAATATTATATGTATTGACTGACAGATTGACTGCTTTCACAATAGATTGACTGCCTCTTCAGGTATATAATTGAGTAAAGCAGTCAATTGATTTACTTATTGAGTGAGCTTATTGAGTCGATTGACTGAAAGCTGTAATTGTGAAAGTGAATAACGCAAATGATTGGCAGAATATTGTTGATTTTAAAAGGAATATTGTGAATAAATATTAAAATTCAGTTTTTTAAATTAAAAAAATATATCTTTAGATATCTCTAGATAGCTCCGCAAAATTAATAATTTCTTGGCTTTTCTTTATTTATTTTAAATTTTAATTCAATTATACGACCGTCACTTCCAAATTGTGAAACGTTAACTTGTAACACTTTTACTTTCAGTTTTTAAGCTTCAATGGATTTTTAAACAAATATTCTAAAATTTTATTTATTAAAATACTACATTTAAAAATTCTATTTATAGATTATTTACGAACATTTCTATATCTTTTATGTATATTTAAAAAAAGTTCATAAATTTAATATTTTATAAATCATACATACAAATTAAAATATGTATATTAAAACATAAAAACTTTAATTTTTTAAAGTCTAAACTTTGCATAAAAAATATAATTTATTATACATGTAAGAAAATATTATAGAACAATAATTTTTTTTTGGTTTGAATATTATATTTTATTTAATTTTGCATACTAACTTTTTTATATATTATTAAGAAAAACAATTTTTTTCAATCTGTATTTTTTTGTAACTTGTATTATTAAGTAAGAATTACTTACCAATTACTTCGGCTGGCACATCGACCCTCTGCGTAGAGCATTTCTGGCACATAAGCGAGAGAAGCACAAAAATATTTATTGCCAACGGCCAAGCGTTAGCCGGCGCACGTCTTTTGATATATTTTCTGGGCATTTCGTGGGTCAGTTAAACACTTTTTGGTATTGCTCGATTTTATGTAAAATTGAAATACATTTCACATGTTTAGTCGATTGGAATAATTCACAGCTGTAAGTGATTTGAATGTGAAAATGTAAACTTGAACTCTGACAGCGGCAGGCTTGGGGCACGAGTTGGGCTCAGTGACCTAGGCTTCCGGTCGGGCTGCTCTCTATAAACATTTCCGACCTGATAATTGGCAGTCATTAGCGCGCCTCTATTGGCATAAAGTTTCGGTTTTGCTGTTGTTATTTATGCGTGCAAACAGCGAAAAGTTCAACAGAAAGTACTTGAAAATAGAATCGAAACTCGCCGAAACAATGGCAAAGGCAACGGCAACGGCAAAGGCAAAGGCAAAGGCCAGGCCATGCCCAAGCCGGCCTGCTGGCAGGGTAAACAATAGTAATAATGCCGTCGAAAATGCGCTAAATTAAAAAGTTTCAAGTTTAAAGCGCCCATTGGTACCCGTTGCCCGCCTTCCGATTCCCGGCTGTTCTCCTGCTCGCCTTACTATAACATATACGTGGCTATCAGCTCTGGTCGAGGACCTGAAGCTTCCAGCTGTAAAAGAGTTTTGCGTGTTCGGGCTCTGTAAATTGTATAGGCGAGCAGCTGCTTGAAATTAACTCCGGCCTGTGCAACTATCTGACGAAGGTGTTGCATGTTGCTCGATGGCCTCCCTATTCCTGTTGCCTCAGCTCATTTCATTTTGCCTTCGCCTTAGCAGTTAAACACTGAGCTCGGGGCCAAAACTGTTTATGGAACGGAAATGAAATGTTTCGTTTGTGCCGCAACGTCCACACGTGTGTGTTTGTGTGTGTATGTGTATGTGTGGGCTGCCTAGCTGCATCGTGCGGATCGTAAATAAAGCATAAAATCGTGCAGCACTCTATACAGAAGTCGGCGTTCGTCTGAGCCTGCAAATAGTTGCGCTTTATAGTTGCAGTCGCCGTTTCTATCGCCTGCTTTTAGCCAGCTGAGTGCATGTGACATGTTAGCCATACAGATATAGCCCTGACGCATTGCAGCTGTAATTGGGTATAGGAGCACAGCTCTTAATTTTCTCAGATACCATATAAAATTATAATAATTAAGTAGAAATTTTCAGGGAGTTTGCCTTGATTGCGTTTCCATTTGATGCCATCTGCGGTCGAATAATGAGTAAACTGAGTGAGTGTGAGAGTGTGGACTTGATCAAAGGCAGCCTTCCGGTTTTCTATAACTATATAAAATGAATAACATTTGATAGTTGCTTTACTGGAATATTGATATAAATACAAATGTATAAAAAACGCAGAAAAGGCATGTTTAACTTTATAAAGCATCTATGAGCGATTTGAAAATCATTCACCGAGTCGATATAGCCTTCTTCATCTGTCTTCTGTCACTCTGTCTAGCTCTATAATAATCATATGTATAAACTAGTTAAGCTTTAAAACGTATAATTAATAGTAATTTTATATTTTTCTTCTTTGCCTATAGTGAATGAATATAAATAAAGAAATTGCCAACACTGGCCTAGAAAATTCGTGTTACCTCAGTGAGAGCCAGAAGAAAAAAGAAGATGAAAATCAACTGATCTGTAAAGCTAGCAAAATATATCTCGTATATATTGTAAAGACTTAAAACAGATTTGAAAGGAGTTTATTAATGATATAATATTTGAAATTTGAAACATAGCAGAAGTATTTTAATTTCAGATTCAGATGTAGCAAGTCAACTGCATAAGAACAAATTATATTACAAGAAGAAAAAATATGAGATGTTTCTACCAGCTCATAGACCTAATAACTAGTTGAGGTTTCAAGTAATATACGCCGTAGAGACGTAGGACAATAATTAAAAATAATTTCCTAAAAAATGTAAAACAAGATAGATACTAATTCCTGTTGGACTGTTTCATTTAAATATTCAATGTAAATTAAAAACATTACAATTTTATTGCTAACAAATTCAGAACTTGTCAAACTCTTTTTCAAACTGCATACAAATAGGAAATTGACATTTGTCAAGCATTAAATATATTCGTAAATCTTTTTTTATTGAATTTTATGTTTTGTTTATTTTTTTGAAGACATCGAACATAGAAAACGTTGCTTATTGTACGATAGAGTTATGGGGAGTCATTGTCACAGGGATGGTTCAAGGGGGTATCACATAAGGAACTCTAGTCGAATTGCTCTGACAGCTTAAGCTGCCCATTCATCAGTCATTCAATCAAGCATTCAGTCATTCACTGACTGAGCACAAACAGTTTTCTATTTATTGGTAGACAACAACACACAGATTTTCATATTTGGCCAACGTTTTTAGCAAGATGTCAAATGTCCGAAGGAGAAATAAAACAAATATGACTATTGAATGTATAATAAAAGTTTACTTTGAATTCTATTTTACATTTATTGCATGCGAGTGTTCACTCAGAAAAATCTATTATGCAACAGCCTGAACAACCTTTTCCTCTCCTTTACACATTGACAATTTGACTCAAATTAAGTTTAATTTCCACTTACATGAATAAAAAGAAGCCGCAATGCCAATTAGCTGAACAAACAGATTCGCAGGCGACAGACAGAGCCTTGCTAGGGCTTCAGCAAATGGGATTTACATCGGCAATATTTCCAGCTAATAGCGAGGGTATTAGCATGAGCCAGGCATCTGTCTGGCTACCTGCCTGCCTGCCTAGCTGTCCGTACTTCTAAACTGACATGGGCCGCATGCTCTAAATTATTAATAATATTGCCGGGCCTATTTAGTAGACATTTTTAGCATGGTCTCTCGGTTGTTGGCTTGCCTTGGCTTGCCTTAGCTTCTGTAGTTGAGTTTTCAGGGCGGCTAGCAACGTGCAGTGTGAACAAAGGACAAGCACACAAACACACACACACCTGAGAAACTTTGCTTTCAATTGCAGGTGAAAATCAATACAAAATAGAAGCAAAAAAAATAAAAAAGACAACACTAAGAATTTTAATGAAATGTCATTTTAAAATTGTTTCTGTCAGTTGCGGCCTTCGAGTAGAAAGTTGACTTTAATATGAGCTCAGCTCAGAGTTTTTCAGCCGTTCCACATGCAAAGGCGAGTAAGAGGGTCTATCTATAGATCGCGAATGAATGGCCCGTAATAAAAACTTATAATTATGCACGATTACCATAAAAGGGCCTTATAATTAACTGCTAAATGGTTAATAGAGAGCATTATTGAATATAATAAATATGTTTAATTAAGGCAACAGTAACAACAGTAAATACATTAAAATCAAAGTCTAAGTATTCTGGTAATTCGAAACGATATTGAAAATAGGATAGCTCCCACCTTCGTAGAGAGGTGCAGTAGCTGCTGGCACGCAGTGCTATGTATGAGTCCACGACGTTAAGGTTCGAATTCAAATTAGTTAACATTTATTTTGACAGATTTTTCCTCACAAAGTTTATATAGGAGTGCTGAATGTGGCTCAATTGTGGAGCGAGTGATCCAAAAGCTGTGTGGCTCTTGGTTCGAGTTCGGAGAGAATTCGGAGTGTCGGGTTAAATCAAAAATTTTTTATTTATTATAATAAATTTCACTATCAAAAAATGTATTATTTTGCTTCCTCAGTCAAGGTTCTAACCTCACACCAAAAAGCACAAAAAATTTTTTTTTTTAAAAATCTAGTTTTTCTCACTAAGTTTACATAGGATATTCGAGCAACGGCGTTACGAGTCAGATGTGGCTCAATGATTGGGTGCGTGATCCGAGAACTTTGAGGATCTTGGTTCGAGTTCGGTCTGGAGTACATTCTTTTTTTCTATTATAATACATTTTACTATCAAAAAATCTATCATTTGCTTCCTCAGTCAGGGTTCGAACCCCACACTAAATAAAAATATCTATTTAGAATTTTAAAAGATTGTTCCTCACAAAGTTTATATAGGATATTCGATCAATAGCTTACAGTGCCGAATGTGGCTCAATTGTGGAGCGAGTGATCCAAGTGCTATGTGGCTCTTGGTTCGAGTTCGGAGAGAATTCGGAGTGTCGGGTTAAATCAAAAATTTTTTATTTATTATAATAAATTTCACTATCAAAAAATTTATTATTTTGCTTCCTCAGTCAAGGTTCTAACCTCACACCAAAAAGCACAAAAAAAATTTTTTTTAAAAAATCTAGTTTTTCTCACTAAGTTTACATAGGATATTCGAGCAACTGCGTTACGAGTCAGATGTGGCTCAATGATTGGGTGCGTGATCCGAGAACTTTGAGGATCTTGGTTCGAGTTCGGTCGGGAGTACATTCTTTTTTTTCTATTATAATACATTTTACTATCAAAAAATCTATCATTTGCTTCCTCAGTCAGGGTTCGAACCCTACACTAAATAAAAATATCTACTTAGAATTTTAAAAGATTGTTCCTCACAAAGTTTATATAGGATATTCGATCAGCAGCTTACGGAGCCGCATGTGGCTCAAGTGGCTGGCCGAGTGATCCAAAAGCGCTGTGAGGGTTCTCGGTTCGATTTCCGTGGAGTATTCCCTTGGTCGTGTATTATCGTCAGAAGAGAGAGAGAGGGAGAATGTTGTCGAACAGCCTGTGGCGACTCCTCATAAATATTTTTAGATTAAATTCTTGATAAAATCACTTTGAAATTTTTCTCAACTCTTATAATCTATAACTTATTTTATTGCTTACTGAAAGCCAATGTATAATATTGATATTTGTGTAATAAATGCTTTATATTTGATTAAATAAAATCAATAAATATAAAAAGTAAAACTTTGTGAAGCTTAGAAAACATAAAAAATATATTATGTATGTCAAGCTGTGTATAACTTATTTTTATAAAATTTTTTTTTTATTTTTCGTTCTCATTTTTAAACGTTGAAATATTAATGAATTTATTTATAAGAAAGTAAGAGTAAGAGATTATTAATATTAACATTCGTAATTGATAATAATTGGTATTGATAATAGTTGGTATATAAGTCTAAATAAAAGATATAAAAAATATCTAACTCAATTTATTAATAAAGCAAAAATCTTTTCAAGCTTCAACTTTTGTAACCAAGAGCAAAAAAAAATTCAGTTTCTTTTTATAGAAGCAAACGGCCAAACCAGGCACAGCTCTGCACAGCTTTTTTTCATATTTTCTTTTTGGTCAAATTTATGGCTTATAATAAGCGCTACTCATGGAATTTTGTATATTGCATTGGTCGTTCGCTCGTATATTATGCTTATTGTTTCGAACATGCAAAGTCGAGAGTCCGTTCTCAACTATATGCCGTACAATTTGTATAATCAGCTGCTAAATGATGTGCAAATTGTGTGTATTCAAATGGAGAAAATGATGAAGCTATTGCTCCTGCTGCTGTCATTTGGCATCCAAACAGCCCAAGGTCAAAACCTAGGAGTGTTTGTATTAACGCGCCCGAGGCTATGCAGCACAAAAACCCCAAATGCCAACTCTGGCCAGAAGCATATGTCCCACATATATAATTGAGTACAACTTATTGCATACATTTTCAATTTGCAACAAACACACACACACACACACACATCCATTACTTAGCACGTGATATATTTCGCTATTATCGCGATGCAACTTCGACATTTTTCAAAAATCATTTTCATCAAAATTTGCATACTCCCCCTACCTCCCTCTCCCTCTCTATGTATTACCAGAATAAATGTTCTGCTGCCTGCTGGCGCCTTAAGCTATGCAACGTTTTTTGTTCACTTCCTCTCTTTCCCTTTCCCTTTCGCTCTCTCTCTCTCTCGCTTTCATACACAAGCGCCTTCAGCACGGAAGTTGATTATTATCGCTTGTTATTAACAGCGCCAACAACAACAGGAACAACAACAACGACAGCAAGTGGCGTAATAAGCCAAGAGAGTTGCCTGCATTTTGCGCCACATCATGCCAAGGAGCGCGCTCTCTACTATAGTGAGGAGCTGAAGGACGCGGAAGTTGGAAGAGGTTGGGCAGTTTTTTGCCATTCTGTCAAAATACTGGAGCGAATTGTTACTGATATCGCGGACTCGAACTCGGACTCAGCGTGGAAACTTGATGTGTAACGCCCACTGTAATAGACCTTGAGCAATTTGTTATGCATCTATGAGATATGAGCCTGTGTATGTGTAAGTCACTTCTAGGTGGTCTTACTTTACTCAAAGACCTGTCATTTGTGCTTAGTGGCTCTTCGTCGATGGACAAAGTCTGCAATATTATAAATTTAATTCGCAAATTCTTATTCGAGTTTTGAATTATTTTAGTTATTTAATTTATCAGTTCCGTTAATTATTTGAGAAACTAGTAATTTATTATTGCTAAAGAGCACTGGCAACTAAGGCCTTAGGTCAAGACAACACAATATACTGTTGCATACAATAATCTGGGCTTGCAACGTGATGCGCCATCGCGCAAAAATAATTGTTCAACGTCAATTTTTCAGCTGTTCATTATTTCATAATTAACAGCTCAGCATTTTGGCACAGCTTTGTGACTCTCTAAATTAATTCATTCGCTGATCACTAAAAATCACAGAAGAGTTTATTTAATAGTCAATTTAAAAACAATTAGTCTGCAACCGGCATAGCTCCATTGCAACCAAGTCCGCTCTCATCTAGTCTGAAAATATTGCAGCTACATTAATCTTATGTAGAATCGAATAAGGTAAAAAAGTCTAGATTCAGGTTGTATTGACTGGCTCACAGACCCACTTAGCTAGTTAGGGTTTAAAGCAACAAGCGCAATAGAGTTGTAAGCTGCATTAACTAAATAATAAATACTTAAAGAATAAATAAGATTTTTAAAATTTTTCTAGCACATAATGAGTTAGATTGAAGAAGATTTATTTATTTTTATTAACAGAAATTTGGACTAAGTTAATTATGTATTATTATTAGTGTTTTATATAAACATTTGCTTTTATTATATTAATTACTAAAAAGGCATTAGACAGCTTAATAAATCCAACTAAAATACACAAGCCAAACTTAAATCGTTGATAAATTAAAATAATATAAATAAAACATAATAAAATTTAACATAAATATTTTTAAAAATTATATAAACAAATATAATAAAACTTTCAATTCAACACGATTTATTTAAATTTTCTAAAATGATTTATCAAGTTTTTGTCTGGAACTTTTGCCTATGGCAGATAAGATTTTCTATAATATTATGAATGCATCTAATATATTTAACTCACATATCTCATAGAAATTTCTGTAAATTTAAACAGTATTTATTAGCAAAGAGAACACTGAATGTGATGCAATATTTAGAGCTGAGCGAATGGGTTTTGTTGGTTTGTCGTAATTGAATTATGCATTTGTGCATGTCGGTCCGAGCGAGTCGATTATATGTTTGGAAAATCGTATTTCCTTTGCAGCAGGGCCTCGCACCTGTCCCTGCATCAGACAGCCTCGAAAATCAAATGTGATCGCAATCAACTCGATAGCGAACGGCAGCAACAAAAACAATCGAATGCAGACAAAGTTTTATGTAAAATGCAAATGACACAAAAAGTGCCAGAGACCCAAAACATGTTCAAAGTTCGAGAGGGGACGAACGAGCTAGCGAGAACGAATGAAAAAATCTATGGCAAACATATTTTGCAACAAATGTTGTAATAATGTGGCAGCATGTATAATACATTAGAGTGTGCCTCTTCCTCTCTCTCTCGCACTTTCTATCTATCTGAATTGGTGTGTGTGTGATGTTTGTTGGAGATATGTCGTTAGCCATTTGCCGGCTTCGTTAGCGAGTGCGGTTTATGGATATCAATGAACTTTAAATTGCAGCCAACATGAAATATGCAATTGCAATTGTGCACGCCTAAAACTATGCAACACATGCCACAGGCAAGGCGACTGTGTGAGGGGAGGCAATAAACATGGCCAAGAGTGCCAGACACATTTATAGGCAAATTTCATATTTCATATACACATCAAAAACACGCGTTCAGCCACGAAACAACAACAACGACAACAACAACGGCGCAAATGTGACTGACTATTGACCGTCTCCAGCCAGTTGGGCCGAGTGTGTTGTGTTGTGTTTGGGTGGGTGTGGCTAGGCCAACTGTAAGTACTGGCATAAATAACATGGCTTTAGTTTTTCATCTTTCTTTTGTTCTTTCTATTTTTTAAATATAATTACAGCAAACACGCAGCAAAGCATTCGCCTCACTAAATTGCCAACAAGCGGCAAAAAACGCGCGCGTTTGCAGCTGATGCGCGTCTAAACACGCGAGCGAAACGCTAGCGTGCTCTAAACTTGATTGTTGTCCCTATTAGTGTTGTTGCTTGTTATGTTCGCTGTTGCAGTGCATTTATGCAACTTGTTGTTAATTACTTATTAATTATGTCCGCGATTTAAGAACATTCCCATAAATTGAGTAATATGTTAATATGTCTGAGTTCTGATTTGATATTAAGCCTCTTCAGTTAACATTGCATTTGTAACACTTATTAATAATCACTTTTAATCTCAACATGTTTTTGTCAGTATTAAATAGCAACAGTTTGGCAAGCGTGCTACACTCGAGATTTTAGTTTAGGTTTTCGCGTAGGACGCACTTGATTGAAGCACAACCGCTCGCCACGAACGTCGTCGTTAGACTGAAACTGGCGGTCGCAGCGAATCGAGCACGAAGCAAAGTAACGGTGAGCCGAAGACATGTGAATGGAACGCAGCAAATCGTCGACGTCGTCGTCGTGTTGTCGTCGTAGTCGCGCTGCATGTCAGTCGAGCAGCTTGGGTGTTCGGCTGGTTGAGGTGGGTTTGGGGTGGCTTTTACCGGTGGCAGTTGCGTCGCGAACGAATCAGACAACTGTGATTTTTGTTGTTGCTGGCTACATTATATTTGGCTTTTTGTTGGTGGGCGCTCGTTTCACGTTTTCTTTTTTCTAACTTTTGGTTTATTTGTAATGCTTGCTGCGTGTGTGTGTGAGTGTGAGCGTGTGAGTGCTGGCGCATTATCCAATGGGGGGTTGCTGTTGAAACTCACCACGATTGAAATGCTCATGGCGCTCGCATTGAATGCGAATTGAATTGAATGCCGCTCTTGGGGGAAATTTGCTCTGCATACTTTACGTCAGCGCGGCATTTGCCAATTTATGAATGAATTTTGACTGTGTGTGTGTGTGTAAAATAGTTACAACGCCAGTTCTGAATGTGTATGTGTATGTGTGTGTTGTTATATTTTTGTTGTTGTTGGCGAGTGCGTGTTAAGCAGAAATTGATTGTCATTGGTCATGGCATTGGCATGCGGCACAGCTGCTAAAAACTAGCAAAAAACTGTTACAAACATGATTTAATATTGTTATTTATTTTATTTAAATTAAAGATTGAGTAGTTATTTAAAATGCAAATCTTATAATACAAATTCTTTATTTGGGATTGACACATATTTGATCATTTTTTCCAACATTTAAGAAAGCATATGAAAAAAAAAGAATTTTAAAAAAATCATAAAATAGAACTAACAAAAAGAAATGGAATATTAGCTTTGTGTAATTTAAAATTTCAGATAAATAAAATACTCAAAGACTTACAAACAAAGACAATAAAATAAAATGGATTTCTAAGCATATAAAAAATGTATTTCAATTGTTTGCTTTATGCATGATCTTAAGACATCCAACGTTAATATTAAATAAAAATCATAATAGAAATTGGTTTCTAATTGATAGATTTTTAAATTGTTATCAGGCAGAGAAAGCTAATGAAACAAGTGAAACTTCCATAATTGCAAAATTGGAGTAAATAAAAGATGCTTAAAATACTCGAAATACATTTATAAGTTGCCTTCTTTATTATTTTCCAGCTTCGCTTTATAAAGTCGATGTAACATATAAAAACTAACTAAACTAAGAGTTGACTATAAAAATTGTATTAATCGTGCACCACCAATAAGCATGCTATATTTTTTATTTGACGCGTTTAATTAATTTCATGCCCGGCTGCAGGCAGCCGCAAAATAAAAAGAGAAAACTAAAAGCAAACTTTAAGCGTTAGGTTAGACACCCACCCACACACCACCATACACACACTCAGTCACACACTTGGCTACACCTGGCAGGCACTTTTCAATAACGGTACCAGATTGTGTCAGGCTCTGTTTGGCTTGGAGTTGTTGGAGTTGCCCTCGAGCCCGTCTCATTTGCCAGCTTAATTGCGCGCATATATCAGTTTTAGTTTACCAAGAGGCCGGGCAGGTGGCTAATCAAGCCAACCCTCCGCCCACCTGCGCGCCATGGTTAGCCTATCATTTTCACACAGCACACGCACACGGCCAATAAATAATGGAAAACAAAACACAAAAACCAAAACTAAAAAAATGTCTGCAGCGTAAAAATTATTGTTATGAAGCGAAAATGTTGAAAAGGATATCCGCGAGCGTTCCCCCACTCTACGTCCTTGTTGTCCCCGTCGCTCGTCAGGAGCTGCTTGTGTCCTGCCTTTGCATTGCGTGCCAATGCACTTGCGCCACAAATCATTTTTTGCCTGAAAAGTCCTGAGGCGTCAAAGGGTTCGCAGGACATCGACGCCGGCTTCCAACTTGTTTTTCAAGTTTCCTTTCGCTTCCTTGGCAACTTTTCCCATGTTGCCCACCTTTTCGCTCGACATATTTTGCTTCTTTTGGTCCCGTTTTCGGCGTAGACTAATATAAATTTTGACACCTGATAATTTCTTTGTGTTGGATGCGACGACAACAGCTGCAGCAGCTGCCTCGCCCCCTCAATCCAGCCCCCGTTCCCAGCCCCGTAATTGTGGATGAACATGCAAAGGCTGATCGCACGGATGGGCTGCAAAGCCAACCTGGAACTTCAATAAATTATAACTAAATTCTCGCTTTGCATTTTTACGATGCGCCGCATTTAATAGACAAAGTTAGCCTGAATTATTGGCACAACCTTGATGGCATTAGCCCATGAGCCGGAAATTGGCAATTAAAAGTGCATAAAACAAGATATTCCTACGAAATAAAGCCAGCCAAGTGAATTACATTTGCACGAGTCAAATGTCTCAATCGAGAATATACCAATATGGGATACGCAGATATTTAGAGAATTGTATGTTAGATAAAGGGCAGTCAAAGCTAACAGGTATCACAGTAAATTTAAATTTAAATTTTTTATTTTTTATATATATTTTTTTATAGTTAAATTTATATTTTAAAGACGAATGTAGAATATTGGGTAAATAGTAATTCACATTTTAAACGAATTTAAAATAAATTAGAAATATATAAAAAATATATAACATATATCCGATTAACACTGGTGATATGAAGATATATATATATATATATATATATATATATGATACAATAATAAATCTTATTATAAAGAGAATTATATATCTATTGTGATCAAATCATGTAGCAATGCTTTAAATATAGTAATTTGTTAAATAAGCTGAAAAGAATTTATATAGATAAAATTATAGATATTATATATAATAATTATATATTTATCTTGACTAATGATAATTGATATATACATATAAAAACATAAATTCCACTACATAAGTATATGCACTTATATTATATATATAAAGATATTACTATTCATATTTATATTATCAGAGAATGCAAGATTTCACCGAAATCTATAACAAAAAAAAACAGATATACTTGAACAATGGACCAAAACTAAAAGTGACCCAAAAATTAATGGTATCCTTGCCAAAAAATAACCCAAATGGTGGTTGTAAAAGAAGTGGGCAAATATTAATTTTTATTGATCAAAAACTGAGCTTTAAAAATAATAATATCTTTTTCTCTGTCTCTCTGTTATTTATAAGCTAATACATTTACATTTTTGATATCTTTATTAATTAGGAATTTATTTCGTGCATTAAATTTGATTGTACAGGTTCTACACTTTTATAAATATAATCAAAAAAAAAAAAATTAAATAAGCTGTGAACACCTATATATAATAGCATATAAGTAGTACATGCATACATATAACAAAAACAAAGAAGTAGAATCAAATTTTGCATAGAATTGGTCACTTTCCGTTCTAATTTGATATTTTTACAATAGTGAATTCCAACCGTCGTGTTTTCCAGAACGCTCATTTCTAGCCACGATTCAGCAATGATGAGTTTTTCAACTGCGATTTCTTATATACAAGCTCAAAGCTTCACACTAGCGTCAGTAGCTGCAATCAGTACAAAATGAAACAGAATTGGGAAACCATAGAAATCAGACTTAATTCGCAATATCACGTCATATCACATACAACTTATATATACAACTTATATGTCAAGTCCCAAGAAATTTTTAAGAGCAATAAACAAAGTCATAAGTAAGCCAAAAACCACTGTTTAAGTTCCGGTATATTTCATTGGAATGGCTCGACTAAAGCTGGGTTAGAAATGCTACAAATTATATAAACTACTTTGCAGCTTAAGAGTATATTCCTTCAGAGCTTGCTGCCCTCTCTCTCTCTCTCTGTCTGCCTTTCTCTTACTGAAAAACCTTCTCTCAGAAATTGTGCGTTTCTTCGATTGTCATTTACTCATTGAATCGATATGCATTGTTGCAAAGTAATGCCGACTCAAGCAGAACTCTGATCAGTTGCTATGTTGTCGCGTCGCGAATCGGTTCCCTTCCAGATGGAGTTGTTTTATTTATCAATAATTGTGGTGTGTCTGTTTCTTCACTTTACGGCCAAGATTTTCAAGTGCGTGGGCAATGATCTGAATTTCTTTTTTGGTTTGTTAATATACCTATTCAAAATGTCATTTAAAATATTTAAATCACTATTCAACCTATTACGCTCAGTCAGAAATGCAAATTAAAATTCAACGTGTCAAACACAATAAAAATAGTGAAACATATAGGAATAATTCAAATTGGAAAACAAATTAATTACCCTCTTTAGTGCAATAAAGTTAAGGAGTTGTCTTTAAAGCTCTGTAAGTACACAATCAATTCAAAAAATTATTGTTATATCATAAGGCAATTCAGGGGAAATACTCTTTCCTATTTTCTTATTTGACATGAAACGAAATGCTGTAAATCCATAATTTCAATTATCTGTTTCCTGTTATTAGCCGAGTCATCAGTTAAAAACCGGTGGTTAGTCAGACAAATAGTTAGTCTGCCTATAACTTTTAAATTTGTCATTAAATGTATCCATTTGTCATCAACTATTATTAATAGTCGTCAGTTAAATGTTAGTCAGTATTATGTTAGTCATATGTTAGTCATCAATCAATAGTCAATAGTCATCAGTCAATAGTCATCAGTCAATAGTCATCAGTCATCAGTCATCAGTCAAGAGTCATCAGTCAATAGTCATCAGTCATCCGTCATCAGTCATCAGTCATCAGTCATCAGTCATCAGTCATCAGTCATCAGTCATCAGTCATCAGTCATCAGTCATCAGTCATCAGTCATCAGTCATCAGTCATCAGTCATCAGTCATCAGTCATCAGTCATCAGTCATCAGTCATCAGTCATCAGTCATCAGTCATCAGTCATCAGTCATCAGTCATCAGTCATCAGTCATCAGTCATCAGTCATCAGTCATCAGTCATCAGTCATCAGTCATCAGTCATCAGTCATCAGTCATCAGTCATCAGTCATCAGTCATCAGTCATCAGTCATCAGTCATCAGTCATCAGTCATCAGTCATCAGTCATCAGTCATCAGTCATCAGTCATCAGTCATCAGTCATCAGTCATCAGTCATCAGTCATCAGTCATCAGTCATCAGTCATCAGTCATCAGTCATCAGTCATCAGTCATCAGTCATCAGTCATCAGTCATCAGTCATCAGTCATCAGTCATCAGTCATCAGTCATCAGTCATCAGTCATCAGTCATCAGTCATCAGTCATCAGTCATCAGTCATCAGTCATCAGTCATCAGTCATCAGTCATCAGTCATCAGTCATCAGTCATCAGTCATCAGTCATCAGTCATCAGTCATCAGTCATCAGTCATCAGTCATCAGTCATCAGTCATCAGTCATCAGTCATCAGTCATCAGTCATCAGTCATCAGTTCAGTCATCAGTCATCAGTCATCAGTCATCAGTCATCAGTCATCAGTCATCAGTCATCAGTCATCAGTCATCAGTCATCAGTCATCAGTCATCAGTCATCAGTCATCAGTCATCAGTCATCAGTCATCAGTCATCAGTCATCAGTCATCAGTCATCAGTCATCAGTCATCAGTCATCAGTCATCAGTCATCAGTCATCAGTCATCAGTCATCAGTCATCAGTCATCAGTCATCAGTCATCAGTCATCAGTCATCAGTCATCAGTCTCATCAGTCATCAGTCATCAGTCATCAGTCATCAGTCATCAGTCATCAGTCATCAGTCATCAGTCATCAGTCATCAGTCATCAGTCATCAGTCATCAGTCATTAGTCATTAGTCATTAGTCATTAGTCATTAGTCATAGTCATAGTCATTAGTCATTAGTCATTAGTCATTAGTCATTAGTCATTAGTCATTAGATTAGTCATTAGTCATTAGTCATTAGTCATTAGTCATTAGTCATTAGTCATTAGTCATTAGTCATTAGTCATTAGTCATTAGTCATTAGTCATTAGTCATTAGTCATTAGTCATTAGTCATTAGTCATTAGTCATTAGTCATTAGTCATTAGTCATTAGTCATTAGTCATTAGTCATTAGTCATTAGTCATTAGTCATTAGTCATTAGTCATTAGTCATTAGTCATTAGTCATTAGTCATTAGTCATTAGTCATTAGTCATTAGTCATTAGTCATTAGTCATTAGTCATTAGTCATTAGTCATTAGTCATTAGTCATTAGTCATTAGTCATTAGTCATTAGTCATTAGTCATTAGTCATTAGTCATTAGTCATTAGTCATCAATGATCATCAGTAATTTGTCAACAGGAATCGTTTTCAGTCTTCAATCATCAGTTACCGATCGTCTGTCATCAGTCACCAATAATGAATCGTTATTCATCATACATTATACATCATTTTCATTCATCAGTCAACAGCATTTCACCCACATTTTCACCCTGCCACCCATTCAATCACTTGGTCAGCCCGTAAATCAATCAAAATCATACCTCTTATTCTCTCATACATCCGCACACAATCTGCGACAGACCTTCTGCTTGCTCCTGCCCTTGATTAATGCCACACACATTATTTCAGGTGCCTGCCACTGTGCAACAGTAACTAAGACTCACTCTCTCCAACTCTCGCAATCGACACTCAGCTTCCTTAACTAATCGCCAAAATCAGCAAATGTGAGGGGCTGCTTTGCAACCCGCCTTCATTGGATGTTGCTGGCACACGGATGCAGTCATAAATTAAATATGACACCTACTAGAGAATCGAGGCATGCAACGTTCTCACATTTGTGCCACGGCACCTTCACCCTCTCTCACTCTCTTTGAGCTGCAGCATATGAAGTGCATTCATTATTCACACATATTTTGCTAATTAGCAAAATATTGTAAATGTTTGGATTTATGTGGACGGCACACACAAGGACACACTCGCACACACACCTCTGCAACCAATAGCTGCAGGTATAAGCAGTGCATCAAGTGTGGCGCCGTCCTGCTTGTTGATCAGCTCACGTAGCCTTCCTCTCGGCAGCCCCTGGAAACTCTCTCGCCCTCTCCCGCTCTATGTGCTTAGGTGTCATTTGTGTGATTTAGTGGCCGGAGGTGTTGGTGTCGGTTGGCGACGACTGAACAGCTGTTGGTGAGCCAGTGGACAACTGAGCTTTGCGGCGTCTATAAATTTTGGTTTGCCTTTCAAACGACCGCTAAACGCGACAGCTTTGATTGAATTTTCTGCTGATGTCTAAACTATGCAACAGCGAGCGACAGTTTTCAGTTTCACAGCAGCTCAATTTCTACGCAGAATTTGTTTATGCAGCATTTGTTTTGACTATTGTTATTGTTGTTGTGGCTTTTTTGCTTTATTGATTATCGTTTTATTGACACTCGTCGCGACTTGTAATATTATTCGATAGGCTCCACACGCAGTCTGACGCCCTCGTTCGGTATTAGCAAGAAATTTTTGCTGCCAATGGTCAGCTCGCTGGAACCGTCGGCGGGCAGCTGGAAACGATATGAGCTGAGCAAAGTAATTAGTCCCACCTTGACTTGCATGCGTCCAAAGCGCAGCCCAATGCAGTTGCGTGGCCCATCGCCAAAGCCAAGAAAGGCCATGGGATGGCGTTGCTGCACGGTGGCCGCCTCGAAGCGTTCCGGTCGAAACTCGTTCGGTTCCGGATAGATCTCCGGATCGTAGTGTATAGCGCGCACCGGTATATGCACGCTTATGCCACGCTCCAGTACAATATTCGCATCATCGCTGGGCACTTTGTAGTTCTCGGAAGGAATGCGAGTTAGAGACGCCAGAGCCGGATATTTGCGGAGAGTCTCTGAAAGTGGTAAGAGAGCAGAGTAGTTAAGTGGGAATATAGATCATGATGATATTATATATGATATATTTTTTATATATTATATGATATATGATAATATGGATGTAGATAAAACCCCAACTCCGAGAAGTTGTCAGCAGATATAGTAGAAAAAGGCAGGTGTGAACGAAGCCAAAATGAGATAATTAAAAGTCTGAGTTTATTGAACCCAAATCATAGATAGTATTATATAGAAAGAACACAAAACAATGACAGATTAGAGAAACGCAATTAAAGTAGAAACAGCACAGATTGTAATATTTGTCTAGAGTCTCGGCACAGGTTTGCAAAGGCTAATTAGAGTGGGCGAGACTAAGCCAGAAAACGTAAGCTAACTGGTAAAAGGGACCTTGGACTTAGAGCTGCAACAATTAAGCTAAAACAATTTAGAATATATAACACATATTGTAAAGGTATAAAAGTATAGAAATAAAATGAACACTATAAAAAGTTGGGAGAAGCCACTCAGAAATTTACCTTGTAATAGATTTTATACTCTATAAATGAATATAGTACTCTTTTCTTAAACAGATAGTTAGCAGTCCAAATGTATTTAAATTGCTTGAGCATTTATAAAAATGCTGAGCATTGTTGGAAATCTCTGGAAAAGCAATGTGGCTGATGGTCCTATCTACATCATGCCTCAAGCTATTTATTGTATAACAAAACGAAGAGCTTAAAGACTCAAGTACATAAATCTCTAAAGTTCAAGCAACCTCTGCTTAGAGATTCTCTGCAGCTCGAAGGGCAACACTCAATATCATAATTATTTTCAATTGCTTTCAATGCATGAGAAGTTGTACAGACTTCATATGTTTTGTTTATTGCAAATCAACATTATTTCAAGTGTTTCTACGTCCAACTGTTTTCATTCGAGCTAAACTGTTTGCACTGCATATTTTTAGCAGCTGATTCAGGGTTTTAGATGTATGCGAAGTATCACAGCAGACTGCGTATCGCACGATGTCAGTTGCAGAACGTTGCTTATCAGCCTGATACAGCTTCGACTTTAATCTGGGACTCACCATTAACGACTTGGTCCAAGTATTCCATCTCCATCATGGCTTCGTAGGTGAGTTTGCCGTGCTTTTGCAATACGCTTTGGATTTCGGCTCTCAGTTTGGATTGAATGGATGGGTTTTTGGCCAGTTCGTAGAGAGCGTAGCTCATGTTGCTGGAGCTGGTCTCGAAGCCAGCGACAAAGAAGACAAACACCTGAGCGGCCAGCTGCTCCACGGTCAGGCCATTCTTCTCTTCCGTTCGACGCAGGTCGAGCAGCAGATCCATGAAATCATTTCGTTTTATATTCTCGCGCTCTCTCACCTCGACTGTGTCGCGAATGAGGCGCAAAAAGAAGCCAGAGAAATCCTCATTGGGATGTCGCAGTCTGATGGGCATTTTGTTCAGAAGTTTCATGTAGGTCACCTTAAAGAGACTCCAGCGAACACCCCGATTGTGATCAGTGAAGAGCTTACGTGCCACCACGCGGAACTCGGCCTTTGGATTTCTGAGGCTGTTGCACTCGATGCCAAAGGCGTGCAGCTCCAAAATGTGGCCGCTGTTGGCACTGGCAGCCACCTCCCTCCGACAGGTCTCGTCCAGCTGCTGAGCGACGCTCGTAATGCTGCTGAACATATACTTGATCTTGCCGCTCGTAAAAGTGGGCGACAGCTTGGTTCTCAAAGCTCGCCATTGCTCGCCATTCAGATTGAATAGATGACCCGCCAGCGGATTCTTCTCCAAATTAAACGGCGTATTTATGCGATCCACGAACTTGTTGAAGTCCTTGATCAGTATGGCCTTTACCAGGTCCAGATCAGTGACCACGGCAATGGGTCGCGTGTATATGTATGTGCCAGCCACTTGGCATTTGCCCTTGAAGGCATCATAGTTCTCCTGCAGCAGCTCGCTAAGGTGCACGGACTTCAGCTTGAAGAAGTTGCCAAACAGAAAGTGTGTACGCAGCTGGGGCACTCCCTCCTGCTCCCAGTAGCTGTAGCAATGCCTCAAGTAGCCAAACAGCCATGCGATCAGCGCAGATAACACGATTAATATGAAGCCCATCACTGAGTCGTAGAGTACACGCAGATGCTGCGACAGCCCAAAGACTAACTAACTTAACTCTACTCTTGGCACTACTTATAGGCATTGATAAGCGCAGTCTTTAGACAAAGTTATTATCAGTTGTTGTTCTAGGTGACAATGCTTCTTATGCCCTTTCAGTGAGTCATTCTGTTTCTATCAGTCTGATTTGATAGGCTCTTCTGCATGCCTAACAGTGAACTACTGTGATATTGCTGCAGCAGATTATGATACCATATATAAGAAAGAACGATCAGTAGATGAGATTGTCATTTAAGTAAAAGCAATTTCAGTGGAAATTAAATATCATTGGCATACGCATTTTAGATATTCTCTATACTCTGTAATTTAAATGTATATCCTCTCTAACAAATATGAATATAATATCATATAATATATATATATACTAAAGAAAGATTATTATATATATATACATATACATAGATATATATATACCTCATTTGCTGAAAGAGCATTTAGACTTCTTCAGCTTCAAGATGATTCGTTGTTTGCCGCATATTCATTATTATCTGAAATGATGCTGCAAAAGCCACAATGACGTTGCAATAATAATAAAAGATATATGCAAGCGTATTCCCTGTCTGTATGTTTATATAGGTTAAGTAAATTCAAATCTGTAATATTTACAACTTTCCTAAAATACAAATTCAAACACTAAATATTTGAGCTACAAACTTAAGGTTTCTTGCAGATTATCGTGACCACTAGATAACCACAAACTGCTTAAGATATTGCTCATTGTCTGAAAAGTAAATATATTTGTTCACACAATTGTTAAGGTGTCACTCTTATCTTATCTCTTATATTATGATGTGATAGGCGTTAGTAACTAAACTCAAATAGGAGCAAGCGAAGTCAAAACATTTCTGTAGATCGAAACATCTCACAGAGATAAATGTGAAATTGAATATAAGATCAACCGTCGAGTGTGGTCCAGATTCAGTCAGCTATAAAAGGTAAAAAAACAATGCTGGATTGTCGCATTTCTCAGCTATTTCAGGGAAGTCGCAGCGCCCTACTGGTTAATTGAATGAATATTTAAATATAGTTATATTAAAAATATAAAAATAAGGTTATTTATTATTATTATCTGAATCCTAATTGACGCAATGATAAATGTGATAGTAAATTTATTATATTTTTTATTACGACGATGGTAAACATATTGATAATTGTTATAAGATATTCTCGTGTCAATACACTCATCTTTTCAAAGTGTTAAGATTACTTACTAAATATTAGCGCTATTCTTGGCAGCGCTATTGTTGGACTTAAAATTTTTTTTTTATTTATGCCAAAAGGAGCCGGGATAGATAAGAAAAAGTCCTTTAGTTTCTATCCAGATTGATATAGTTACTTTTAGAGTCTTACTAGCTGCCCATAATATCCATTATTGATTTATTTTAAACAGTAAAACATAAACATAAAATGTTTGCCTATCAGATTTCTAAATTCAAACAAAAATACTTAAGTTAAATCAAACCTATAATGAATCGATATATATATATATAAATATATATATATATATATATATATATATATATATATATATATATATATATATATATATATATATATATATATATATATATATATATGTATTTAAATGCAGTATAGTCCAAAGCGTTTATTTAGTAAGAGAGCTTTTATTTTAATATCCGTTAGTGAAGTTTAAATTTTCGAATATGAAATGTTCATAACGTGCAATATCCAAACCTTAATCCTTATAAGTATTTACAGTATTTACTCTTACTGTTATGCTTAACATTATCTCAAAAGCTTTACCGACAGAAGCATTTTTGGTTGCTGCTTCGACTATACAAAGCTGCTTTGTTGTACTTTAAAAAAGGGAGAAGTTTGACAAGCTTTATCCGAGTTTCTGAAGCTTTCACCACGTGGTGAGTTATTCTATGTTGTTGCATATATAGATATAAGTAACATCAGTTAAGAAGTGTGAGCCGCTGTTAATATTCAATGAATGTAAGTTCCACGCCTTAATAAGGTCGAGGTGCAAATGTGTTTCCCTGAAGTTCATTTAATTTAATATACACAAATATCCATTTAATGAAATGACTCAGCTACGTCACATGCACATATGTAATTCATTTAAATATGTACACTATTAATAGTTAGACACTAACTATCTGATACATATTGGAGCAGACAGGTGAACTGAGCTTATTTAAAATGTTTCAGGCAGTCAAAGAATTAATTAAAATAGTTTAAGTTTCACATCATTAAACTGATCAATGACAGCAGCCGTAAATAATCGCCATGAATATATATATATAGGCACACACACACACACAGATACTATCCATATATACACACATGCGTTTATATTTAATTTCGTAGCAAATTGACTTTATCAATTACACGATTAAATAATACACACACACACACTGAGTCATGAGGCATATGATGCATGAAAAGCGTTCAATAAACAGTCTAATAGATGACTCTGTAAGCTCACACCTCAATAAATTGAAAATTAATTGTACATTTTTGACATAAAGTAGAGGGAAATACAGGTAAAAAAAACGTGTAGCCTACCTTTGAGGGCAAATCGAAGCTTTGCGCAGCTGGTTGTCAGCGCTTTTACCTTTTGAGGTCTGCGAGCATCAACTTGTGTGTGTGTGTGTGCGTGTGTATATGTGTGACTATGACTATGTGGTCTTGCCTGTCGTTTGGTTAGGTAGCGAGAATTTTGCTCTCCATTCTGGACATGCGGCACATGCTCTTATTAACTTGCCTTTTGTGTGTGGACTACAGTGCCAAGCGAGTTGAAAGGGCAAAGGGAAGTGGAAAGGCACGGGTGATTGCATAACCCCACCCACACCCACTGCCCCGCACACACATGCCAATTTTTTGCCATTTGCGGCGCAGCGCGTGTGAAAATGCAACCAAATTGCCGCGGTAGCGATTTTTACAAGACCAAAGCATAGCAATGGCAAATGGGTATATTACGTCTGTGGGTTGTCTGCGTGCCCAACAGTCGTGCAGTGGATGTGGGCAAGGCGACTTCCTTAGGCAAGCGTTTCTTTTATATAAAGTCAGCTCTTTACTCGTCTTAAGTTTTTTTTTATATTTACCTATTTTTGGTATCTCTCTCCATTTTTCCTCCCTTTCTCGTTTTTAATTTCACACTTCTCATCTGCTCTCTTCTGTTCTTGTTTCTGTTAACTCTTAACTTTTCTCTTCTCATCTCTGAACTTTTTCATTCTATTTTACATTTCATATGGCTTGTCTTATTATTCTATTATTATTATTGTCTTGGCTTATGCTTTGCTTAATCTTTTCTTGTGTTTTTTTTATCTGCTCTTCTATCTCTGCTACTGCATGTTTTTCTACTCTTTGCTTTCCTCTTTACTCTTCCTAATTTTTTTCTTCTTAATTTATCTCTTTTCTTTACATCTCAATTACTTTTTCTGCTGTCTATTATCTTTATATGTCTCTCTTCTTTTCGTTTTTTACTCTTTTCTTATTTTTTATTGTATTCAGATTTTTTTATTCTCGTCTGTTTTCATTTCAATTCTTCTCTCTTATCTTCGTCTTTTCTGTTTTTGTCATCTTTTTGTTATCTTCTATTCTATAAGTCTTTTCCTTGTTTTCTTTCATCTCTTTATCTACAGTTAATCTCCCTTTTCTAGTCCTCTCTCTCTGTCTTTCTTTATCTTTCTCTCTCTCTCTCTCTCTTTTTCTCTCTCTCTATTCTTCTGTCTCTCTCTCTCTCTCTCTTTGTCTTTCTTTCTCTTTCCCTCTCTCTTTAGAATTCCTATATATTAATACATAGTCCACTTTTGATTCTAACAAATTCTTATAATGTTTTTGACAGCAAATCAATATTCATAAGATTTATTTGAAGTTATTTGAAGTACATATTTTAATGAGAAAAGTGCCTTAAAGCTAATTCGTTTTGTTTCTGCCCACTGAATATAAGAGAAAATCATTTTTCATTAGCTGCAATACTTTAAAACAAATATAAGACCGAAAAGCGATCCAAATAAAATATAAATGCTGCAATTTATTTTTTTAAGTTTCTGTTAACTCAAAGATATCCATCAATAATTGATCTCATGCATGACACATCTGATTGCATCGACTAATCAGGTATTACGGGGTATCTGCCAGCATATACGCCGTCGGTTGTCCGCTTCGAATATGGACTCTTTTAAGCCCTTAAGCAAAAAACTAGCCACGTCCGACGTGCTTTTAATTGGCCGCTCGTGAGTTTATGAGGGCAACAGCAGACATTTAATTTATTTTAATAATTATGTATTTTATTTTTTCTTATTTTTTTAATTTTTAAGTTGCTCTGCGCTTTTTAAATTAAATTATAAACTCGCTGGCGCTACGCAGATATTTTTTTATTTTACGCTTTTTTTGCTGTCTAGTGCTGACTTTGTAATGAAACATTTGTACCATGTGGGACGATGGCGTAAAAAATTGATGATAAACGTAACTTTTAAAGAGGATAGAGTCCGCTATGCAACACCAGCAGCAGCAGGCACAAATCGTGTGGTTAGGTTCATTTTGTTGTTGATGCATTAAAAAACGGGAGAGGTGTGGCCCCTAGGCGGAAGTCGTTCAAATCAAAAGAATGGCGTATGGGCTTTTCATATATCAATTACTCAAATCGATGCTCGAGCTTTTGATTTAATTTGATTGTGGCCTTAAGGGATTACTGCTTAAAGGTCCTTTATAATACTTTCTATAGCCAAACTGTACAAAGTTTGACCGTTTCCCTTAAAGTTCTTTGATTCATTTTTTTAAATCATTTGAGATTTAATTCGTTCTTTGATTCACAGTTTACAGTTTTTAGTATCACGAAGTATTCTAGTAGGCATGTGTATAAATACAAACATAAATGGCAAAAAATCAAGAACATTCAGTCAGCAGCTACAAATAGCTCAAGCTCTAAATTGATTTTATTATATGTAGTTCAGCTTCATTGCCCTGTATAGCAAAATGTTACTTTTTAAATTTTGTTTGACTATAAATTTATATAAGCAAAAGTGATATTATTTACGATAGCAATTTTCATAATCCATAATTAGATTTCTTTTGTATATATTCTATGTAAATTACCATTTCCTCATGAATATCATTATGATTGCCGAAATGTATGAAAACTTGAAAAAAAAAAAAATAAAACGCAAGTCTCGACTCGTAGATTCTTTGGTACACTTAAGTTTGAGTGGACTTGCTTAAGCCAATATCCAGACGGATTTTGGTAAGTATCTTCTGGACTAGAAGATACAGCAAAGCCAGCTCAACCTGGGATTTTTGTTGAAAAAAAAAGCCAAAGTATCTTCTTCTATGTCCGCAGCATTTTCAAGGGCCTGAAGCTATAAAAATAACCAAAAAGAACCCAAAAGGTACTTGAACCAAAATAATATTTATTCGCTTGGGAGACTCGTTGACATTTTGCTAACTGTCAAACAGAGTGCTAAGCCTTCGGCTTGCAGCTATGATTTTGATATGTTGATATATTGATTAAGTGCACGTAAATGAATTTCTGTGAACTGAGGCGGGCACGAGTCGGGGATTGTCTATCTTTTTTGCCCACTGCTCTTTGATAGCCAGCAAATTGTGAGAGGATTCAAGCTTTACAACCTTATCTCAATGCACATCAAAAGGCAAGTGCAACTGCCGTAAGAATTATATACATTTTCGATTGAATTTCCCTATGAAGTCAGAAGTCAAAATTGAAATTATTTAAGACGGCATTTTATTTCCATTTTGTTAAATCAAATAAATCAATTACATTATATTTATATATATTTATATATATGCATATATCTGTATTTATATTTATATTTATTTATAAACATGTAGCGGTGCACCAAAGAGAAGCCAAAATGAGTCTAAAGTAAATGGGGTTTTGTCTCTGTTTCCGCAACAATTCATACGAAGGTTGGCTGCTCTCCACTCGACCACTTGACTTAAGCCTAGATTTAAATGTAGCTTTTAGTTGTTTGTTTTATTTTCAATTTGAGTTGTAGTTCATTAGCTGTTTCGCCTAATACAACACATGTCAATCCTAAGCCTTAAAACGAACTTGGTTTTTGGAATGTTTTCAATTTGCGAATCGCTTCAATTTTACATGCTAATACTTTGTATTTCCGTTGTATGTCTATAAACCTGTCTGCATTATGTGGGTATCTCTGTCTGTGTGTATCTGTAAGTGTGTGTGTGTACGAAAACCCTTTTTCAACCTTACGCGCTAAGCAACAACAACTTTTTACATGTATCTCTCAATCGTATCGAAGCACTAAATAAACTATTTTCGCTTCGTGCGTGAAATAATTGCTTACGACTGATTTTGCTTAAATTTACGAACTTTTTATTATTTTGTACAAATTACTACTTAAAGTTGCTAAGTTCTTAGGCCTGCCACGCCCCCAGGTAGACAACGATAATCAAAAGGTGTAAGATGTTGGCTGCGCGGCACAGCGGAACGGCTGAGCTCTTCAGGTCCTGCATGCGATCCATTTCATCGGTTAGCGATTTGGCATCATGCTTCAGCGGCGTGTTCTTGCCATCCGCCCGATAGGTGGCGCTGTGATCGGGCACTAGAAGACAGAGAAGAGCAACGAAAACAATTCAATTGATTGGAAGCACTTTATATATATATACATATAGATATATTATAGATATTATTGTTTGGCTCTGACATGTTACTTAATCAAAAGCCATATAACCATTCCAATTTCTTTATTTTACGTGCATGGTTTTTATGATGTGTCCTTTCATAACTCTGGCCGGCAGTTGGAGCTGCCAATCGAATGTCCTTTTTCAATTATGCGCTTACCACACGCCAGCGAGCATAAACAATAGACAGGATGCGTTTATAGCCCAGTCATTTGTGCACACAGACATCCACAGAGAGAGAGAGAGAGAGGGAGGAAAGAGAGAGAGAGAGAAACCAAACTGTTTGTCAAGGCGTTCCGTTTGCGAAACGTATTGCATATAAAAGGACACAACTTTCGTTCGTATTGCCCAACTGCTCCACTTATTTATAACATTCGCACTTATACAGCTCTTTTTTGGCCCCATTTTTTCTGGCCAAAAATCGAAAGTATTTCCTCTGGCGGCATTTTGTTTCAATTTCACTTTGGCAGCGCCAAAAATTGTTTCGATTTTTATTGCTTAAGTGCGTTAAACCCTTGCGCGCCAGGACATGCACTCCACAACAACCAGAAAAAAAAATAGGGTGTGTGTGTGTGGGTGCCTGCCACGGGGACACTCGTTTCGGTGCTCTGTATTGTTTTTGCCATCAATTTATCCTGCAGCCCTTATTTTTTCTTTACATATCTGTTTTAGTTTTTCTTCCTTTTTTATTTGTCTTCCAATTTTTTCTTGTTTTCCTCTTTTTTTTTTTTGGCTGTTTGTTTGTTTTCCTGGCAATCTGTTTCATTGGACATTTGTTTGTGTGCTGCAGTTACAAATGTGACGGCAGCAGGACGCGGGGGCTGGCGCAGGGGAGGCGCTGGAATTGCCGTCGGATTCTTGTGTTTTTTTATTTGGCCTGTAGGCAGCAATTGGTCATTAGGCGCTTCGCTTCTAGCTCTGCGGTTGAGCTGGACAACTGTGGCTTGTGGCGGGGCAGTCGTTCCACTCATTCAGTTCAAACTTAAAATACATGCAAATGGGCGACAAATTTCAGAGTAAATAAAGGTAAATTTAATGCCAAAGAGTCTGCGTATATTTTTGCATAATTAAGAAACTTGAAGCTTTTTCAACAGCTCGCTCCAAATTCAATTCGGTGTAGCAAACAACCTCTGAAATTTCTCTTAATTTTCATGAAGCTTGAGCTCCTGATGTTGTTGAGCAATAATCCCAGACAGATTATTTTTATAGCATATACGTGACCATTGTTGAGGCATTAGTGCATTGTAGTTAGAAGAAGAAAAAGAGGGAAAAATTATGTTTTAAGAGCATCAGTTCTAGATCAGAGAGAAGAAGCCACAAGTTGCAGTTACAAATATCCAAGAATACCTGAACACGACTAATGTATAATCCAAATATCAATTGTCGAGCTCCAACAGCTGTTTAAATAAAGCCATCTACATAGTAGCCAGGAGTATGTGCTCTATCGACTTTGGTAGCAAGACGGACTCTCTCCATTTCGCGACGATGTATAAGACCAATGACTGATGCATAAGAAGTGAAAATATAAGTTTGTGATGGACACTAAAAACAAACTCATTTTGTTTTGTTTAAAATATAATGTAAGAAGATAATTACGAATTGCTTTCGGTAGGAATTAATATGTTTTTCACGATTTTAGAGAGCTGCATTGATCGATAGTAGTGCAGCCTATAAAGCATTGAACACACTTAATAATAATACTAACTTTTAAAAAATGCATTCAAAGAAAGTGTAATTAATTTTTTTTAGTAGACACTCTTATTTTTATGAACAACTAAATTTTGTTAATAATATTTTGTCAACCTCCGAAGTACACGTACTTCTAAGCTTGGAACAAAAAGAATAGCTTAAATGATAAGAAATATGCTAAGCTTATTTTATTTTATTTTTTTTTATTCTTTATTTATTAGTGGTCCGACGCACTACCATTTTCATGAGCCCAACTGTGCATAATTATTTTAAATTCATTTTTATATATTTACTAACTAAATATAACTATATATATTAATTAATTGAATTCATAACTAGATGAAAATTCCATCAAATTGAGCTGATGATATTAACTAATTGAATTCATAACTAGATGAAAATTCCATCAAATTGAGCTGATGATATTAACTAATTAAATTCATAACTAGATGAAAATTCCATCAAAATAAGCTGATGAGTGTTTATTATTTTGTTGTTCGAGCTGATTCGCCTATCGGCTGATCGGTTATTTCTCTTTTAATGCCAGTGTTGGGATCTAAATAACTATCAGTTGGCACTCTTGATAGTAAAAAACTTAGCTTATAAGCACACACAAAATTGTATTAAGCTGTCCTTTAAATGAAAAAAGAAAGTTTATACAATTTCAATATTTAGTCCTACTATACGAATTTTTTAAGTTAGTTTAAAAAATTTCTTAGCCTTTGTTAAATATGTTTGCTTATCCCAAGCCCACTCTCTCTATATACTAATAGCTAAATCAACTGTGTTTTTGCTTCTTCCAGTCTTCTGGTCGAACTTCATCGAACTAAGTTTGTCATAAGAGTGAAAAATAACGCATCGAGTCGACTTTCTTTTTATTTTCGCAGTATTTCTCTGCTTCCTAAACGTAGTTCGGTTCGTTTTGTTTTTAACGAGGAACCCTTTTCGTTTTTTCTTTATTTTTATAAACGGAAGTGCGCAAATTGCTTTGCACCGGGTCGAAAAATTTATTTGTATGTCTTTTGGCTTTTATTTTTCTATAAGCAGCTTTCCTGCCCGCCCACCCGCCGGCTTGGCTTGGTTTGTTTTGCTGGCGTCTGCAAACATTTCCATGTGTGAAAGAACGAGTTTTGCCTCGGTCCTGCAACATGTTTGTCCTTCTCCAGTCGCTGCGTCCTCGATGTCCGTGCCGGTCTCTCGATATGTGTCTGTGTGTATGTGGGGGGTGAGTATGTGTGTGTGTGTGTGTGAATGTCTGGCTGATTTTTATTGACGCTTGAGCATGTGTTTATGCGCATGTGTTTGTGTGGGTAGGTCCCAGCGGTGTCTTTAAAGCGCTTAACCATAAAGAAAAACGAAACGCCACGAAACGCTGGCGGGTGTAAGCGCTTTATTCCACACAGCTTTTATAGGCTGTGTGGCAGCTACTTGAAACTAAGCTTTAAGTAATTTCTGCATAATTCTGTGCATGCCCCCGGGTGCAATCGAGTCAAATGTGGCTCGGCTGCAGCTAATAGAAAACAAGTGTTCGAGCAACCCTCGGCGGTTGCTATATTATAGATACGCGCGGATTACCAAGGGAGTTCCTGGAAAAAATATTGAATATTTCATATTTCATTGGGAATTTCCAAGAGATTTCGTTAACGTTGTGGCGTGCCCCGAGTTTCTTCTTTGACGCGCTCCATTAGCGCTCTTTAAATTGACACTCTTTCGGCAAATGCACACACACCCCCGAGTTTCACACCTCAATTGTTGCGCCTGTTGCACTTAATACACAAGGGAACAAAAAGCACAGAGAAAATGGGGAGAACAGTGCGCTTGCTGCCGTCGGCACTTGAGACTCACTTGAATGGCGAACGGGGCGTATGCGTTACATTTCGGTTTTTATTTTTGCGGCAATGCATTTAACGCCATGTGGCAGAAACAGTTACACACTTGGCGGCTTGAAACTATAATAAAATGAAAACTGTAACAGAAAAGAAAAATAAAAATAAAAATAAAAAGCTGGAGGCACGCGATGCCATTTCCAAATGCGTGCCACATGCCCCAGCTGCAATTGCTGCCGTTGGTGCTGTCTGTTGCATTTCAATTACTTTATCATTTTTCACTTCTCGCTCGGCAAATTATAAGCAAATTATTGCAGCTCGCTGAATGCCAGTAATCATCATGAAGTCGCACTCAAAGTCGTAGTCGAAGTCGCAGTCGCAGTTGGCGTTGGCGCTGAAGTCGGCAGCATGTGGGCAGTCGTATTTCCGGCGGGTGTTGCGCTCATTTTTGTTTTTATTGCATTTCCTTGTAATTTGTGTCATATTGTTGCCCGTTGGCCGAGCAAATTAAAAATGAATGCAACAGCAGCAGCAGCAGCTTTTGTGGTTGATTGCAACATTTTAATGACTGTTTAAGTGCGCACCCCGTAATGCAATTGCAGCATTTCTTTTTGATTACGACCTACTCGATGGAGTCTTTAAATTTGTTTGGCTACATATTGACAAAATTGATTCCAAATTTACCTGTTACTGAACATAGAGTGAATAACTTTCATTGCATTTTCTTACTTTGTTATTTATGACATTATTTGGTAAGAATTGTAGACATAAAAATGATTTTAATAATTTAATTTAAATTAAAAAAAATTATTTTAAATAATATATATAACAAAGATTTATAAATTTTCAAAATTTTAAAAATAAATTATTTCATTCATTTAGATTTAAAGCAAAATTATTTGATACTTTTAAAAACAATTGATCATTTTAATATATTTTTAAAAAAGTATATACAAATTAAGTATTCAAAAACATTTCTAAGAAATCGAAATATCAAAATAGATATAATATGTTGAGTCTCAGTATGAAAATCTGTTTAGATAAATAATAATAAAATAATAAAAAAAAGTTTTATTGCTCCTATGTATGCACAGTTCAACAATATTTGCAAATTAATTGGCGTGGATCTAAAGTAAACTGATAAATGTATATTAGTTAATAAAATGGCAATATTCAATATTCAGAAATTATATTTTTATAATTTTTTTTTATAGAAGAAAAGATAAAAACCTGTACTCTTAAATATCCATGTAGAGCACCAACACATTTGCAACAATTTAAATGTATCCCAAAATAAAGTTTTTCCCTATAAATCAACTAAATAAAAAAACAATAAAATTATATGAAAAAATATATGAATATGTATCTGTAACATATAATATAATGTTAGAAAGCGTAGTAAAGTAGGGTCATGCAAAATATTTATAATTCTATACAGATGTTAGAAGGAGTGGAGGAGATAGTGCTTTATTTGTAGATATTGCCCATCGACTATAATGCCTATTTAAGCCTATTTAAATTCGTATGAAACTAATATACATATTAAAATTTATAAACTAATCAATTCTATTCAGAACCACATCATGAATTGATATCAATTTACAAACATCCTTCAGCTTTGTGTAAATGGAATTAAAAAAGCAAATTTGCTCTATAAATTTCACTATGCAAACTCTTAACTATCTATTAACTATCTATATATTCCCTTTTTGGTCCCCATCTCTCATTTGCTCTGCAAACTAAGTTGCCTTAAAGTTTCAAAGAGCCTGCGAAAATAAAAGAAAAACAAAGTCGCGACATATGCAAAGCTCAGCAGTGATAAGCTCACGCCCATTGCCATTCACATGCTCCCTCTTTCTCTGCCTTTCTCTCTCTCTCTCTCTCTCTCTCTCTATGTCGCGATATGTGCAACATCTAGCAGGTAATAAATCTAACTGTAAACGCAGCGCTTACGACGTTGCATGCCAGGCTTGAAAGTTGTCGTCATTGCAGCACCAGGCCCGCCATTACCAGGCGTAACAGCGGCTCCATCTTTCAGCCCCTCCCACAACATTCAACGTTCTACTCCACTGGCCCGAACTCGCATATAGCCCTTTTGCCTCTGGCGTAAACGCAACATTTTCGCTGTCGTTTGCCAAAAATGGTTGTAGCTAAAGGCGAGGCGTGATGCGGGTCGTCGTCGTTGTCTTCGTCTCAGCTTTCAGGCATGGGCCGTTGGATGGGGCTGTGGATGTTGGGGTTTAGCTGGGTTCTTCGCCTTGACGCCTTATGTGCAATTTGTCTGCAATTTTTATAGTGCGCCCCGTCCAGCTGCCCTATCGTATTCCCCCTACACAGCTCCCTCGCTCATATTCAATTTGTTCGATTTGATTTTGGTGCTGCTGCTTCTTGCGCTCTGTCGAGTGCATTTTATTTTAGTCGAAACGCGTATGCACAAATTTTCCACTACAACAAGGCGCCTGTAAAGTTTTATGCGTTGCCACGCCTTCTGCCGCCCATCCAGCCGTCAGCCGGATATGGATATTGTCGTCGATTGTAAGCAAGCAAAGGGTCTGCTGGGTTGGGTTGGGAGTTGTGTAAAATTTTATGTTTATTGATTGGCAGGCACTGTGAGCAACCAGCGAGGCGACACTTTGACTTTTACATAATGCAACTGAGCCAGTTGCAAGAATGATTCCCAAGTATTCAAATGTGCTGCAGCTCTCACGGAAAGTTTGCTAAATATATAAAACAAAATTAAATTAAATGAAATAAAAACTAACTTTTTTGGTCTATTATGAACTATTTCACAGTAAAAAATAAATTGCATTTGAAATTGAAAATCAATTTATTCTGCAGCTTGGCTAGATAAATAAGTTAGCTCATATTTGGTAACTTATATCTTGTTTTTATTTTAATCTTTATAAATGAAAAAATATATGAATGATCAAATTTACTAACAACAAAAGTTCATTTGGATTGTATTCTTTCTTTACTCAAATAAAATCTTTTTTTAAAATTTTTAATTAAAAATAATGAATAAATTGTTTTCTCTATTAAATTATGATTATAATTTTGGGTAAAAATATTTTTATGTATTTGTTAAAAATCTCATTTTTTATATTAAAGGAAAAAATTTATTACTTAAATTTGTTAAATAATAATGTTTCATATATTTATTAAACAAATATTTTGTTTGCAAAGCAAAAGCTTATTTTTAGAAGTTCAATATATACATTAAACGTTTATTATTATTTTTCAATTTATTTTTTTGAAGTGTGTGAAATATGATAAATTTAACTAAATAAATTTGACTAAAAATATTTTTACACTTTCTTGAAAGAAAAAAAACATATACATTTATTAGAAAAATATACTACATAATATGTTATACGTGTATTTAAACAATTTATACATCAAATTATTTTTTTTGTATAAATGTTATACCATAAAAAAGTGTTTTCAAAAATAATTCAACAAAAATCATTTTTTTCGCACAGTTCAAAAGTTAAGAAAAATAATTGTGATTATAAATTAAAAGCACAGAAATTTATTTAAAAAAACAAATTACATTTTTTCTTCTAAATAGCAAAATTTATTAGGTAAAAATATGTATAACAAATATTCATAATAAACTTAAAATAAAATAATTCTGCATCTTATTTATGAACATAAGTTTATAAGGAATTAACAATATATTTTTACAAATTTATTAAATGAATTAGAAGTTAGTTTAAAATACATATTTATAACATATTTTTTTGTGCTTGACATTTTTATTTTCATGTTTTGAAAGTATTGTGATTTGTATAAGTTCTCCAAATGATGAAGCTTGGAATTTCTGTATGCTTAATCAATCACGAGAGCTGCTTTAGTTTGTTTTTCGAGTCGCACACCTCTGGGATATTATGTGCTTAACACAAACATCGAGATTTGTGCCCCTTATTATTTATGATGATTGTACATTATGATGAGCCACATTAGCAGCACATTACACCAGATACCAGAAACTTTGGCAAGGGGCAGCAGTTTTTCGCTCCGGGCAACAGAATTGCATGCTAGAAAGTCATATTTTCATTGGCGAAAGGACGGAGGGACAGACCAGTGTAGCCACATATATAAATATATATATATATATATATATATATATAAAGAGTGAGAGGGAGAGGGAGAGTGAGAGACTGGCGTATGCTTTGCCAAAGGATATACACACAGATATATTTTTCATGACTTGAGCCAAAGTATCTGTATCTAACAAGTGTCGACGGCAGGACAGAGCCCTTAAGCCCGACTGAAGTCGTTATGATTTGTCATAAACATAAAATAAATGGCCAAATATTTATAGTATGCTGTGTCATGAGAAGCTCTAGCAGACATACACACACATTGAGCCAATAAAAATATTGGCCCAAGGGTAGGAAACAACTTGAAGTGTCCTTCGATGCGTTAAGTAGCTCGCAGATGTCAAGGGTTTATGCTTGCCCCACCCACTACTCACTACTCACCCAGATGCTGCTGATGCTGCTGCTGTTGCTGCTGCTGCTGATGATGATCTCTGCCCCGGCTTGTGCCCGGCGAATGATGATCCTGTGAGTTCCACAAGCTCGACGTGGCGCCCATATAGACATTGTTCAGAGTCGATGGCGCCTGATCCAACGATTTTCCCTTGTTGCGCTGCGACTTGTTGTTTGTGTTTTGTGGACTGTTGTTGTAGTTGTAGGGATTATTGCTATTCGAATTGCTATTGCTGCTGTAGCGTTGCTCTGTGAAATTAGAAATTTATGAGTGCATAGCTCTTAGGTGGGCTAAGACGATAAATATCGAGAAAGTTCGGCTAAATAGTTAGCTAGAGAATTATTAATATAATTAGATTATATAATTTTCAGCTTAATGATTTTCCTTTGATCTTTTCATTTCAGATCAATGACTTAAGATGCCCAGCTTGAACAGGTAAGAAATTGCTAAATTAAAAATTTTTCTAAGTTACCGAGACCCCAGCGATATTTATCGATTACTATACATTGTGATTTACCTTTGTTGTACTTGACGTTAACAACGGGCACAGTGTTGATCGATACAGTTGGCGCCATCGTTGTAATTGTTGTTGTTTGTGGAATATCTGCAGAATTAGATTGAGCAGAAATTAATGGAAATGCCGAATCAGTCAGAGCAGGCAGCGGTATCGCACGCCTCAGCATATTTAAGCAGCGCGTCTTGGTACACCTGCCCAAGCGATTTACCCTACTCAGTTGGCAAATTATATGGCATAAATGATTAATCTGTAGCACGTCCATTATCGTCATCGAATCAAACATATTTATTTATTTATGCATCCAGCAAGCTAACTTCATCGAAAACACCAGCTCATAAATCAATGACTGCCAATGATGGGCCACGCCCCGACCCAGGCAACTGACCTGGGTCAAAGGTAACTAAAGTTTATTTTCCTATTTATTATGCACGTGGCTTACTTATTTTTTGTTGTTTAATTAAATCCCTTAGTCGAGGCAAAACATCTAGAGTCGAATTGCCCTTGACTGGCTGACTTATGTCAGACATTGTTTAAGCAGTTACATTAACATTTACGTTTATAGTTATTGTAATGGATGTAAATGTTGTTGTTGTTGTTGTTGTTGTTGTTGTTGTTGTTATTGTGTTGTGTGTGAAATACTTACGATACAATTTGATCGCACCATCTGTGTCGCCCAGCGAATTCTTGGCCACACAGCGATAGGCACCAAAGTCTGAAATGTCAACGTCGTAGATGGTCAGACGCATTGTTATTTTATAGCCCGACTCAAAGGTTTCTGGCACAAAGCGTTCACCTGCAAGAGAGAGAGAGATGGAGGGAGAGAGTGATAAATACGTTTAGTAATTGCTTCATGTACATTGTGATGAGTGTGTGTGTGTGTGTGTGTGTGGGAGCTGGGCGTAACAAGCTCATATATAACCGCAATGAAACTTAACCAATTTGGCCTCAGCTGCAGTCAGTCAGTCAGTCAACTGAGTCTGTTAAAGTGACAGACTATTGCAGCTCTTCAGGCTGAACCTACGTATGTTTGTCCTTTGTCTGGAGTAAAGTAATTTGGCTTAAAAGAAGAGAAAATGGAATGGAGGAAGACCCAAATGTTACCTCGACTCGCTGTCATCTTGGGCTACCATGTCTAGGGGGCCGCCACCCTCCATCCTCCCTTCAAATCGTCCATTTTAATTTATACAAAAGCCAAGTTCCCATTCCCAGGGACCGCCCATGGAGTTGGTTATCTTTGCTTGGTTTTGATTTACGTTTGATGTCGGTTAGATTTCGTTTAGTTGGAACTAAGCCTGCCATTCCACCTTGTCTAGCATTTGGGGCCGCCAACTAACTAACTGTGAAGTCGGCCACAGGTAATTGTTATGCATGGCAGCTAAGCAACTGATTAGTTTACTAAAATGCTTCCAAATGGCTTAAACTGAGACTCAGATTTTAGCCCACGTTGTTGTTGCTGATTAAAACCAAATTGCTTTTCTCTTGTCTGTAGAGCAATCCAACGCTCGAGATTTACGAAATGTGATTTGAGCAAAGATTAAAAGATATATTGTTATACCCTGATCCCATTGAAAATGGGAAATCAGGGTATAATGGTTTTGTGCAAATGTATGTAACAGGCAGAAGGAGGCGTGGCAGACCCCATAAAGTATATATATTCTTGATCAGGACGACAAGCTGTGAACGTGTGGATCTCAGCATCTATAAGAGCTAGAGACTTGAAATTGTTTGTTTAAAATATTCGATAACTATTCGCAGTTAATTGTTATCGAATAAAAACATTATTGAAATGCAGTAAATAAATTATATCTCGAACGTCTTAAGAGCTAGAGCCTCCAAATTTGTATTTAGTCTTATGTATATTTTATGCAATTTTGATTTTTGTTGGATTTTGGATACCGGCTCCAAATTCCCCCAAATTCTTAAAATTTAAGTTTAGTTGGAACTTGGGCCATTATGTGAAGGCGTTTGCATCTCAACCAAGCCAATAGGATATGTAGATCATATGCTGAAAATTTCATTAAAATCCATTAAGTAAAACAGAAGTTATTAAACAAAACGTTTGGCCAATTTCCAAAAGCACATGTCAGCAGCGTTACGCGCACGCATTTTTCCTATGCGTGTGCACACATACATTCAAATGCGTTTATTCTTTTCTATTCCATGAATTGAAATTGCGATTGAATTAAAGCTGAATATTAGCTGCTACTTATGTTCAAATTTGCAACATTCGTATAAGAAGGACAGCGGCTGCGTTGAAAGAGGCGCCGTTCGCATGCGAACGTTTTTTATTGTTTTTTATTGTTTTATTTTTTTTTAATTATGAAGTGGCGGTGTTGGTAGAGATTGTGCACGTTGCGCAAATAATCCGGGTTCAAACCTGGTCTCGCAATGTCGATTTTTATTTGTTTTCTTTTTTTTTTTAACACTCGATACAAACTACGGAAAATATTAAAAAGCTCAAAGGACTGGGATCAGGGTATCTCCTAGTCGGGCACCCCGACTAGAGCTTTCTTACTTGTTTAATTTGCAAAGCAATTTGTTTTGCATATACGAAAGCTCAGGCGTCTCAGACTTTTCTTGAAAATCAGATTTTCCTGTAGTTTTAATATGTTTGCTGTTTTTATCTTGTAATCCGCTATATATTCATTAAACTATTATTATTATTTTGATTATCAACTGCATCGAAGGTAATATATATATATATATGTATATATATAATATATATATAAATATATATATATATAATATATATATAAATATATATATATATATGTATGTATATACATATATATATATATATGTATATATATATATATCTCGTAGCATATTCATCTATTTTTATAAACTCATCTTGCGTTAATCTCATCGTGACGCGTACATTGCGTTTCCCCAGTATTAACATTTGCGACCTTTCTTTAATGGCCTCAATTTTCGAAGCCTCGAGCTTCGCAATTATGCTCGCGCAATGCACGCACACAGCTACACACGCTATATCTCTCACTTTCTCTCTCTCTGCGTCGGACTGAAGCTACGCAGAGACTGTCTGTTCGGCTGCGCAAGAAGAAAAAGGATGGCAGAAAATGACAAACACACATTATTCAGCTCGCGTTCGTTTTCTCGCTTGTTTTAGCGATGGTACATTACATTAGAGATGGTCAGTTCGCAACGATACAAATGACAAGAATCAATAACCTTTGATCACGATTAATATATATACCCTGAATGTTTTTCTGAAAATTTTATTTTTATTTTAAATGTAGACTTTACAGCAATGTTTATTTTATTTAACAACATTTTCAGGCCGCTACATACACGTTAGCTATCGAATCAGTGCCCAGACATAGGGAAATTATCATAGTTTGCCAATTTTGCATGTAATCCACTTGAAATCCCCACAAAAGAAATTTGTGCTCAATAACTAATTTTATATTACTTTTGCATTCCGATAAATTGGACGGGGTGATTCTATCGAAAAATTCGGCGATAGCTTTTTCATTTTGGTAGTTATCCCTTAATTGGATCATGGTTGACTGCGATAAGACGGCCTCACATTTGGTTTTACGTGAGCCAAAAAATCCGCAGCTGTGTGGCCGGATCCGTACTATATCTCTGATCGAGGCTGTGATATGCGGCACTGGATCTTCTTTCGCCGGTGCACTAAATACGAAATCAAAAGGAATAACGTTGCTGAATAAAATAATCCATAATAAAATAAGTAATGTTGCTCGTTCACTTTTCAATTTGACACGCCTTCCAGCGCTGTTGCCTTAAGTGGAATATCGGAAAAATGTGAACATTTGTTCAACATTTCAAAGCGTTTCAGATCTTTCAATGTAGTAACATGAAGGTTCCTTTGCGAACTAGTATGAACAGTGAACTGAACTCACCTTGATTCCTCTAGCATCCTGTAGATGGGATCACATTTTGAAATCATGTTGTATTTGCCAAAGGTCCCAAACATGGACTGATCAATCTTTTGAAGGGCGTTTTCAATTATTCGTGTCCCATACATAACTTTCTTAATGAACACAGGCTCAGAGCTAACTACGCTAAGACTATGGTTCGTTTTCAATTGTTCCCAAAGTGAATGGAGCACCTCGTCTATGTCGCTCGGCAATTGGCCATGGATCACTGTTATTTTGGGAACACCTTTTGAAATCGTGACTTTCGCCTCGAAGTCTTCCTGCTTGGACTCAGAGAAGTCCGCGGCTATCACACCGAAATATCTCTTCATATCAGTCAACGCCGTGTGCACTGTCGATGTGAAGGCCTGTCGACTTTGTAGAATGTTGCTGCTGTTGCTGACAGCTGTAATAGTATTTTTCACTTCTGTGCACCACGAAATAATGGCGCCACGTAGCGTTGAGTATGAGATGGCAGCGCTACGAAGATTTTCTTTCGTATTGAAAGCTATTCGATCGGACAATGGCTTCAAGCCGTCTATGGCTTGCGGTGAAAGAAACGTTTCGAAAAAGTTCAGTTTCTCGTTATACAAATCTAGAACTACGGTGTCTTTGTTCTCCTGGTAATCGCCGAAAACTGCCCCGGAGGCAATGAGACAAACGAGAAGCACATGGAAGCACGACATCTTTTTCAGACTGACTCTCGCTCACCATCCTCATCCACTATTTATACGCTAGAAACGCATACAATCAGAGCGGAACTCTGAACGGACTTATTGAGCTCATTAAGAGCATTTCACTGATTAGCACATTTACGTGCAATTTTGAGATTACCAAATACATCTTCAAAAGAGAAAAACACACATATATAACGTGTTCATTAAGGGTCTACTCGATTCCATATACCATCGATCCCGACTTAACTGAACGTTCGTCTGTCTCTATGAAGGCACTGATCTCGTTAGCCCAATGAACAGAAATTAGCATAAATTCCAGCAAAGTTGGTATTTCGATACATAGATTTTAACTGTTAGATATTTTGTTGCTTGAGCACACAAAACCTAGTTACGTTATATACCACTTTCATATCTGGTATTTATATAATATAAATTTATTAAAAATGTTCTACTCGCGCAGTTGCTCATATAATATAAGTAGGTATATATAACATATAATATATAAATAAATATATTTATATATATATATGTTTTTAGTATGAGCACGAGCCATGCAACACATAGATAAGTATGGCTTATACATATAGTACAGACTTCGTATTTGCTCGGGCTCTTCACATTTGGGTTCGATCAATAAAAATATGGAACCTTAAATGCTCGATTGTCACATGATCTTTCAAATATATGTATGTATAGTCGAGTCCCGATAATATATCCCCAGCTAGGTCGAAAGTCTCAATGCTCATTAATTCGTGCAAGTTCATACATTTGTGTCATCTCTTAAGTTCCAAAGTTCAAAGTTCCAAGTTCAACGAAAAAAAAATACTTTAGATCTTATAAAATGTCATTTTCTTGATAATTTTGTGAATTTGTCAAATAAACGACCTAATCAATCGGTCAGAAACAAAGCATCATTGAGATGGCCAAACAAACATCGACAATCGAATCAATTCTGTATAAAAAATAGTTTTGTTATGAAAACATCCTTATCTAGAACTCTTGACCCTCTTCCTTTTTTTTCAATTCGGAATTGTTATTTTTATGGAAATTATTTAAATGGAAATCTAGACAACTCGGAAAAATCGTATAATTCGTAAAAAATTTCAATTTATTGCCGTTTCGAATTATCGGGACTGTATATTTCTCTATGTTTATGTATGTGTGCATGTCTATTTATAGTTTTGCAAATTTGGCTATTTTCCTGCCAGCTCTGGCGCTTGTGAAATAGCGGCTGGCGGGATTTACAGCTATATTCAGCCATTAAATGGATTTGTATTAACTTTAAAAACACTGCAAGCAAAATTGAACGAGCCTGTTTTCTAACAAGCAATTGAAGCAGCTTAAACAACTTTCCATATATAATAATATATATTATTATATAATACAAAAATCGAGAGGTGAAATCCTTTTTTTATGCAAGTAGTTAACAATGTGTTTCAAGCATTCATGTAGTTAGGTTTAGTGTCTTACTTTTGGCTTTTGGGCGGGAGCTGGCAATGCTCAAGAGGCGACAGGCATTAAACATTCTTCATGATTCGCATTTGATCTGCGTTTTATCCTTGAAAGGACTAAAGCATTTTCAGTCACATGAATATCGTTTAGTCAAAATGATGAAAGACGTTCAATCCAATCTTGGTCATACATAGCTCTATTTAATTTTTTCCAATACTTTTGCTCATAAATCTGATTTAGAAATATTCATTTTTATTAATACAAAAAATACTCTGAAAATCAAAGCATATTTTTTCTAGTTTTAAAATTGCTTAGCTTTTTCTAGCTTTTTTAAACTAGGTTGTCCAAGCCCAAAAGAGCTGCCAACACTGGTTCATTATCATTCATTATAAATGCGTCGACTTCGGCAGTCTCAGCTTAGTTTAAGCTTATTCGTCTGCGAGTAAGCTACGGGTGTAGAGATTAATACTCATCATGAGTAACAGAACAATTTCAGTACTCTTAATAATCGCGTGCGGTTTCTTCAGCTCGACTCTTGCTGATGGGGAGCACTTCAGTATAATAAAATCGGGACTTGAGAGCATGTCCACGGTTGTAGTGAAATACCACAGCGAATTTGATAGCACGGCTAATTTCACACAACTGCAAAACGCAATCGATGCAGTTGATCACTCTATGATCAACTATCACGGCAAAGCAAAGTCTAAGTTAAATGAGTTACGTCAATTGAACTCTGCTGCGCGTCTCCAATACGAAGGCTGTGTGGGCCCTGTATTCTCGTATTGCATTTCCATAGATAACACACTCAACCTTTATATACGCTATATCGAGATGGAGAATTTGTCAGAGAGCGACAAACAGATCTTAGTGGACATGCTGGGTGCCTCAATGGAAAAAGGACTGACTATAACTTATAAATCATTAGATTTATTAACAAATCTTCAAGAAAAAGTGGCCAGGCTGAAGAATATATTTGACTCAATCATACATGATGTCAAGTCTGACTTTGCGCCGTCCGGCGATCAACGCAAATTAATAAGTGCATTAGCTGCTCAACGTACCCGAACTATCTGCTCTTATTTCATGGCTGCTTTCGTACATGTCTTTTCAAAACTAGGCTTACATTATAATATGCCGCCAACAGAAGCAAGTTTACAGGAAAAAATAGATTCTATAATCAAGTCTTTCGATATTATATCCCGAAAGTTAGATAATGCCTTACGGATTGCGAGACAAATAGAAACCGACCTGAAGCATGAGAAGGACAATATCCATGCACTTATCGGTCTCTTCAACGCAGTAAACAATGTAAGTAGCGCTGCAGGTATAAGCATACGCGATATTATTATGTTCTTACTTATGCCAGGATAAGTCAGTTCTGCTCATGGAGTTGAAGGAACCTCGACAGCAGCTTATTGAAGTCCTTACAAACTTGAAGACCAACTGCAAGGAATACGCTATATGGCATGGATATGGATCAATAGGTGATCGACATCGGAGTCGTCGAACTGCGCATCAGGCAATCCAAAGTTGCTATGAGGAGAAAGCGGGCGCTTTGAAGCAGCTAAATGATCATCTTGCCAGTCCAAATATGGATGTCTATTCCATTTTCAATACAATCGACTGTGAGGCGATCGCTGTTCCATAATCAACCCAACACCTATTCTGAGTGCCTCGTGACAGCTACAAGTCTCCAGTGCTTGCGGCCCATATAAAACCTTTCCATTTTGAGTTACCCAATTGAGTTATTTTGAAATCTTTTTGAATTTAATAAATATATTAACCATCTATAAAACTATGCCATTTCTTCACTTTAAATTTCAAATTCCAACAGATTGCTCAAGGAGCCTGATCATCCACTGTATCCTCTCAATGCGTGTCCTAGATAACAGTATTGGAATATATGAGATCCTTCAATTATTCTAACTTGACTTATGAAATCTTTATTCAGCGCAGCTTTTGTGCTGGCGACGCCAGGTGTTAAACGCACGTCATGCGGCAAAATCGACCAAAGATGTGTACCTCGCACAATGTATTTTATTTTATTCTAATGCAAAAAGGCATTTAAAATAACTTTCCAACGACCCCAAAATATCAGATAAGTGTGCTACATTTTGTTTTGTAATCCAATAGTAAAGTGCAATATTTTTCACTTTAATTTTTTCTTTTTTTTTGTCAATTTTGAAATTTTCTATTAACTATTTACTTTGACATATTTGATGAGTTCTCTATCAAATTAATTAATCTAGTTGACTAATTGCTTTCATTCAATTTTGATTTTTGACAGTGGCCCCATTATGCGTCGCTTATATTTCTTGTTGTAGTTGCCTGTTCGAGATTGAGTTCAAGATTTAGTTTTGAGAGATGCTATCTCGGTTTGTATGGCTTAAAGAATTCAAAATAAATTAATTGTACAAGTCCTTGTGAACGGGTTTAATATGGGTCGCAGGCACTGGCAACTGACAAGTCACTCGGCACCAGCATTCCTGATACTCAGAATATTTATCGTACTGATGATGGAGCAGTGATAGAATCACAGTCCATTTAATTGTATATGGATTTGCTAAATACATCCATATTTGGAATCGTAACGGAAGATAATAGTTTCGTTGCTTGAAAGCGTTTGCTTTCCCTGCATAGAAACATTTGATTAGCTTTGCTCAGTTTTCAAACCCAAGAAGTGCATTGATATTGTCCGTCTCCAACTTCAAGGTCGTTTCAATTTGTCTGCATCTGGATCCGCATTGTTTAGTCTATTGCTGGCTCGTGCTAGGGCCTTATCAAAATGTACGTCTAGTAGCCGACATACATAAACAATATGCGTCACGAAATAACCAATATAACGTCAAATGACGGATCGCAACGTGTGAGGCGATAATTGAGTTATTTTTTGTCGTGTTCACAAGATGGTGACACATCAGTACGCAGTACGAGTTTATATATTGTTTTTAACGCATGTATAGGAACAGCGTAGAATGATTGGAATATCAGCTCACAACGGAGTTCAGTCGATTTTGAAAAAATTGGGAATTTTTTATTATTATCAATCCCGTTGTAAAAGTATATATATGATTGTTGTATATATATATAAGATTTATGTACGAAAATTATTTGAAATTACCTAAATATAATATAAAGAATTTTAATAGCAAAACTGAACATTTTTTCTATAGATGGCTGGAAAATTCATATGAAAATAATGAATCGAAAATAATGATTTCATGGTTTTTGTTAATCCGAGAAGCTAGAATCGTTCAAGCTCTTGAGCGAGCACAATTAGCTTTGACATCTTTGACATCTGCCAATGGTGACACATGCATTTGGCAGATACATATAGAAATGTATATATACATATGTATACGTCAGCACTTCGCTTTATATTAATTAGTATATATATGTAGAATTTGTGTTAATCTGATCACCTTTTCAACTGCGCCCATTAAGGAATTCCACGAAGACTACTGTCAATCATAACCCAGTGCGAATGGCTTTATTAGCCACCTCGCTCTCACTCAGCAACGCCAGGGACTACGTTCAGCCACAGCTATCTTAGTCTCTCTCTCGCCTAAGTAAGGATACACGGCAATAATGAGAAGTGCATAGCTAAGTCGCAAGCCCTCTCGGATAATATTTTTACAACTCTAAACAAGCGCTCAGCTTCGTACTGATCTTATTGTAACAGTAGAAGTCAATCAAGAATTATGGAAATAATAAAGCAGACTCTGCGATATGATATGTATGTACATATATATGCGATATGTAACATATCACTTATATATGTACAGTTGAGCTGACATTTTCCTTCTTTATTATGATTTTTATACTCTTAACACATTCTAGCAATGTCTGTCTATATAAAGACTGCAATCTATTAAGCCAAAAAGTCATAGACTTCAATTATACTCTTGTATACCAAACGTAGTACGATTTATCATATTTTTTTTTTGATATCTTTTCTCAATTTATTATTATTGATAAAAATTGATAATTTGATTTTGTTTTTAAGCTTAAAAATGAAATTAAATTATGCTCAATGATCTTCCTATACGAAATGCGCGTAAGCTTCTTAAAGCTGGCACTTGGAGAAGTTCTAAAAGCAACCCTTTTATGTACTTATAAAATCCAACGCACTTTGAAAAAGAAACTCGAAAAAAACTCCATTAAAAACTCAGAACTGGACGACAGTTGCTGGCTACTGAAACTGCTTTTGACTTGAGGTCATTTTCAATCACTTTTTCCATTTTGTGTCACAGGGCAGCCTGAAAACAACACGCCAAAAAAGAGACACAGAGAGAGAGAGAGAGGGAGAGCAGAAAAACGAACAGTTTTTATATGTCTGTGTGACTTTTTCACAGAGCTCTGAGTGATAAGGGTAGGGGCAGAGGCCGGGGCAGGGGCTGAAGTTAAGGGAGCCAGTGCAGGTTGCGGTTTGGAGTGTGCGACCGTTGTTGGCTTTTTCATTTTTTTTCCCATGCAGTTCATTTGCCGTGCAAGATGAGTGGGCGTTTGAGTGAATGGATGGATGGCTGGATGGATGGTCAGCTCTTATAATGGCCGCAGGAAATTAAGTTGAAATTGTGCCTAAGGGTCTGAGAGCAATCATAGCGCAGTTGCCAGCACCCAGACACTGCGTCAAATTAATTACATTTTGTTGGATTATGTGAGAGTGGGTTTAGTTGCTTGTTAATAGAGTTTTAAGTGCAGCGATATCAAAATGATAAGAACAAAGTAAACTTCGATTGATACTTCACACCTGTAATAACGGCTAGCAGTTGAAGCAGGCATCGTATAAAGATAGCCTTATATAGTATAGATTTTAGCAGCTCTAGATTAAACATTATAACATCCAGTGATTTTTTAATTAACAATCCAAAGGTAAAGCTATATTAGCTGTCATTTAATGATTTGTTATTTAAATTAAGGTACACTTAACCTCTTGCTGTGGTTTTTAAGTAAATTTAACATTCTGTAAGTTATAGAAAAATTTCTCAAGTTTCAATCTTCAATCTTCTCAAGTTTCTGCTTAGTTTAAGATTTCATAGTCAGCGAGCATTTGGTGTATATTTAGTATTTATTCATATATTAAAGAGAGCTTTGCGTTTACTTACCCGGCACAATAATTGTATCATTCTTCATCCAATAATTGATGGACTTGGGATATGCTTCCGATTGGCATTCGAGAGAAATGTTCTGTGCCAGTGCGGCGCCAACTAATTGATTTTGTATCCAAATCATTGGCGGAACTATAAATGGGAAAAGTTGAAAAGTGATTGAGTGAGAGAGAGAGAGAGAGGCAGAGCGTTAGAAAGAGATAGAGAGAGAAAGTGTGGGAAATAGTTACGTGTAATGGCGGAATGTAATTGTAATGGCAGCTCAACAATGTGGCTCAAATGAATGCAATAGAACACACACACATGCACACACACACGTACATAGAGACAGTTAATGTTGTGGCATGCGAGCGAGCAAAAGGTATTCGCATTCATATAAAATTCCATTTGTTATTGTTTGCCAATGCGATTTGTTGCGGTTTGCCCTCTTTTATTTATCCAACTAATTGCTTTTTAATTTTTATTAGAAGAGTGTGAGCGAAGGAGGCAGGGTCAGCGTTTGTTTATGCACGGATAAGTTGAGTTGCTTTCTGCCATTGGGGCTTAAATGGCTTACCTCAAGTCTGGCAGCATTTGGAATTTACGCGCGTAGCTGGAACATTTTAGAGCGCAGCTAACAGTAAAGTTGCTCCGCAAATTGTTGAGCAACTTAAATTTTTATTTAATTAGCAGTGGAGTTGATGGCAAGAGCTGGCGGCTGGGGTTGCGGGAAAGGGCAAAGCAAAGGAGCGCTAAAAATGCTAACTAGCTGGGGCACACTTAATTATTTACTTTATGCATGGCACCTAAAAGTATGCAGCCAGAGCGACAGACACACAGACAAAGCGCCAAAGGGCGAGCGATAGAGAGCGAGAGAGAGAAAGAGCGAGAGAGGGGGAAGTTGTTTGTGCTACTCTCGGGCAATATTAAAATGCACAGCATATTTTCTATGGCAAGATTTGAAGTGGTGTTTTGTGTGTGTGTGTGTGCTTGTGGCACTGTCTGTGTTACAGTCTGCAGCACATTGCTCATACGCCACCGTCACACAGAGAGCAACACAGAGACGCCATGCGGCGCTCTAGCGCAAAACTATAAATATTTAAATATGCAAAATTGATATGCACCCCAGTTGAAGACTACACATAGCTCCCATGCCCATTCGCATTTCCCAAATACTTACAGTGCACAATGAGCATGACACGTTTGCTAACTGTTGGCGGTATGCCATTGGAGGCAATGCAGAGATAGGCGCCCATATTCAAGCGATTCACTTTGGCAATGGTCAGAAACGAGCCGTTGTATGCGATGGCTGCAAATAGAGAGAGACAAAGCAAATAGGGAGAGAGAGAGAGAGAGAAGTATTATGAGTCAATTAATTATGAAATTAAATATGAAGCAAATGAGAAAGCTCTTGACGCCGCTGCCTGACTAGCAGATACCCTGGCCGATCTGCGTGCACATACTCTAAGCATGTACACAATGCATAGTTACATAAAATACAAGCCCACATATAAATTTATGTGTTTAAGCAGAACAGCGACACAGGCGAAAGCTGCATCGATCGTTTCTGCTCTGCGTATCTTAACACTAATAAAAGTTCCTCAGAGCCTTTCTTTTCTCATATATATAAAAGCCACATTTTCATGAATTTACTATGGAACATCATGTTGGCATAAAATAAAAGTCGCCAACATTGCCAGCAGTTGAAGCCATATAACTGCCAACTCCACTTCACTGCTTAAGCAAAAAGCTGCAAGTCTAAACTAAAGTAGCAGCTGACAACTTAAGCTCCATTCAACTGCGATTTCGATTCTTTGAATAGAATGCATTCGATTAAATGTATGTGTGTGTGGATAGGACAAATGCGGACGCTTGGCGCTGCTTGCCACGTGCTGCGGCAAATTGGCCAAAAGTTTTGCCTAATAACTTCTGTGTTACTCAACGGATGTCAATAAAATTTTCAGCATATTAAAAAAATTAAAAAAAATTAAAATTATATAAAACATAAAACTAAATAAAACATTTGGAGACTCCAGCTCTAAAGATGCGCTAATTGTAATTTAATATATTGATCGATAACAATAAAAAGGAAATAATTATCGATTATTTAAAGCAGACTTTATATGCGCGTGCTATAGGCGAACCAACTAAAAAATGCAGGTCTTTAGCTCGTATAGGTTCTAAAACAGACAGACGGAGAAAGCTAAATAGACTCAGTTCATCGCCCTTAATAATTATATATATATACTTTATGGACTTTGTCACGCCTTCTTTTGGCCATTACAAGGGTTCATCGTTTCAATGGGTTCATCGTTTAATCACTTTCAAATACATTGAAATAAATGTTTTTTATACTTTGCGCTCTGCTCATTTGTTACCAAGATTAATTTCAATTAAGTGCACAAATAACTTTTCTTTACATTACGTCATGTTTTGCTCACGTGTTCGCAGAGGTATTTCATACACAAAATTTACGCCCTATTGAGTTTATAACGATGTTTGAATGTTTAACGACATGAGTAAATATCTCAAGTAAAGAATTTTAGCTTCACAACTGACTCTATTCAAACATAGCTGCAAACATGTGCAATCTGCTGAAAGAATGTTCTTGTTCAATCCGCTCAGTGTAAATGCAATTCTTTGCCAAAATTCATGACAATTACAAATTTTCATAGAGCCATGGCAATTGGTAGTGTGATTGGCTCGAGCTCTGTTTTTTTTTGCTCCCACCTGGCCTCAAAATTGTTTGGTTGCCTTTTGCTGCACATTGACATTTTGTGGGTTCAAGTGAAAATCGTTGCCCGCTGGCCGATTTATCGATTTGGCCAAGTGGCTGTAATGAATGTTTCATTTGCCACCAGCCACAAGCTACCAACCACCAGCCACCAGCTGTGTAGCTGTATGCGGTTGGGCATGTGAAGTGGAATGCCTCATTGCACGTTGCGTCTAAGGCACCTGTCATACGTTTGCAAACATTGTCGCTGGTACAGTGTTGGCTAGCTCTAATGCACTCAATGGAGTATGTGATCAACTACTTGTGGTTTGATAAACATCAAATAGCAAACGGGACTACGCTCTGGCTACTCTGCATTCTCGTTCTCCGTAATCTATTTAAAGTGCTCCTCAACTGCATTCCTCAGTTTAATATTTTTAAAAGACTCGGAACACTATAAGTTAAGGCGATCAAAGGTAAAATAAGTGCTGGTGAAATAAGTCAGGAAACTGCAGTGTTAACAAAATTTTAAGAAAAAAAAATGAAATTATTAAAAATCTTGCATTATTACTACTACTATACAACTACTTAATATACCAGTCTATAGAATCTCTTTATAAATAATATAATAGGAATCAATCGACTTCTTTATTAACCTTATTAACAGCTCAAGAGCTTCAGATTATTATGCTACATCATATTAAAACATAAATTTAAAAAATGTTCTATTATATTGAACCTCTTTCATTTCCATTTAGTATATATTTCTTTGTGTTACTATGAGTAAAAAATAACACACGAGGGATTAAGCACAGATTTAAATATTATTTAAATTGTACATTAACAAACATCAACAATTGTTTTTCCTTAAATTAAAATATTAAAAACAAAATAGTCATGATATAAAATATATTTATTATTGATATGCCTTTCAAATTAAATTTTAAATTAATAAAAAAAGAAAATCAAGTTTCTTTTAAGAAAATTTATCATTCATTTTGTTATTAGAATTAAAATATTAAAAAAAAAACATTTTCTAATATAAAAATAAATATTTTTATAAAGATATGCTTTAAATTCGAGTTTTAAACGATTTAATACATTAAAGCAATTTTTATTAAGCAAATAATAAAAGGAAACTTTTATTACACATCAAAGAATACTTATTTTAATATTTAAATTAATATATAAAAATAAAGGCATAGTATATTATTTAAATAAAAGCATAAAATATAAAATATATATTATATATTAAATATATATTTTATATTTATATATATATATATATATATATATTTAAATATATATTAAATATAAAATATAAAATATATTTATTCCTAACATACTTCAATTTAAAATTTAAAAAAAAAATTTTTATTTTTAAAAGTAAAAATAAAATAAAATATTATAAAAAAATAATAATAATAACATATTAATTATAACATATATTGTATATATATATTCTGTAATTCCATAGACGTAGGTCAAGAAATTAGCTTCAAATAATTTAAGCTGAAAATTCTAGAAGCTCTTGAAGCCTTGAAACGTTCTGAAACAGTTAAAGGCAATTGCTTAAATAAGTCAAATCTTATTGAAATATATAATTGTGAAGTCTTCGTTAAGATGTGTTAATCAAAGTGAATTTGTTTCTTTTTCTTATCCTTAACAATAATATAGTTGACTTAAGGACTTTGGCTTAGCCCTTTCTCATCTATAAATTCGCACTCTCAGTGTAATTCTTACTGCAGTTTGATATGAGTGCAGTCACGAATGGCCAAGTAATTATGGAAAGGCGTTAGTTATTATTGAGTCGTGCTGCAGTTGGCTGCACTCACGTTTCTAGGGGAACGGCATGAAGTTACTTTAAAGCGCAGCTCATGAAATTTAATGCGAAGAAAACACGCGTCTTTGTTTGACTTCGACATTGTGGCAAATAATTTACTTGGTGACCCGCAGAATCTCGCGCCAGAGTCCATTTGTCATGCATGCAGCGTGCAAATGCAGACACTCGCACCAACACCTCACACACACATATACACACAGAGTTGAACTTACCCTCAGCTCCATTGGGTAGTGGTATGAGCTCGCCACCTTCGCGTCGCCAGGTTATCGTTGGCGTTGGTGACCCGGTCGCGGCGCATTTTAGGGTAACATTTGAACCCTCGCGTATGACCATGTCCGTGCTGGTGGGATAGTCCAGTATGTCTGGCGGCACTGTGTGCACACACACCCACACAAACATAGTTATGGCAACAGTTACAAGCGACATATTATTCATACGCCGCGTGGGCCGTGCAACGATGCGATGCGATGGTCCAATGAAATGGGCATGGAGTCCATGAATTGTTAGTCAGGTGTCAGCAGTTGGTAGCAGCAGCAGCAGCAGCAGCAGTCGTTGTTGTTGTTGACATTGTTGGTTGGTTGGTTATTTGGTTGGTTTACAGTTGTTTTTGTTGGTGTTGTTGTCGGTGACATGTGAGCGAGAGAAAATGCAATAAAGAATTTTTGTTGAGTGGCTTTATTTCCATCAGGCTTTTAACAAATTGTCGCTACTTTGTCTAACTGTTGGGGCCATAATTGATTTTAATAAATTTTGAATCATTTCAATATACGAAAACTTTAACAGAAGAATATTTTGGCAACATTTTTGAGTTTTAAATAACAGTTAAAGTACATAAAGGTTATATATAAATAGTTTCGAAATATTATTAATTATTTTAAGGTACAAATTGCGCAAGTTCAGATAGTTATGCAGTTTGTGTTCGACTGCAACATTCTTACTTCTTTTGTATAAAAACTTATTTATTTTATTGTGAGCTATCTAACCAAAATTATTTTAACCCAATTCTATTTCAAGAAGCGTTTCATGTAATAAACTTATCTTCAAATTTTTGTTAAATCTACTCTGCTTGAATATAGTCTATAGTCTAAATTGAATTGGCTCTCAACCCTATCAAATCTTTCTCTAAAAACTATAAAGTTCTAATGAATTTGCTAGCTATGCATAGAGCTCGATAGTTACAGTCAAAGTTTTTTGATTTAAGCTTCATATGTTTTGTTATACGACTATCTACTTTGGTAGTCATGCCACAATATATTTATTGAGAATTTACACTAAATAAATCTTATTATTTATATATTGGGATTTATTCAATTGACATCGTTTGTGCCCAAATATTGTGTTATGGTCAAAACTTAAATAAACACTCATTTGCGCAATTAAAGCCTTGTGCTGCAGCGACATCTTCAACAAGTTTTGGGCACTGCACAAAGTGAATAAGGGACTCATGCATATCCTACAAGGACACGTCGCTTGTTCCCATTTTTGACATTTACATGCAGCGAGAGCTATCTGCCAGCTAGCAGAGGGAGAGAGAGAGACTGGACCAGGACTGAGACCCGGACTCAGACCCGGACCCGGACCCGGACCCGGACCTGTCGTCTGTTGTGCGTGCCAGTCTCTGGTGTTACTTGGCAATTAATTATAATTTCACGCTTGACAATTTTTCACTTGCCAAAAAGAGAAGTAAACGACAGGGACAAGGGAAACAGCAATGGGAATGGACGAGACTGTTTGCTGGCCACTTAATGAGGCAGCCGAACGAAATGTGCATTTTATAACTGGAGCATTTAAGAGCAGCTTTCAACATCAAGAAACGTTCAGTACTTTGGTAAATCTTCATAGCAAAACAGCCAGCAACAAATTATTGAAAGAACCCAAAAAAAGAAAAACAGAGAGAACCTAGAGAGGCTGAGCAGGAAGCCTAGCTATGACGCATATCGTCTACACATTGGAAACTTGAAAGTCGTCGTGTAAACAATGATGGGCATGTTTTACAAAATGTACTTTTTTCTTTTCAATCTACACGCGCATACCCACAGTCACATTGCGTATACGTCATGTTGAACAAGTTGAGTAGGCGCAGCGCCTGTTGACTTGGCCCTAATGGGCTGCAGCCCTGTCGCTCGCCCCAAAGGTGTGGGGCGAACGGTTTTATCGCTGCTTTGGCTCAGTGGGTGATAATTTATGAAATGAAGTGAAATGTGATGAAAGATAAAAGTTAACTCCAAGTGCGCTCAAATTAGGCTTTAGCTCTGCTAAAAGAGCATTAGTAAAGATATCAAATAACATATATTGGAATTGCGTTAGTTTTATTGAGTTTTCTTACCAAAAGAATTTGGAATCTGTTTTCGTTATATACATACATTTTCTAGCATTTTCCAAGCTTGTCATAAAAATTTTATTTCTTTGCGCTTTTGAACGACTCTTAAATAAAAGTTATAAAGTGCAAGCAAACTATTTTTTTTAATATATAAAACTTATTCAGTGATTAGTTAATAAGGAAGCCCAGTTGGTTAAGCTAATTGAACAACTAAGTAAATAAGTATTGCAAGATTCATAACGGCTGTATAGCTACTCTGATTAATGAGTAGAAAAGTTATGCATGAGTTGAGCGACAATTTCTAACTCTTAACTTCCGTTACTTAAGCTAAGCAGAACAGAGATCTCTTACTGGACTTGCTATGGAAATTAGAAATGCCAGAAACAGCTTCGAGAGATATTTTTGCTGCTGTCAGTTGTAAATTCGATGCATTAAAATGCCATTTTTCAAACATTTTACGCCATGCACTGAGTCAACAAATCCTGTTTCGATGTACCACCCAACGTCGTTTTGACACTTTCACAGCTTTTCCACTTGAATGCGCCCACTTGGCTCCGCTCCTCCTCACACACAGACACACACACACACACACACACACAGTTGGTCCCAGTTTGGGGGCGCAATCAAGCAATGGCCATCGCCTCCACTGTCATGCATCAAAGCTGACCGAAAATGGACAACAAATTTCACGTTCATAAAAAATTGTGGACACATTTTGCTATTTATTTTATTTGCCAATTTTTTTTTTGTTTTTTTCTGCTGCTCGTGTTTATTTGTTAAAGTTTTTGTGCTTTTGTTCTTGTCGCCCAGCGAGTTGTTTGTGCTGCTGATTGTTTTTGTATGCAAGCCAGCGAGGCATTGAATTATTTATTTGAAACAATATATTTCGCCAATTGATGTTTTGCTTATGGTGTTAAAGGCATTGTCTGCACAGAGCCATATGGTTTATGCCTCTGCGGCTTGCTTCCATATTTTTACATTCGATTCTTTTAGTTGTGCATTTTATTTGATTTGCATCGCGCACGGCTCTAATAATATAGTCCATGTCTATGCTTTTGTTGAGCGCCTGGATATATATGAAAAATTCACTAGGCAAATATTTTCTAGCGATATTGTTTTAGCTAATAGTTTGTGCAAATTGAACAATTTTAGCAGTCTGAAATTTGTTTAGGAGAAATATCTTTTTTGAGAAGGAAATATAAATTTATTTTCGATTCAAATTGTGTTAGAAAAGGTTTAATTCTATTTAATACTTTTTTTAAATTTTATTTAGTTTATTTTCAAGAATTTGTTATTGAAGTAAACGAGCAAATGTTGTCTACTTGGGAGCGAGCTATTCTTTCATTTATTGCTGACTTCTTCTATATATATATATTAAAAAATTTTCCAGAGGTTTTCTGGAGGATAACATGACTAATCTGGATCTATTCAGCACGTCTTCGAAGTCAAGCGTAAGCATTCTTTATGGGGTCTGGCCAGCCTTCATCTGCATGTAACAAACATAACATAAAAATTCTTTACATTGTATTCTGATTATCAATCAACAACAAAAAAGACAGAAATTAAATAATTCAAAAATAAAAAAGCTCAAATATATTATAAAAAATAAACAATAAAAAATAAAAAAAAAATAGAAAATATGAAATAAACTTAAAACGAATTATTTTATTAATTTTATATTTTAAATAATTAATTTAATAAAAATAAATAATTGTTAAAGGTAAACTTTTAATTTTAAATAAACGGTAAATTAAATTAAATTATAAAATGAAAAAATAGTTTTAGGGTTTTATAATATATTTTGCGAAATGTCCTATAAGAACTTTTAGCAATGTAAATATTAATTCAATTATTTATTCAATTATATATTTTTTCATTTTTTAATTTTTTTTAGAAAGCAATTTATATGGTTTAAAAGCCACTTTAAGTACACCGCAATGGGAGTATCTAAATTTTAATCCTCGGAAAGAACATCTGATTCGGTTAAAAATATGTCGCATTCATAATGAAGTCAATAATTAAGCAATTATTACGTGCCGTAATACCTGAGCAAAGCGCTAAAAAGTATGCTACATAAAGTCGTGCACTTTCATTGTGGCAAAGTTGAACTGCTTTAAAGGCGCCGAACTTATGTTCATTTGGGTGTAAAGCGTTTTGGGCACTGCACAAAAAGCGGGCTGTTAAAATGCTGACACACTTTGAATCTGTTGCTATGTGAACTGACAAATTTGGCGCTGTGTAGGCAGCACATAATGTGTTTCGACATCAATGAAAACACAATCAACCAAAGTGGTTACTTACGACCGTAGTAAAATGCCGCGGTTTTCGGGCTGAAAATGAGTGGGGCGCGTCCCGGCACGAAACCAAACCAGTGGGCCAACCGGAGCCCTAACCATGCCTTGGGGGCGGCATATTCATTTAAAATCTGTCTGGGATCCGACGCTGAGCTTGTCTCCTCTGAGGTTTTTGTACGCCAGCTGAATAATTAACGTGGGCACATGGACGGACGTGGACACGGACATAGAAACGGACATGGAAATGAACAGATACATATACATACATATATATATATATATGACTGTATATATATATGTATATAGAGAGTAAGCACGTAGCATGTAAATTGTTTCATTACCTTTCACTTCGGCCGGGCCAGGTGCCTTCTGACTGTTCATTGTCTCATTCGGGCGCAAAGAAGTGGGAGAAAAAGCATCTAACTAATGTGGTGGCTAAGTGAAAAGTAAGGCCGCTTTAAAAAACGCCCTTATGCTCGGCTTAAAGAGCTGGCTAACTCAATTAGCCAATAGTTTCCGAAGCGCGCGCCCCTTTGAAGCGCAGCAATTAGACTCAATCGTGAGCTTGTTGAAAGTTGTGCACAACTTTGCCGACTCTCGACTGGAACACCTAAATGACTCCACTCGCCACTTGGCTGAGCAATTAGCGCAATTTGTGGAAAAAACTATCACAAGTCGTGGGCGTCAATTGATCGACTCGCGCCCAGCCACAAGCCAGACAAATAACAATTCAATTCTGCCTCACACTCGCCCATAAAACTTAATTTACGTGTAATTGTGCTGCAAGGGAGTTGTTGCTTTTTGTTTCTCACTAAAGTACAGTACACACTCGTCGTTCGCCAACTCAACTAGCTGCTGTAAATTACAGACTTATACGGCTCTTTGTTTACTCACCGACAACATCCAAATAGCCAACTTGACTCTTCATCGGATCCGTGTTTATTTGGCACATATACCTGTGGGTTGTAAAGGATTTTTCATGTCAGCCGACTTTTCTTTCTCCATGTCTTAACTTGTAAAACGAAACAGAAACCAGCGCGAAGCAAGCACGATAAGAAGGCATGCGTGAAAGCGTTTTATGACAAACTGTGTGCATAAATATGAAATAAACATGATCGTAAAAAGCTGCGTAAATAAAAACTATGAACTGCGTTGCATAAATGGAAGCAGTTTTATATACGAGCATATAAATTTAAAAAAAAAACATAGAGATCAAAACAATATAAAATATAGAAAAACTTTATGTTTGATCAAGCTAAGAAGGAAAATCGGGAACATAATGAACTGCTGGAAGAAAAAATATAAAAAGTATTATTATTATGAAAAACCATAGAATATATAAAAACCTGTAAAAGCTTGAAGATGTAACGAATAAATTATATGCAAAAAAATATAGTAAAAAATATATATACTTTTTTATCTTATTTATATAAATTTATTATAAAAAACTTGCTCGTTTTAAGAAAAGCTTGAAAATATTGTAAAAAAATATTTTTAGAAAAAAGTAGTACAAAATATTATTTTTTTTTATATTTAAATAAATTTATTATTATAAGTAATATAACGAGTAATATAAAAAAGTTAATGCATGAAAATACGGAATCAATTTATTATTTAAATAAGGCACCGCATAAATACAATAACTTAATAGTTCGATAAAAGTTGTACAAAAATATTATAATAATTATTATATTTATTATTGCAACACAAAATGTGTTTTGATTGCTTACTATAGCGAGATATTAAATATTTAACAAATGGTACATAAAATATTTTTTTTATCGATTCTAAATTTATTATTAACAAATACAAAACTAAAAAAAATTAAAAAAAAATGTAAAAACAAAAACGATTGGCCTACCTAAACTAGTTAAAATATAATATAAGGAATTTAGATAAATACTCAATTTTCATTTTTTTTATAATAGTTAAAAAATCTAAGAAAGTCTCACTTTAAGATTTTATATTGTTATATATATATATCAATTATTTGTCCATATAAAATATTATAAACAAATATTTACCTCCAGAAACAAAACTTTAAAATGAAAAAAGATATTATTCATCAAGGAAAAAGCAAAAATAAATCTTAAATCATGTAATTTTATTAACTTAATAAGTAAAAAAATATATATATATTTATATTTATATATATATAAAAATATATATTTATATATATATATATTTATTATATATATATATTTCTTTAACACAAGCAGTTTTAAACAGAACACGAGGTTTAACTCAGTAATAAAATCTAATTTATGGCCATGCACTTTAAACTGTCATGTGCTTGTATTTATATACAGTATACGTCTAGTGTAAATATATTTATATAGATAAGCAAGTTAAATAAGGTATTTTATATGTATAGAGTTTTATAGTCTTGTAAATTTAGTTCAGTACCATCCTTTGTCGGACTCCTTGACATCACGTATACGCAGTATCCAAGCACGTTTCTCGGCGTGAGTAATGCTCATGCGATGATTTTTGGTTATGACGTGATTTTGTATCGTTAAAATCGTTTGTGTATCGACACGTAGCCACGCAATCTGCACAAAGAGAAATATAGAAATGTATGTGAGTAGAAAATTATGAAACTCAAGCGTTCAACGCGATTCAGGTGCAATGTTAATGCCTTGCTAGCGTGGCCCAGGCTCATTTATTAGCCCAAAGACACCAAAAATGTCGTCGCAACGTGCCAGAGCGAGGGAGTTCGAGGCACTCTCTCTCTTTCTCTCTCTCTCTCTCTGATATAATCTGTGATTCTAGCTTTAAGTTATGCTATTTAAAGTTTTTTAATTGGAAATTGACTAAGTCAAGCTCTGAGTATTCCTCATTGCATAGTTTGCATTTCATTGCTATACAGTCTGGAGCACTTAAAGCTGGGCGTAGACAACAAACAACAAACAAATGCAGATACTTCTCATTTAGATTTATGACTGTCTAAGGTGCATAAGCTCGTTACAAGACACACACACACACATGGAGAGGAGCGCTCAAATTATAAGGTAGAGAAATTGTTGTCTTCTTTGCATATAGCACTCTGTTATGAAAGACATCAATTCACTAGCTTTCAATTTGTACGCTTAAATGCAGCAACAGCCGACAGACAACGGACAACGAACAATGGCAAACAACATTATTTCGAATTACCAACATAATAAGCATAACATTTACCACTTGGAGGTGGGTGGCTGCCTAACGATATCATCGGGCAGCAGGCCAAAACGTAAGATTATCAATTTGTTGCGTGCGCTTTGGCCAGGTCCATTTACTACCTTGATACCTAACGGCCAATGGTCATTGGAGTGGGCCTAAAAGCTGACTAACAAAAATTTGTGGCCAGCCGTTTGCTATTCTCGTTTTTCGGCAATTCATTGAGCGGCAACGTTTGCCGCTTTTCTCCTTTCTTTTTCTTTTTTTTTGGTGGCCTCTGCTCGGGCCGGTCACGAAATCAAAGTGGCGCCCAAGGGGCTTGGAACGTGCTTCGTTGTCGGGGAGTGAAAAGTAACTGGAACTGAACGGAAAACCCTTACGAAAAAGGGTCAACGTAAATGGCGCACGCATTATGCGTTTAACGAGACGACACGCACACATACACACACACACACACACACATATACACGTGAAACTATGCCACGTTTTATTTGATGAAGTGTAAACTGTTTGAAATGACAGCGCCGCCGGCCAAATTCCATTAGGAGCAACACCTAGCCCGATGTCGGACCCATCTAATTGTTAACGGATTGCCAAACTATCAAGAGACACGCCCACAGCCCAACGATCCGTTTACGACCGACTTACCTTATAAGTTTGCAAATTGTCAACAACACACTGAAGCACAGCCTCACGACTAACCGGAACGGTGACATTCTGCAAGAGCTCTCCGAACTTGGGCAAATCTGAAAAGTGAAGAGACGGAAATCGGGTTAATTTTTGCAATTGAAGTGCGTATGGATTCGGTCAAATCTAAAACAAGGTACATATCAGAGTGTTTCCCATATTCGAGTATTGAAACCTCTGTATATACCTTTCATTAGATTCAACTGATGAGCCCATAAATATATATCCATTTCTACTCTGCAAAGTGATTCAATCATTAAGTTCAACTTATCTTAGAATAGCGGAGCTTAACTTTACTTAAACGCACAAGCTAAGAGCCTCGATTCTTCGATAATGCGACTCACAGCAACAAACTGAATTGTGAGAGTGACTCGATAATTCTGAACAACAAGTGACCAAACAAATTCTAATAATAAAACAACTTAACTAACAGGAAGCATAAGCTGGCGATATGTCTATACATATTTTGATAAATAAATTAGAAAATAAAGTAAATACAGAGAAAAATAAGCACAATAAGGAGAGAGAGAGTGTGAGATAGTGAGGAAGTGAGAGAGAGTGAGAGGGAGAGAGAGTGAGAGAGAGAAAGACAGAGTTTGAGTGGGAAAGCGAGAGAGAGAGAGGGAGAGAGAGAAAGACAGAGTTTGAGTGGGAGAGAGAGAGAGTAATAAATATAGGGAATGAGAGAGGGACGCAGTCAGCTTTACCCAATTTTTCGCACCCTCATGATAGTAGATATATATATATATATCTTTTTGATCTTTGATCTCCAATGCGTCAACGTCTAGTGGCGTTTCTGTAATTATTTTTGTTCAAGTCTCAAGCTTCTAGCAAATAATAATAATTTACATAATGCAGTTCAGCGCAGCTGTTCACGTGTTAATGTGTTAATGTATGTGGAAGTATACAAGGAGTCCACAATGATTGAAACAGCACCACGCAGAGTTCATACTATCCACTAGTCGGCCACTGCCGAGCTGAGCACCTTCAATTGATTTAGTTTAACCTCTTTATAATTGTTTTTATATTTTCAGGTCAAGCCTCTATTTCAGATAGCCACAAGTCTAAATCGTTATGCTTCTCCCAGATCGTACGCGATATACCCTAGTTCAAATGTATATAGCAAATTACTTCTAAAATAATTTTAAGCTCTGTCAAAATATGATTGATGTAAAGAGAATGTATTAAATAATATTTGTTAAATCAATAAAAAAAATGCATATTTGATATATAATAAAAAAAAACACTCCTGCCTTTCGACTTTAAAGGGTTATTTATTTTTTGGCAGTTTTAATTTAAAAATCAACAGGTGAAAAATCATCGGCAGTTTAAATGCCGACTTGGTTGTGAAAAGAACAAAACACTGTTAACGCATAGTTAACTAACATAGATATGTTAGGCCACTGTAAATGTAACATACGATATTATTTAACAGTAAGTTTACAGTGTTCTGTTAACTGTGAACTAACATGTTTCAGCCTGCTATTCATTTCTGTGCGCCTGGTAATTTTGTAATATTTACATCGAACTGTAAAATTGCAGCGCTGCTTAAATGCAAAAATAATAAATGTTCGATTATAGAGACCCTTGTGGAAATCTACGCCTACATAGTATATTTCTAAAAATACTTCATTAAAGCAAGCTGAAAATCAAATCGAATATTATTCTGGTCATTTCAATGCACATTCCGCAACACTTTTGACTTGTTAGTTTCATGAGGACTATATCAACGGTATGGTAAAACTGAACTGGGTCAACTGGGAACCATCGCTAGAAAAAGTGCATAGAATGAAACAAAAGCCATACAAAGTTTTCGAACAATTTACTGTTCATTTGCAAGAAAATTATCATCTTGGTTCATCCGGACTATATCTATGGCATGGTATGACCAAGGAAGTCAACTGAAATACTAAAATGCGTCATGAAATTGAATACTAACTACTATTATATGGGTAGCTAATTAAGCTTGGTCACAGAATTATTTAAAAATCAGCTTTTTATACCCTGATCCCATTAAAAATGGGAAATCAGAGTATAATGGTTTTGTGCAAATGTATGTAACAGGCAGAAGGAGGCGTGGCAGACCCCATAAAGTATATATATTCTTGATCAGGACGACAAGCCGAGTCGATTGAGCCCTGTCCGTCTGTCTGTCTGTCCGTCTGTCCGTCTGTCCGTCTGTCCGTATGTGTGAACGCGTGGATCTCAGCATCTATAAGAGCTAGAGACTTGAAATTTTTTTTGTAGGTCCGTGTATAGCACGCGCAGGTCAAGTTTGTTTCAAATATTCGATAACTATTCGCATTTAATTGTTATCGAATAAAAACATTATTGAAATGCAGTAAATAAATTATATCTCGAACGTCTTAAGAGCTAGAGCTTCCAAATTTTGTATTTAGTCTTATGTATATTTTATGCAATTTTGATTTTTGTTGGATTTTGGATACCGGCTCCAAATTCCCCCAAATTCTTAGAATTTAAGTTAAGTTGGAACTAGGGCCATTATGTCAAGACGTTTGCATCTCAACCAAGCCAATAGGATATATAGATCATATGCTGAAAATTTCATTAAAATCCATTAAGTAAAACAGAAGTTATTAAACAAAACGTTTGGCCAATTTGCAAAAGCACATGTCAGCAGCGCCACGCGCACGCATTTTTCCTATTCTTTTCTATTCCAAGAATTGAAATTGCGATTGAATTGTGCTGAATTATTAGCTGCTACTTATGTTCAAATTTGCAACATTCGTATAAGAAGGACAGCGGCTGCGTTCAAAGAGGCGCCGTTCGCATGCAGCTTGGTCCGGGTTCGAGACCAGTGAAGATGAAATGTTTTTTATTGTTCTATTTTTTTTTTAGTTATGAAGTGGCGGTGTTGGTAGAGTTTGTGCACGTTGCGCAAATAATCCGGGTTCGAAACCTGGTCTCACAATGTCGATTTTTATTTGTTTTCTTTTTTTTTAATACTCGATACAAACTACGGAAAATATTAAAAAACTCAACGGACTGGGATCAGGGAATCTCCTAGTCGGGCACCCCGACTAGAGCTTTCTTACTTGTTTATGTAAGTCATTGATGATTGATATATATATTTATATATATATTTGAATCACACATAAAATTGTTATCATCTATGTATTTATAGATTGAACTAAGCATTTTTACTTATTAAACTGAATAACAAATTTATTTATCCTTCTCTTCAGCGGATGGCTGCTCTTAACTTTTATACTTATTTTGTTTATATTTATATATATTCATTTTCAGAAATAATTATATTTTTATATATTAGAGTAAAGCATGTAAAAATTATATAAATCATTTCTAAATTTTTTAATTAAATTATTTTGTAATTAATATACAAAATACAAAATACAAAATTTTAAAAATTGTTTTAATGTTGGAATTGGACTAAAATATTCGTAATTGTTGTGGCCAAGGGATCGATTAATAAGAAATTATTACTTAAAATACTTTGCATCAAGTAAATCAGGTAAGCCGTTGAGAAGTGAGATGTTTAGCGAGGCGAAATCAGTCCCAAAAATTTGCGACGAAAACATCAGAAATATCCATAAAAATATATTAAAAGAAGCGACTAAGAGACAACGATTAGGAACAATGAGAAATTAAAAGCAAATAGTAGAGAGTTTTGTACGCCTGGAAATTATAAAATAAAAAGTTTATAAAATTATGAAATTAGTCATCAAATTTATTAAAGACGATACATGATTCTATATTATTATATATATTTTTATAGATTCTACATATATAATTTATCAAGCCAAATAATAATAAAAAAATCATTTACTGTATCTTCAACATAAAGCAATGTAGCTTTAAATTTTGTGAATCTTTAATAGAATTCTTAGGAAATCATTCTAAAGTGAAATATGTTGAACATGGAAATTTTATTTATAGACAAGCCCAAACACTCTCCACATTATTGACTTGTTTACTTCTGGGAATATTTATATTTACAGATAGATATATATAAATATTATGTAAATCAGTGATAAGACCAGAAAGTTAAATACTCCTTGGCAACCTATTCACGGGCGAATTTCACTTTCAAGATAAGGACACAAATTTTTTTGTGGGCTCTTCATAGAAAACATATTCAGTACTCAGTCCAGTTTCAGCTTTTACGCAGTCAATCAAGGCTTCAGTGCTCGAATGCCCAGCGAAGCGCTCAATTGCGCGGGTTGACTTTAAAGGCGCGCCCGCAAGTATGCAACAGATTTGTGGTTTTGAGTGACAGCCTTTAAGCTGTTTTTTGTTTATGTGTGTGTGTGTGTGTGTGTGTGTGTGTGTTCGTGTCGCTGACAAGCCAAGAAGACCTCAACAAAGTTGGCGTTACGTATACGCCCCGTGAATGTTATGAAAACAAAAACGACAAAAAAAGCGTCAAGCAGCCGTCGGCTCGAGAATGCTTTCTTATATGCGGGGCACGCGTCAGTTAAAGCAAATCAACACATAACAATCTTGTACTCAAAATGCGTAAACAATGTGATAAGCAAAGAGAGAGCCACATCACAGTCCACGGAGATGAGACGAAACGAAACGAGACCAGACGAGACGAGTCGAGCAGTGTGAGAATGTTTTTTGTTTTTTATGTGTATTGATGCGGCTGTAAATCTCACTTGCAAGGGGTAAACAGGGCAAAGTATGAAAGTGTGCTCGACACTGAGAACAACAACAGCAACAACTTTGTGGGTTGCTAAGTTGTTTGCCTGTTTGCATGTGTGCTTTGTGTCTTGTAATATTGCGGATTGTCGCCTAATCTTTGCCTAAATATCTCATTGAGCATCATTTATTATACACTAATCTTTGATGCAGGTATTTTGATTGTATTAGCAAGTTATAGAAATTATAAAAAGTTTCTGTAAATTGATTTATGTTTTAATTGGGGCAAATAGTCTCATCTTCTTGTAGATAAAAATACATGGCATAAGGCCATTTTAATATATATATATATACCAACAATGTTAGCTAAGATAATAAGCTTTCATACTGTTTAGAATAATGGAAAATGCTTGAAAGTAGTTATTAATGTAAGCCT